CGTACCATTTTTAAACACTTTTTAAAAGACAAAGATGGTTAAAGTCAATGAGATGCCCATGTGAATGAATACATACCGAAAATTGATTGAAGGGAGACAACCCGGGTAGACATCGTGCGCTCAATAAACTGAAGGTTGCAGCTCAAATCACATATCTAATAATTGTGCAGGTGGTCTTGTGTGTGTGTGTGCGTGCGTGCGTGCGTACGTGCGTGCGTGTGTGTGTGTGTGTGTGTGTGTGTGTGTTTGGGGTTTGTTTGGTTTCTGTTTGATTCTATATTGAATGGAAGTGCAAAATCGGTATATTCCTATTAATCATTGTTAATCCTGATAAAATTGAAGAAAACGGAAGAAGCTATTTTTTTTTAAAATAATAATACTAATGCATTCAAATATGTATTCTTGGGATGTCATTGTTAGGTACTGCTGCGAGAGACTTCGTGTCTCATCATTCATGCACCGTAGGCATCCTAACATCGGGATACGTAGACCGTCATGATATTTATCCCGCACTCATCTCAATAAACAATGGAACCATACCTGGCTAACACTTATGCAATAATGAACCATTTTGTTACAAATGTTAAACAGATTTAAATTTAAGCTCAAATATTATGCTTGAAAAATTCCACCTAATTCGTTATAGATTGTATATCAATAATTGCTGTCAACCATACATGCGTCATTTAGTGTTGGAAAGTGGAAATAACTTGGAACTATGGGACAACACATAACCACCCCTTGACCATTCCTAGAGGTATAAATTCGAAGATAAAAGTCAAATGAAACAGCGTAATTCAAAGCATCCGTTTGATACATGTACACCCTTGAACAATCTGCGGTTGATAAACACCAGAGCTAGCTCTTTCACCACGCTGGTAAATACAAGCTCTCTGTCGGAGACGAGCCACCAGACTATAGGCAGTGTAAAGTAAACATGTTACACTTATCTACAGATCTGACGCGTGAAAATCATCACTTCGCTATCTACTGAGTGCTCCTTGTGGACGGAATACAGACGCTGGAAAGGCCATGCCAAAGAACTACTCGTTTTTTTAAATTAAAACTGTTTGGATTTTGTCGTCAGGTAAGTGAAACTGTATATATTATACATCAAGAAAAAAAATTCTATATATAGCTACTAATTATCTGTTTGGCAACAGGACAAATAATGATAAACATTTTCTCCGGTCATGTTTTCATAAAAGGGAATTTGAAAACAGATTATCATTTCGTCTCATTATTAACATTATCAGATCGGGTGTCCACAAGGGTAAGATCAAACAGAGAATGAAACAGCGTCATTCATTCATTCATTCATTCATTCATTCATTCATGTTTGGTCAATTGGCTGTGTCAAGTTGTCTCCCCTAGTTGCGTCAGGATTCATGGTCGTCTGTTCAAATCCCAATGAGTTATACCAATGGATGAAAAACATCAGTCTCGTTAACAATGTGAGTGTAATCACAGGCAAACTGTAGCGCAAATAGGGTTGCGCAACAAAGAGAAAATGAGCAGTCTTCCTATATGCGAGCGTAAATGTGCTCGCTTCACTTCGCTCGCATATAGAAAAACTGGTCATTTGTCTGTCTGTTGCACAACCCTAGTTGCGCTACAGTTTGCCTGTGATGTACGACTGATCAAGTCTGTAGGTCTATACGTTGTAGTGCCACGTGTACGACTGACCAAGAGGCCTCAATCTCTACTGTAATGACCGTAATCTCTCTAAATTGTAATGCGCTACCTTAAAATTATTTGAAACATTATAAGCAAATATAATCGTTTAGCATGTAATAATGACGCATTTTCGTGACAAACACTTATATAACTTTTTTTTAAATGACAGTAAATTTTCGACTAAGGAAAAGTTCATCTTAGATTTTTGTTCTATATTTGTTTTCCTTAAGTACAGTAAAGAAATGGAAACTCGAAACGCGCTATAAGAAGTGTTGCCTAGGGTTTCCAGAAGGTGGTATGGCCGGTGTCCGGAATCAACATACGTGTGTATACATCAATACATTTCTCAGCTTCCCCCGTGTGTTTGGAGAAATCACGTATTCGAATATGTTTATGGCTGCGATTGCCAGAGAGAAATCTCATTTGCTGAGATACGGGTTGAAAGGTGATGACGATGTTAATCGCGTCATTCACGAGAGGCCAGTAGCACTCCTCCAGAAACACACATATAAACAGACCCATCTCTGGGTCCATTCACCTACTTCCTCTGAAAACTAAATGAAATAACGCTACATCAAGTAAACGTGATAAAAATGCGGTTCTCCATAGATTAACATCCAGTCTCTGAAATGAATATAATTTACAGAACCAAATGTTCATAAAATATAATGAAAAGGAGCCCAGAGTCTTTCTTCATTTTCATCTAAAAATGTGTGCACGTGGTAATCTAGACTTGCCACACGTTCTAGACTGGCATGGGCTGCATTGGGTATATTTGTTTCAGGGTCTGTTTGACAGACTAAGTTCTTCATTGAAGAGATAGATATTCTGACCGACATGTTAAGTGTAATGGTCGTGCAGATGAAAGTCACAACAGTAATAATACCTGAGCTGTTTGGTGTTGGTAGAAGTATCAGTTAGCGCATACATAAAATACGTAAAATGATGATTTTAAGGCGGGTCACCCATTTCATTCTGGGGAGGTAGGGGGGTCATCAATTTTGTACGTAAAATTATTTTAGAATTATGCTTCAAAATTATGGGAAGTGGGTGAGGTCATTGATTTTGTACATGACATGCAAGGGGATCACTTACTTTGTACATAAATTATAGGGGGACATTCACATTGTACATGTTTCTCCATAAAAAATCATCATTAACACGCACACGCGCACAATGTAAAATTGGAACAAATCAATAATCGTTTATTTTTGTTTACCACAAAACCCAACCGTTTTCAGTTCAAAACTGTATTTTCAGGTGATCAGTCATATTAATCGTTGTAAACAGCCAGCCTCCCGTGATCAATAGAGAGGCAGTTACACTCAGCATCAGTGTTGGTATTCTATAGCCCGCAGATGCACAAGGTGATTGGTTTCAAAACTGGAATCAATATTCTGTTGCCTAGCTTCGTCTTTTTACTGTGAACCCGTAGTCAAATATTATTCACAGTAAGCACGCGTTCTCGTCTTAACCAGGAACTATGGTGTGTAGCCTTTAGCATAGACTAACAACTAGTCTCTGAAATGAACATATTTTACTGAAAAAAGTTCATAGTAAAAAAAATAAAATATAATGAAAAGGAGCCCTGAGACTTTCTTCATTTTCCTGAAGCTGAGGAAATCTAGACTTGCCACATTTTCTAGAATTGCGTGGGCTTTGATGCTTCAGGGTCTGTACGACAGACTACCTTTAGCAGTAATACTTTAAGCTCATGATATTACAAAAGAGTTCATTTAAAGGCATTTGTAACGAGTGAGTACGGTTTTACGCCGCTTTTAGCAATATTCCAGCAGTATCACGGCGGGGGACACCAGGAATGGGCTTCACACATTGTGCCATGCATGTGGAGAATCGAACCCGGCGTGACGAGCGAACGCTTTAACAACTAGGCTACCCCATCGCATTTGTAACGAGATATCAGAGTATATGTCAGTATGTGAATGCAGATAAACTTTTGAAAAGGGGAATGAAAATGACACCCATTCGAGGCGCAAGCCCGATATTCGTCATTAAACAGACCGTATTTCCCCCATAAAGGACTGAATATGCTCGGAGGAATGTTCAAAGCCCTGCGGTAATAAACGACAACGTCATATGTCATGTTCAGTGTTGTAAAAGACTGCAGTCGTTCACATACTGACAGAACAGGACTTGTTGTTAATCTAATGACCATGAGATTTTAATCTTCTTGATACACTATATATTTTGAGACACAGCGAGCGTGAACATAGTAATATGAAACTGCAATAAAAACAGCTTGCTTGGAATTTTAACCAAAGGCTACCATGCATGAAGAGAACTCTGATCAACTTTATAACTTGCATAGACATCCGGTATTGGTTGTGTTGGCTACGCTACTTCCAACTGGCGTTAATAGAGAAAATGCGATATTTGATAACCTCAGATAGTTATAAATACACTATGATGCATATTGATATGCATGCTGTTTTACGTATCATGTCACTTAAGGTGTACATAATCAACCATGTGGAGTGATTCTCTTTTTTCTGTTTGCGCTGCTTTTAAAAGGCATTAAAATACTAGAGGAGAATGTATATTTTCTCCATTGTGCTAATGTAGTCAATGAAATGTCTGGGGTAATCTATAGATAAAGTACACACGTTCACATAATCACATCCTGGTGAAATATTCCACTATAAACAGAACACTTAGAAATAAACAGATCGTGTCACGAGCTTCCTCGTTCATGTATTTTCAAATTCTCGCAAATTCCCATGTATTTTGTATACACTTATCAATTAGCCCTGTCAACTCCAGAAATGTCATTCTGTAACTGTATTAACTGCGGGTCCTGTTCTGGGGCTTTGTTGACATCAAGAAAAAAATGTGTATGAATAGATCGGGAGGATGGATGTGTCAACGCGTAGATATGATCGACAGGGGAACTAGCTTGGAATTATACGTACAATAAGTTGACAAAGACGAAGGATAGGTTGAGTTCAAACTACTTTAGTTGGTTGCACAAGCCAGGACAAACATTAGTAATAGTATACATGAATGAGGTTAGTGGAGTTCCGGCTCAATACCAGGGCGCTTCCTACGAGGGATTATCCTGCTCGTGGTCGTCCCAACAGACAGTCGGAATACCGGACTCCTTGACAATATGGATGTGAGCATATATATACAGTTTTTGACAACAATGGACAGGCGAGCACACAACAGTGGACAGATAGAGAAACAATAGCACTTCTTTGTAACAGTGGATGTGATGGCAGACGCGGCCAAGGGGGATGACCAGTTAATGTTCTAAATGTCATATTAATGAAAGTGACAAAGTGGTACAGGGTTGCTGACAAGAAAACGATGTACAGTGCGGTAGTGATAATGATTAAGTATGCAGATTAAATAATTGCAATTAAGTTTCACATGGTTTCGCTACATAGTTTTTTTATCTTTAGGAATATTTGAACGATGGCTGTCCTGAATTAGGCGCTATAACAGATGAATGTATGGATGGAAATGATTTACAACCTATAATACACCAAATACTAATAATGGCATTATTTATTGTCCAATGAAGGACATACATAACATTGACACATGCAAATGCACATTTGTGTAGAGGAAGCCGTTGTAAGGGAAAGGTACAGAAATACGGTCTATGCTAAGACATATTACATAACAAAGAAATTGATAACATAAGATACATAGCACTATATTATTCAGGAACAGGATTTTTTTGTCAGTGATGGCAAACGTAACTGTTGCAATGTCATAATTGTCTTGTGTTTTTTAATAAAAATAGTTATCTTTTTACATCCTTGAACTTACAAACAAAAAGCAAAAATAAATACAGTTGAATATTTTGCAAGCTGATTGTTAGTGAGTTTCATCAGTTCTCTGTGCCTTCGAAAATCTTAACTTTCTGTAAGGTTATGTATGGGCAGTCCATTGGAATGTGACAGATAACAGGCAACACATCACTGATACGATCTGCCCTCAGAATGGCAGAAAGCTAAACCAGTGCTACTGAGGATTGCCATGTAAACATTTTCACACTCTTGATTACGTTGCTGTCTACAAATGAAAGCATAATTGCAGCGAGTTTGAATTTGTGACAATCTTCGCCATTTTAGGTAGTTGCCAAATTTCTGTGTGGGACTGAATTCTTTTCCCTCTTCTTCAGTATACAGACCAAATTTGTATAGATGGAAAGTTTCCACCAATGTTTCAATTATCACTTGGATAAACTGGTGGAAACACCCTTATGGTAGTAAATATAGTAATACTGCAATAGGAATCCTTGTATAGCCAAGAATCTTTCCAACATAAACTGTCTTCTCCTTGAAAGTGCAAATATATTTTCCAGTTAAAGTATTGTAGACATTGTATTCATTGTTATTTGTTGACAATATTTCTTTTTTTAAAGAAATTAATGAAATATTTCGAGGAATTACCGTTTTCCAACTACAGGATGTTTAGTTCTGATAAACATCTACAATGTCAATGCCTTGATAAAGTTCCAGGCAAACCCTTTTCCAAGAATGAATGACCAGTCCTCAACCCATGACACTTGACAGCCATCCCAGGGATTCAGCACAAATTTCAGTATGGCAGGATATATCGTTCATCGTTTAGATAGTTTGTTTTATAAATATGTCACATGTAACATATTTTGAACTGAAAAGATTTGAAATGACATCAGGAGTCCCATCAGCAAAATATAAACGTGAATACAGTATTGTTGTTTGGTTTTATGTTTTACATAACAAATAGCACAATTACAAAGACAAAACCATCTACCCATTCATGATTTATATACTTGTATTAACTTTCCCTCATAAATATCAAATTTCAGAAATAAAACATAACTATCTGGACTGTAAATGTGTTGGATTATCTTTAGGATTTGCATCTCTATGTATAGATATGAACAATGACAATTTCCCAAATCTGTAAGGCAAGAAAGACTAATATCTAAGATGAATTAGATAACATATTTATTGCATAGCAGTCAATGAAGGAACAGTGGCAATATCCTGTATAAACTACAAATATAATATATAGTTACATTATATTTGTAAAAAAATTAGGTATTTCAGCATGTATATGAATTTGCAGTACTTTTTTAAACCGGTGATTCAAAAGGTATAAATGACAACTAGGAAGAGCCATTAATGGTATATTTCTAAACAGTAATCAGTATTTACTGAAGTGGCAAGTGCACATATACTCCAGACTCCAGACTCCACTCCAAGACTCCACTCCAACCCTCCACTCCAAGACTCCACTCCATGTTTTACAGTATGCCATTGGAATGTGACAGATTAGAGGAAACACATCACTGATACAATCTGCCCTCAGAATGTCAGAGAGCTAAACCAGCTCTACTGAGGATTGCCATGTAAACATTTTCACAATCTCGATTACGTTGCTGTCTACAAATGAAAGAATAATTCGAAACTGAATTTGTGACGATTTATTAATAAGTTTGGAGTAAACTGACAAACATTAACAAACATTTCTACGAGAGCTGTAAAAAAGAAAGACTAATCTCTAAGATGCGAAAAGATAAGATATTTATTGCCTTGAAGGGACAGTGGCAATATCCTATAAAATACACATATACATGTAATATATAGTAATAATATATTTGTAGAAACTTCAGGTATTCTGGCATAAATGTGGATTTGTAGTTCTTTTGAAATGGGTGATTCCGGAGGTATAAAAGATAACTGGGAAGAGACATTAATTGCATATTCCAAACAGTAAACCGTTTTTACAGAAGTGGCAAGTGCTCTTAATCTCCAGACTCCAGACTCCAGACTCCAATCCAAGGCTCCACTCCAAGACTCCACTCCATATTTTACAGTATGCCCGGTAATTGAGCCTAAGAAACGTTTAAAGGGACACTCTGATGAGAGGTCTGGTGTCCATATCTCCGGCGTAGGGGACTTAATGCATAACACCAGGCTGGAACGAAGATTTGTCTTCGAGGACGCTCGGTAATCAATAACCTTAAAAATGAAAGACAGGTACAACCGTGATGCTTTAGTTAGTAGAATCACGTTTTCTGGGACTGCCAATTTGCCCTAACGTATTCCGCCTTTAAATTAATTCAAACACGCACCGTCAGCGGTGAAGGGGCCCAGCTCGGTGCCATCCATCACCGAGCTTCGTGATATCATTCAGCCAGCCCCTTCTACAACAGAAACAGTCATATCAGGCTTATAGTGACAATTCCAAGACTCGACTGAGAAGGTACGCTGGTATATTAGACCCACTATGGCAAGTCCGGTTTGTGAGACTCGCTGACCTAACGCTGAAACTTAAATTATAGTTTATTTTTTACAAGTGCGTGAATTAGGTTAAGAGTCTCACATGCAATCACTTGTGTCATGACGCAGATATTCTGTTGGCCTGTACAAGCAGTGAATGTCTGCATAAGCTCACAGCTGTATGTCTCGGAGAGGCAACATAGCCTAGAGCATGGTACGGAATATCAAGGAAACAAGTGTTCATTCGGAAGCGGCTGACGTATGACGGGAAACATAATATATATCAAAGACATATATCTATATCAACGCGACAAGGGACGCTGTCACGGATGTGACGGCTGGCCACTATGACGGAAGATGGACCAGAAGACACTACGGACGTAAGCAGGCAGATTTCACTGTGATTGTCAACCGGTAAGTGCGCTCCAAACATTTCTGAAAAATATTTCAGTGATTTAAAATCCCCTGGCAGTAAAATGGCGTTGCCCGATGAAAAGTTACAAAACAGAATATCTTGTGTAACGATTTTCTACGCTCCCTGTGGGGTTAACCATTTCTTAAAACGTTCAAAGAACAGCGAAATTCCTGGACTAGCGCTTAGTCTCTGAATATATATAGTTTTGGTAGGAACATATAATTCATTTTAAATTGAAAAGTCGTTCCATTGAGTTGGGCTATTCTGGACCTGAAGAAATCTAAAGTTGCTTCATTTAGGGCTTAAGCATTGAAAGGGAGTTGGTTGGGGATGTTGGTGCCGGTTATTCCAGGTGATAATATAGATGTAACATCCTCACAAAACATATCTATAGCGTTTAATAAGACGGTGTTGTGATGTGATTCGCATGTATAACGAATCAGTCATGTGAGTCCTTACACATGCTGTCCTGACACATGCTATAGCCAGCTACCTCGCCTTGCTCCAAGGTTGTACCGATGGCTAAGCCAGTAACTCTATCCATTAAAGAGGCAAGTCTGGCTAAGCGGGCACACCAGGCTGTTAGAGGGATATATATATTTTAGGAATTATCATTTAAACTATTAATCATGACCTTAGAGACTTGTGCAAGTCTACTAGCTACGGTGACCACACAGCCAGGAGCATTGTGGTCCACGTGAACGTGTTGTGAGACAGGTCTGTTTTCTCGGTTAACGAAGTAGCCGTGTAGTCGGCTATACGAAAGTGGTTGTGCGGAAGGGAATACAAGATGGTTCAGGGGCTAAGATACACTAAAACCTCGAAATAAAGTCCTTTCACTGTGGTGTGGTGACTCGTCCACTGCGATCGAGGTCACTCTTGCCATATAAGTATGCGTCCGTTATTTAGAGGTGCAATGTACGCTTTCTATATGTGAAAGGTAGCATGTACTGTACAACAGAATACTACCTCAATATATTTATGTTTGGTGACATTTTTAATGGTTAGATCCGATATGAAATAGAAAATATCCGTACCATCAATTGCTCTTTTCACACGGTTTATATACTAGCCACATAAAGAAACTGTGCATTGTCAAAACATTATCCCAGTTGATAAGTACGATAACAATGTCAAAGGTACATATAAACTTTAATGGAGGGATCATGAGACCATAACAAGTCGGGAGAATTTCAATTGAAAAGTCAATCACAATGACGACACGAGTCCACAAACGGGACAGGGGTCAAACGTCCACCATCGGCATTGAGAACAGCAGTGCATCGACGACGCATAGAGCCTATCAAACGTGCAAGGAAGGCTTGTGGGATGTCACGCCAGATTCTCTCAAGTTCTGTTGCAAGGTCAAGGACGTTATCTGGCGGATGAGGAAGACGGCGTAGACGTCGATCCATCTCGTCCCAAACATGCTCTATCGGGGAGAGATCCGGTGAATTTGCAGGCCAAGGCAGTAAGTCAACGTTGTGGTGTTGCAAGAAATCCATAGCAACCCTTGCCGTATGAGGGCGGGCATTGTCCTGTTAGAATGTTAACCCAGGGCCATGACGTTGCAGAAAAGGAATTGCCGCATGTCGAAGAATTTGATCCCTGTAGCCCACACCAGTTAAGTTGCCCTGAACAATCACCAAAGGAGTGCTGTTATTCCACCCCAAATCATCACGGAACCACCATCAAAGCGATTCCTCTCTAAGACACAGGCCTGTGCATAACGTTCTCCCACGCGTCTATAGGCACGTTGACGTCCATCACTATGGGAAAAGTTAAACCTGGACTCATCTGTAAAAACAACATTTCTCCACCAAAGCAAGGGTCCGCGGACATGATTTCGGCACCACATTCGGCGAGCTTGTCGATGACGTTGTGTCAGGATAGGCCGTATGGCGGGACGTCGTGGTCTGATCCCGTGATGACGTAAACATTGTCGAACTGTGTTGGGGTGGATACAGCGAAGTCCTGGGATGGTTCGGGCAGTCATCACTGCAGTCTGAAACCTGTACCGAAGATGGGTCACCCTTATCCATATGTCCTGTCTTGGCGTTGTTACACGTGGACGTCCAGAACGTGGCCGATCGATGACGTCATTTGTGTTCTGGTAGCGTCTCACCAGTGCAGAAATGGTGTTCCGGTGGCAGTGGAAATGTGCAGCCACTTGTCGTTGAGACATTCCCCCACAGACCATCCCAATGGCTTCATGACGTTGTGCAGACGTGAGCCTTGGCATGCTATGCGTTTCAATAGCCGTTTAATTTTTTTGAACGATCGCAAGGGCAGGGGTTGAGCTTTCCAAAGTGACAGTATTGTGTGGCATTCATTTGCTCTGTTTCTCTTTCCCGGAATGCACGTGCAACAACGTATTGCACGTCTCAAGGACGAACCCACTGACGTCACGGAACGTGGCACGTGCATGCATGTTGGATACATGTCACTAATCTCTGAGTTTGAGTCCTTATGTGTCTACACAGGTTTGATAAATTTAGATTTTAAATTTTTGTATGCACAGATTCTTTATGTGCCTAGTTACTTACACCTGCCAAAACTTGTCCATGGTTAGTGAGAGTGGATATGGGTTTACGGTGATTTTAGCGATATTCCAGCAATATCACGACAGGGAACACCAGAAATGGCTTCACACATTGTACTCATGTGGGGATTCGAACCCGGTTCTTCGGCGTTACGAGCGGACGCTTTAACCACAAGGCTACCGCACCACGCCATGTCCATGGTTAATGGTTCAACGTACGGAGCAGTAACCCTGCACAGCTGGCATTGGTCCTCGACTGCTTCCTGTTTCTTACAACAGTATAGATCTAGACAACAGAGCTAAGATCTAAGACCGCGTTTTGAAACGTGAACTGGTTGTGGCTGTTCCTCGGAGAAGTGCTCAGTCCGTTAACGTTAATATGATACCTTGGTCGTGGTTCGAATCCTAGAATTCATCTGATTATTGTGCTTGGTCTGTAGGAAACCTGGCTGCAATCGGCTACAAAAGTGGTTACACAGGTAAAATGAGGTTTAGGTCAATTTCAAGGATATGGTACGTACATAACGATGTGCATAAGCATGTGCATGCGTGTGTGCGAGCGCATGTGCGTGTGCGTCAGTGTCTGTGTGTGACTGCGTGTACCAATCCTGGAAAAGGGCGATTTTAACTAATTAAACCAGGACAACATACGAACCTTGAATCTTTTTGAAAAAACGTAATCAAAGAAAGTCATCATTTGATTCGGGATCAAAACCCCTTGTGTTATTTTTCAGTTGTTGTGACCTTTACCATCAAAACCCACGTATGTATCCACATTGTTAAAAGCTTACTTGAATTCCACTCAATAAGCCGGAAAGACAGGGGCGACGTCAAGCAAATAACACATTATCACAAAATCAAAGCAAGTTTATTTAATTCAAATCTAAACAACCGGTTGGTACAAACAAGCTACAAAAGCGTGCCAGTAGGAGTATTACAAACGCTTGAGACTAAACATCAATACGGACTGAAGCACCAGGGACGACTGTGCGTGGGAATCTCACATTGTATTGGTCTTTAACGCCGAGTTCGAGCACCGCTAAGAGATGCTGGAGAGCAAATTAAATATGGCCACTCACTGCGTGGACAAGCATCCGTTTCCGGTATTGATGAGGTGAAAGCTCCTCACAGAGATCTAGGAGTCGCATATGTGTGGTTCACATTATAAAGCAATATAATGTGCACCTCTGGGAAGTTTGAGAATTGCGTGGTCATACAGTGATTATATAGTGTGGGCATTGTAGCTTCATGGGGGTGATCGATTATAAAGGAGGGTGGATCTGATTGGTGACGGAAAGTTTTGACTATGCAGAAACTTTAGAACATTTTCAGTGAGCTGCTTCACGTCCAAGGACTTCGGATATTCTGCGCATTATTTGCAGTGACAGGTAGGTTGCGATGTGAAACATGTTTTGGTGGAATTTATAGGAAAGAAAAACTTGAAAATATATTACACGAGTGGAAATCTGATTCTTGTATTCATTATCCAAAGTAAAGCCTCCCCACACGTATTATGAGATCTTACTTTCGTAAAAAGGTATGATTGTGGGGGAAAACAGAAAACAAAACCTATTTGTTTAGTTCATCTCAAAACACAGTTGTTTTGAGAATCAAATTACACAGAATGAATTTATTTTTAATGAATATTTATAATGTGACCGCTATTCCTATTTCTGGTTATATTTAATGATTTTCTGCCATTCTGAAGACGAGGTTTTCACGTGTGTGATACCAAAGATCTACATATCCGAAAATATTTGAAAATATTTACTTATCACTTGTTTGGATGAAAACCAAATACTGGAATCCTATGCTGGATAAAATCCACGAAAAAATGTTTTATCTTGCATATTTTTCAAAACGTTTTGAAAAACGAAATATATTTCACTATACCGGGTATTATGTTAGGTGTGATTATAAGCATAATAGTCGCAAGTAATTGACTTAGTGAACCGACTGACGATGGTACTTGGGAAAATAGTGCGTTTTTTGATCAGCCAAGGGTGATGTATTGCGATGTCTCGTGTCGTTAAGACCAAGAAAGACTAATCTTTTTTCTGTAAATGAGCTAAACTATTTCCTTATGGCGAGGCGTACGTCCTATTTCTAACAACCTCCTGTGAGTGATAGGATCCCGGGAAACACAGGACTGAGTGATTGTCAGTATTGAAAAATGAACCCCGAGGTATGGTTGCCGCCTCTCTCATGCTCATATCACACACGGAAATCGATATACACCTTGCAATTCTCTCTCTCTCTCTCTCTCTCTCTCTCTCTCTCTCTCTCTCTCTCTCTCTCTCTCTCTCTCTCTCTCTCTCTCTCTCTCTCACGAACACACACACTCACAAACACACACATACACACTCACTCAATAACAAGCATTCTCACACACACTTACAAAGACATACACTCACAACTGCGCTCACAAACAAATGCACACTGACAAACTGACACTCACTCGATAACAAGCACGTGTACTCGCACTCACACACTCACGTGCACGCTTTTCGAATACAGACATATTGACAAACACTTTAGTATTCAAATCCTGCCATATATTTAACGGGAACAGGACACACCCAGTCTAAACAACACACGATGCACACTCAAATCCAAGCCGGCCAGACAACTCATACCACAACAGAGCCGCATAACGTTCACGAAAGAGTTGCTATGGACACGAAGAAGTATGGGATGAAGAAGGTGTAATAGTTTGGGGTCAGACAACTCGGAACTCATTAATCTGACCTGATTTGTTTCAAAAGGCAATCAGGACAAAGTTAGTGCGGTATGTCGCCGAGTGTAATGGACATTAATGGCCTTGGCGGCTGGGCTGTAGACATTGGTGCGGACACTCCATGCCAAAGTGTCGAGCGTTGTCGTAAAGGGTTGCGATTAATGCCATTTCTCATGACAGGCAAACCCTTACATCCAACAAGAATACACCAATCACTTGATCGCAGTTCTCAGCCATGCCACTTGTTCATTTAGAAATATAGCCGAAATGACTTGATTTATCTGTTCGTTGGAAAACAATTATTTTTTAGTAAATAGAAAGAAACCTGAATCCTGCGCCTTGGAAGTTAGTTTCCTAATAAAGCAGAAAAGTTATTTATTAAGCTGCTAATTTTACATAGCTGGGTAGGGCTAGCAATACATTAAGAAAAAACACATGTTTTATCGTTAATATCCCACTATTTGAAATATGAACATCATCGAAAAAGCAATACCAACCAAACATGCTACCATATATGGAATACAATAAACTACGTTTATTAAGAACACTCTTGTTACGAAATGACGGATACAACGAAACTTTTGTTTGGTCACTTGCGGTATATTTTAGTCGAAATGCCTATTACGCACTGCGGTTATAACGAACTAAAATCAGTGGTCCCTTGAGTTCGTTATAACCGTAGGTTACTGTTTACAGTTTCTACAAAGTAACTGTTGCCCTTATGCCTTGGAATGTCCCTATGCTGAGCGCAAGCAGTCCATGTGCATGTAGCATTTGAACCCATCAATAATAGATTATTATATATTAGTTCATAGCAATATCATTTGAGTTCGTTACAACCGGAGTATACAGTATGTTTTACCATCAGCACCTGATCATTTTTGTGTGTGCGTGCGTGCGTGCGCGCTGATTTGGGCCTCTTTGTAACCGTATATCATCATGACATGTTGTTACATACTTTTATGAATAGTCTGTTTAATCGAGTTCTAGACAGCGGCGTTTTTCCAGATTCCTGGAATGTAGGATTGATTGTACCTCTGCATAAGTCGAGTGAAAGGGGTGATCCAAACAATTATAGACTAGAGGTATTCCATTTTTGAATACACTTAACAAAATATTTACAACAATATTAGATAATCGCATTAAGTCTGGATATCCACTCGTGAACTTTTATCTGAGTGCCAAGCGGGATTTCGAGAAGAATATTCAACTACGGACCATATATTTAGTCTCAAAAGTATTATCCATAAATATCTGCGGAAGAAAGGGGGAAAGTTTTATTGTCTATTCGTAGACTTTAAGAAAGCGTTTGATTCCGTTAATAGATCAAAACTGTTATATGTACTACTACAGTCAGGTATACATGGCAAACTCCAACGTCTTTTACGTAATATGTACACCAGTGTGAGAGCATCTGTTAGAACCAGTAAATTTCAAATAATTGATATATTTGATACATATGCCGGAGTGAGGCAAGGTTGCATTCTATCACCAGTACTGTTCCTGTTATATGTTGAAGAACTTGTTAAGGAAATGTTATGAAATGATACGAGAGGTGTATTTATTAACGAACATATCAGAGATCTTGCAATAATTCTATTTGCAGATGATGTCGTGATTCTTGTCGATTCTGTTGACCAGTTACAATGCAAGATACATACTCTAAATGAATATTGTTTGAAATGGGGTCTTCAGATAAATTAGTAAAACTAAAGTAATGTTTTTTAAAAATTGGGGTAAAATCTCTAAAAGTGAAAAATGGTTCTTTAATGGCAAAAAATTGGAGGTGGTATCATATTACAAATATTTAGGTATTATATTTTCGTGTAGAAATATTTTCTCCAGAGCCTGTGAAACATTATCTATGCAAGCTGAACGAGCCCTACATGTCATAAAGAAATTCATATGTAAATATAAAGAATTACCGATCCATGCATCATTTAAACTGTTTGACAGCCTCCGTTGTGTAGTGGTTAGAGCGTCCGCCCGGAGAGCGGAAGGTCGCGGGTTCGATCCCCGACCGCGTCATACCAAAAGACGTTGAAATATGGTACTTGTTGGTCCCTGCCTGGCGTTCGGCATTAATGGGTACAACAAGGACTGGTCGGCTCGGAGTCAATATAATGTTTCTGTTGCTTCACTGCGACATGGTATCTCAGTGGGCTAGCACTATCAAACAAGCTTAAGTCTGGGCTAGTACAAGCAGCCGCACATACACATACACACGCATGCACGTCGTTATATGAGCGAAATATTCTCAAGCACGACGTTAAACCCAATTTCACCTCACCTCACCCTTAAACTGTTTGATGGAAAATTTTTGCTGTACGGCTCTGAAATATGGGGCATTAATATAAACAAGGGTAGATTCAAAGTTCTGTAAGTTTTTGTTGCGTGTTGGCCACAGAACTGCGAACAAGGTTATTTTAGCTGAATGAGGACGTTTTCCACTGTTTATTAACGCCCGATGTCGGGTTATTTCATATTGGCTAAGATTGATGAGACAACCAATTTCACGATATTCAAGATGTAGTTATGAAATGCTTAAAACACTAGATGATACCGGAGATACTAATTTGGTTTCCTTCGTTAGAACTATTCTTTTTAGTCATGGCTTTGGAAATGTATGGCTCGCTCAAAATGTAAGTAATACACAATATTTCATCGAAGTATTCAAGCAGAGATGCAAAGACATTTATCAACAAGACTGGTATAATGAAATAACGTCATCAACCTGTGTCAACTTTTATTCAGAATATAAATATTGTATTAATACAGAAATTTACCTTTCAAAGATTAAATCACCACAACTTAAGCGTACGCTTATTAAATTTACATGTAACGCTTACAACTTCAAAGTCCAAGCGGCGCGATTTGCCAAAACTACAAATACAATAGATATCCAATGTCCATTCTGCATTTTTGTCGCAAGAAGATGACTACCATGTATTACTTATATGCCCAAAATATTTAGAAATAAGAGAAACATATTTGCCTTATTATTTCTATATATACTAGCCACATAAAGAAACTGTGCATTGTCAAAATATTATCCCAGTTGATAAGTACGATAACAATGTCAAAGGTACATATAAACTTTAATGGAGGGATCATGAGACCATAACAAGTCGGGAGAATTTCAATTGAAAAGTCAATCACAATGACGACTCGAGTCCACAAACGGGACAGGGGTCAAACGTCCACCATCGGCATTGAGAACAGCAGTGCATCGACGACGCATAGAGCCTATCAAACGTGCAAGGAAGGCTTGTGGGATGTCACGCCAGATTCTCTCAAGTTCTGTTGCAAGGTCAAGGACGTTATCTGGCGGATGAGGAAGACGGCGTAGACGTCGATCCATCTCGTCCCAAACATGCTCTATCGGGGAGAGATCCGGTGAATTTGCAGGCCAAGGCAGTAAGTCAACGTTGTGGTGTTGCAAGAAATCCATAGCAACCCTTGCCGTATGAGGGCGGGCATTGTCCTGTTAGAATGTTAACCCAGGGCCATGACGTTGCAGAAAAGGAATTGCCACAGGTCGAAGAATCTGGTCCCTGTAGCCCACACCAGTTAAGTTGTCCTGAACAATCACCAAAGGAGTTCTTTGGCGTGCTGTTATCCCACCCCAAATCATCACTGAATCGCCACCAAAGCGATTCCTCTCCAAGACACAGGCCTGTGCATAACGTTCTCCCACGCGTCTATAGGCACGTTGACGTCCATCACTATGGGAAATGTTAACCCTGGACTCATCTGTAAAAACAACATTTCTCCACCAAAACAAGGGTCTGCGGACATAATTTCGGCACCACATTCGGCGAGCTTGTCGATGACGTTGTGTCAGGATAGGCCGTATGGCGGGACGTCTGATCCCGTGATGAAGTAAACGTTGTCGAACTGTGTTGGGGTGGATACAGCGAAGTCCTGGGATGGTTCGGGCAGTCATCACTGCAGTCTGAAACCTGTGGCGAAGATGGGTCACCCTTATCCATCTGTCCTGTCTTGGCATTGTTACACGTGGACGACCAGAACGTGGCTGATCGATGACGTCATTTGTGTTCTGGTAGCGTCTCACCAGTGCAGAAATGGTGTTCCGGTGGCAGTGGAAATGTGCAGCCACTTGTCGTTGAGACATTCTCCCACAGACCATCCCAATGGCCTCATGACGTTGTGCAGACGTGAGCCTTGGCATGCTATGCGTTTCAACAGCCGTTTAATTTTTTGGCACGATCGCTAGGGCAGGGGTTAAGCTTCCCAAAGTGACAGTATTGTGTGGCATTCATTTGCTCTGTTTCTTTTTCCCGGAATGCTCGTGCAACAACCAATTGCACATCTCAAGGACGAACCAACTGACGTCACGGAACGTGGCACGTGCATGCATGTTGGATACATGTCACTAATCTCTGAGTTTGAATCCTTATGTGTCTACACAGGTTTGATAAATTTAGATTTTAAATTTTTGTATGCACAGTTTCTTTATGTACGTAGTATATATAACCAACCGTCGAGACATAAATTCTGTATGCTACTTCGCACAGAAAATATTGACTTGTTGTTTAAGGTAGCCCTTGTGTTGTACCACATACTTATGTTGAGAGAAAAAATGTATATTGTGAATGGATGTTCCTATAACTCGCGTATTTACAGGTTGCGCATAAATGCACTGTTATTATTGTACACATGTACTATTGGCCTCAGGGCCACATATACAAATAAATATGTCTGTCTGTCTGTCTGTCTGTCTGTCTGTCTGTCTGTCTGTCTGTCTGTCTGTCTGTCTGTTGTTACATACATGCAATATGCCGGAACTTCATTATTAATACATGTGCATCTACTGGTGTGCGATCGTGTGTGTGTGCGTGCGTGCATGCGTACGTCGAATAGCTGCCCACTACAAGAGCTAATAACTCTTTAGTAACTACAATGATTTATCGCCACCGGTTGCGTGGTAGTACACTAGTCAGTGAATATGTATTGTTGTACCCCTTTCGTGCAATACAGCACAGCAATATCACAGGCGTGTGAGCCCCAAAATGGGCTTTGAACCCATGAACAGAAACGAACCAGGGCCTTCGGTATGACGAGAACGCGTAACCGCTGGGCTATCCGATAACGTATGATTTTATGCAGGTTGTATCCCGATCATTGTACCACGTGCTTTTAGATCCTAAACATAAACGTGTTCCTTAAAATGTTGTCGTAAACAAAAATGCAATGAAAATAATACAATATTAATTAAATAAACTGTGTATTCTGTTTAGAGGCAAGAATTTATGGATGTCAACTTCTTTATTTTGAAGAACACAACAAACAAGTTGACATCCATAAATTCTTGCTTTTATGTGTATAACTTCTAAATGCCGTTCAAAGACTCTATTGTGTTAAGGACTTAAACAAATTCTTAAACATGCCTTGTATACTCATGCCAAAAATGGTTGTAACCCCCTCCCCACCCCAACCCAACACACACCTCACACCCACAACCCACACCCCCTCTCCAATTAAAAATATTGAAGGGGTGACAACCATTATTGGCATGAGTATATGTGTGTGTATTCTAAACACAATAACACAGTGTATTTAGAACAAAATCTGTAAATCCACATCGCTTCGAGTTTGGTTAGAAGCATAAATGAACGAGCGAGATTGATACTTAAGCCTGTGCTTCACGCTGTAACGAGGCTGCAAGTACAGTGTGTTCATGGCGTTTGTTATTGATGTTTATCCAATAACAAGGAGCAAACAGAAATCAGCAAATGATTCATGACTAGAGAAAATCTTTTTATGCGTGGCCGATAATGTTTGATGTTCTGTTCTGTGTAAATGGGAAGATAAATTGAAGAGTTACTTCACTTACACATATAACTGATCGCGTTTTGGGGTTGTTTTTTGTTTTTTATAACACCATGGCCACTTTTACAGATACGCAGGATCGCTTAAATTAAATGTCCGGAGTTGAGTCCCTTAGTTAAATCTTAAGACGCTTAGTCCCTGAATATATACAAGTTTGATAGTAACAAAGAGTTAATTGGCAAGGCTCCCACGGCATCGTGTATTTCGTATATCATCATCATCATCATCATCATCATCATCAAAACGGATGAGTGTTTTCATTTTCCCATCTCTATTTACTATCTAGCAACTGTAAGAACAAGAACTGCCTTACACAAATGGTGATATATGTCAAACATGTTATGTATATTTCTTGACGTGTATGCTTTGCTGTTTAACAAAGACGGGGCTAATTTCCTTGTGCTATATGCTTTCAGATGACTGCGTTTGGCCGATTACTCCAGTTTCTAGGAACACACCTTCAAGAACAACAGAGGAATTAACCAGCTGAGCCCAGTAATAACCCGTGTTTTTGTGTATGTGAGCGGTGGTTAACCCCCACCGTACAAGAGAAGTGGTTATTTAATTTGACGCACGACAGATATCACAGCTATTGTAGAGACTCATACAGCTGACAACTACGACCAAGGTATGTGCTGTCTGTTAACAATTAAAAAGAGCAGTTATCTTCTCTTCATCAACTGGATGTTATAAAGGTTCATCGTCAACGTATACACCAATACCAAACATGAGGGATCATTATAGTTTCTGTGTCAAACGTGTAGCTTCGCTGATGGGGGGCACGGTTGTGGATGAAAAAGTGTCCTCACTGATCCAACGTGTGTGCCTCAACGTCAGCAATATTTTGAACGTCACCCGACGTTACAGTCTCATGGATCTTGAAGAAGAGGCCCCCGTGGATCTAGCTGTGCCCCTCATGGGATATGCTGCCCCTGCGGTCGTCTTCCTGACGCTGGTGTTGAATGCTGTCGTTGTCGTCGTTCTCACTCGACGGCGACTCAGGTCGCCCACAAACGTCATACTCGTCTCCATCGCCGTGTGTGATACATTCACTGCATTGTTCTCATTACCGGGATATATGTATACGTACACTTACGAAGGTTACCGGAATTACCCGAGTATGGGCTGGTGTTATGTGTTGACCTACCTGTGCCGGTTTACCCCACAAGTTCTCCACACAGTGTCACTGTGGTTGACAGCCTTACTGGCTTTCCAACGTTACGTAGGCGTTAATCAAATGATGTGCAGAGCTTGGATCAGTCGTTATAAAGGCGTGGCTTTGTCTATCGTGTTTTTGACCATATTTTCCTTCACATCCCACTGTTTTCAACTCTTTCTAGTCTTAAAACCTGTAACCGTAATAGGAAAAGAATTATTCACCCCTACAGGCATTCAAATCTCAAACACCTGTTACAGACATTTAGCTGTTATAAAAAACGTGGACTATTTTTCGTATGTGTATACATGGGTGAGACTAACCCTCGCTCAGGTTCTACCCTGTTGTCTTCTACTGGTGTTTAACCTCTGTCTCATCAGGGCTACATACAGAAGCTATACATACAGGCGACGCCTTGTTGTTGGACACAAGCTTTCCGAATCCTCTGACACGAAAAACACGATCCGGATTTCGTTAATGCTGCTTCTTGTGACGTGTTGCACGTGCATTTTTGAAATGTTCGTTGACATCAATCTGGTTTTAAATTTCGCCCAAATTTATTCAAAACGATTTTTGGTTTCCCCAGACACATTAGGCAGGCTTCTCCTTGTCAGTAACTCCACAATCATCTTTTCGTTTCCTTTCAACTTCTTCTTTTACTTCGCGTTCAGCACCAACTTTCGGGTCGTGATCTTGTCATGCGTTAAACCGAAGCTCAAGCGGAAACTCACGCCCAACAGAGTGACACCGGGTGTTGATGGGCGCAGTACACATCATTTCAGCCTAACACATCTTCAGGGAATCAGAAACAATAACGGATATGCCGGAAGTGTTCTATGAATACCCAGTATGACAAATATGAAACATGTTCTTGTGACAAGTTGAACACTTTATATACTGTGGTTTCAGCAGTACGAACGTTTCACTATCCGAACGTTTTTTTTAAAAAACCAAAGTGTTCGTATTAACGAGGTCTGACTGTACATATCTATATATATATATATATATGTTACAGTCAGATTGTGAAATACGGTCAGCCATTCAACTATCCCTACTGCTCGTTCTCTTTCCGTGGGTTAACCTGGACATTCTCTCTGTGTGACTTTATGTGCAGTGATACTGCAGTGTTGGACAGGCAATGTATTTTGATTTTTCGCACGATCTTTCCCATGTATCCGACTAAGACACGTGTTTCGTGTTTCTGAGAATCGGGACCACAAAATACGTTTTGGCGATCGGTTTCGTGCATCACGAACATTGGCAATCGTCATCAAGCACATTTACATCAAATTTGATGGAAACGTCCAAAACCTATTTATATAGCTAATAGCGAAATGGCTGATCCTCTTAGTCATTTCCTGAAATGTCTGATTTCACAATCTGATTGTAACATATACAAGGAGTGGTAGCTTCATGGCCGGAAATGCATAAGGATGTACTCTATAATAATCCGTGTTGTGCAAACAATTGCTGTTACAAACTTGCTCCAAAGATGTACTGATGTCCATCAGTAAGTGTCCATGCATAGAGTCAAAAGTAAGGACCGCCAACTATAAGTAAGGCCCCAAACCGTAAGTACGAGAACCTGAACCATAAATTAGAACCCCCAAACCATAGATAGGGGCCCGTACCAAAGGCAAGGGCCCCGTATTATAACTAATGGCCCCGAACCATAGGTAAGGACTTACGAAGCGTAAGGGCCCTCAAACTATACTACCCATCAAAAGTTTAGACTCACTTAAAGCACTCACTATATGTTATGTATATGTATGTGGTTACATCGAAGATGAATTTCTCCACCAACTTGGGGGAACCAACTGAAAACCTTATGCAGATGAATTGCACAAGGATGATGCTTCAAATTGCGAAAGGCATGAGCAAATGTCGTGCATGTGAACAGATTCGTTTTGGTGTAAAGTTTTGTTAAGAATTCGCCAATTTTCACAGATTTTAATCATTTACTGAACTCATGACAATAATCTTTTCAATGTTACGAATATGTTTTACAATACACCAGTTCATAACTAAACAGTACCTTTAAACAGTATGGAATATTTTGCAAAAAGCTAGTTTAGAACAGTGGACAAGTAAGTGGCTACATTTACACTAGTGAGTCTAAACTTTTGATGGGTAGTATATAAATAAGGGAGCCGGGCCGTAAATAAGGGTTAGGTAAGGGTGTCTCAAGCATACGTAAGGGCCGAGAATCAAACGTAAGGGAATCTGTTGGTTCCAATGTTCAACCCAGCGTAGTTTGTTGCTGAAATCTTCCAACCCTGGTCAGTGATTCTGATTCTGTTTACTTGCCATTCGTGTGTGCCTGTAATGTTGCAATTGTCGACTGTTAAAGAATTACTGTGCTCCGTAATTATTTCCAATCAAGGTGATACAGAGAGTTTCGTTAGTTCAAATCTGACATTTCTCCATGTAGCCCATGCTATCATCAGCTGGAAGATCATTTTTCATCATACACATTTAACCGTAAGTCAAATAGTGGCGGTGTGTGGTCCTCTGTGCAGAGCTCAGGTCACAATTAGTTGAAGTTCAGCAACGTTGGGCGCGGATGGGTGTCCTCGGATGGGTGACGGTGTTGACTCCTGAGAGTTTCTGGGACTTTAGTCCTGCCCCATAACGAAGCACATGTGATACATGTGGTCTCACCTTAGGCAAGTGAGTGTGTTCAAAATTGCCTCTGTAAACTTGGGTACGATGGTAGTCTGAGTTTGAACCTTGAGCGCCTGACAGGCGACCGGTTGTATTCTCCAAAGGGAGTGTTCTGTACTCGTTGACCAGGGGTAATATGTCAGCGCTTGGAGCATGCGATGTGCATGGATAAATTCGCAATATAAATGAACTATTATCATCAGAAATAGAAATTTTAGGAATGACACAAATCAAACTCTCTGTTTGTCACACGCACCTACATCTGACCCAAGCCTCGTATTCTGTAACATTAGTGTTTCAAATAGTCTCTTAGACAACAGTGATGCTGAATTAAGTGTTGAATATAGTGAATCGGTTGTGATATTGTTTACATGTTTAACTTCTGTTCATAGCTGATAAATCATTTATGTTGTTGATATTATTATTCAAGGACGAGATTGTTATTGTTATTTGAAAGGACACCAGTCGCCGTGCCGCGGAGGGCTAATGCAATTTGTCCGTTGTGTTTGTCAGATCACAACTTCCTTCTTGTAATGACATGTTCATATATATGTAATTTTGTATTCTTTTAACAATACAACTTTGATGGTTTATAAAATCTTACACTCAGTTGATATGAGTTATACAAAGTATGTGGTTGTGTCCTGTATATGCCATGACATGTGATCATAATATTGTTGAATAAAAATACAGGCTGCTGTATTCGTCAGATTTCTTAGATATTTATATACATCTTTGAAAGTATGAGTTGGCTCTGAGCATCCACGGCCTCTATATCGTCCAGATTCGCATTTTGATCAACCTTCGCACTAACCCGAGAATCCGTTCCTTTGGTACCCGTCAAGATCCGGGTTAGAATTGATCTTCAGCAAATAAAGCTTGTCGTAAGAGGCGACTAACGGGAACGGGTGGCCAGGCTGGTTGACTTGGTTGACAACTATCATCGTATCCGAATGGCGTAGATCGATGCTCATGCTGTGGATCACTTGATTGTCTGGTCCAGACTCGAATATTTACAGACCGCCGCCATAACAGCTGGAATATTGCTGAGTGCAGCGGTAAACAACAAACAAACACACATTTCTGTGGTTCTCGCAATCTCAGATTACCCGCCCCTTATTCCAGTTTGCCAATTTGATTGGCTTCTCCACCAGGTCTGACTTAACAATCAAACCAGCCTCAGTTTTGACCTGGCAATATGAACAACGTGGCGGACAGTCCTACTAACGATGGTCAAGTAATGTAAAGTATGTCTTCGTGACCATTAAAACCGGTGGTGGTTCTGGTTTTGTAAGTAGTTAGACAATAACTAACGAGTTACGGGGAATGACAGAATATCTTTCCCGAGTTATATTAATAACTTAATTATGATTCCCCGTCACGAGTTGGTTATGTATTTATTACCCATATCAGTTTTCAATCTGAAAAACGATACAATGAAAACAGCATTCTCTACAAGGAACCCCGCGATGTGGGGGAATCCCCATATCCCTACGCGTTGATTGGCTGTTATATTTTCTGCAACAGCCAATCAACGTTCACCAAATGGTGTAAACCCCCAAGACACTTACAGGAAAAATACTACCCTGTGTCCTCCGTCGTATATGGGCAATAATTCAAGTTACCTCCCTGTCCAATCGTCTTTCTATCATTTCGACGTTTGATTGGTCAGCAAAGTGTTAAGAACCACTAAACTTTGTTTTTGGTTACTCTTTTAACCATTACATATGAAAGATTTGTGGTTAGTCTTATGCGGAACACCAAATTTATTCTTTAAAAACTTGTGGTTAATTCCGAGCGATTAAAAGTGGCCAAAAAGTCGCCTGCTTCCCTCTCGCACGCCAACGAAACCACAGACAGGTTACGTAACTCTGTCGCCAGAGCACTGCAGTGACGTCATATGAGGAACGATTTTCAGTTAGTTGTATAGAAAGTGTGTAGCACGCTCATCATTTTGATGATCTCTCTCGACATGAACGACGACATGCCGAATCGTTGCTTTGTCGTCAATTGCTCCTAGGGGTCGGGTGATGGTGTCACCATGCACAGATTTCCACAGGACCCCGCAGTTCGTGCTAAATAGGTAATGTTTGTGAGTGCGAAGCGAGCGTTGTGGAAGCCTGAAACGATATCTTACTTGTGTTCAGATCGCTTCACGGAAGTTAAAGAATCAAAACTACTTACTAGTTATAGTAAAATATGTATATGATTGATGACCATAAAGATTTTCCATAACACATCTTGTAACATAACGATTTCTTCCTCGGAAGTGAGGTTGTGGTCGAAGTAACAATAATATTGTAAGTACATGTAGTATTATATTGACACCCACCTCGCTGCCAGGAGAGAAATTGTTATGTTATACGCTATGTCATGCAAATCCTATTAGCCATCAATAAAATACATATTTTACTACCAGTAGAAAGTAGTTTTGATTTTGTAACTCGGTGAAAACAAACCTAAATAGCATTTATCCACAGACTGGCGGATGTTCCCGACAGGGCGCCGCCATTTTTGAAAATCGTAAAGTCTGTTAGAATTAATGAGATTATAGTTTGTTTTCATCAAGTTAGAAAATCAAAACTACTTTCTACTCGTAGTTAAATATGTATTGGAATCATAACCAAAAGGATTTTGCATGACACAACTTATAACATAACGATTTCTTCCACGGAAGCGAGGTGGGGGTCGAAGTCACAATACTGCGCGATAAATTTCTTGCTACATTCACATGGTTAATGTCCACTCACCAGTATGTAGATACTAGTCAATGTGCGTCTTTATATTTGGTCTTATAATCCTAATTAGTTTATTATCATACTTTTATGCATTTTGAAACTAAATAAAAAGCTGACGATCTGCTGATACTTATAGTGAATTTATAACAGAACTGTAATATCTAGACATTTTATAGTTTGCCAATGTGAATCATAATTCGCACACACACCCTAGTGTATGTTGTCTGTCTCATTACACTTCACGGCGAAAACAATGATTCTGTTGAATGCTACGACAAATGAATAAAAACAAAATGCAAATATTAAAATTAAAACAGATTAAAGTTATAGGAACAATATCAGGCCATTACCTTGTTTGAGGAATGTATCCATCAATATCCACAAAACTGTTCCAAATGATGTGTCTTTTAACAGTTTAATATACGAAAAAGTGATAAATCTTTTCAGGTATTGGTGTATAGTCTCATTGGTCACCCAAGATAGCACACCTGGCAACTCATTGCATAATGTCCGCCTTTCATGAAAAACAGTAATTTAGTTAGCCAATAATGGGCAATCAATCAATGTATTGCCGGTTAATCCTTTGAAAGAAGGACGTTGTTTTTACGCAGACACCGACACGGCAGAGTGTATTCAGTATAGATTAGTAAATCTACATACATAAACACTACCTTTTGACAATTCCGCTGTGTAAGATAAAAGTAATTAATCAATCAGCGTGTTATCGGTTAATCCTTTGATCGATGTTTATAATGTTGAATATTTACTCCAGACACAAGAAATGCCAAATGGGAACCTTTGTCGGGTAATCTAAGTGTGTTACCACTAATTATACCTGTTATAAATTCATTAACTGACCATCAAGTGAATGATGACAAATAACATGTGTAGGTTTAAACCACCTAACACGGGTTACAACAAGGGAGTATTAATTGCTGTATTGCATGTGAAAACTTATCGGCCGACACTGTTTTGAGAATACAAACAGATTTTTACATGACATGATTAAATATCGAGGTAAAAAAAACACAGAAATGGGATCAATTTGGATCAGTCATTATACAAATAGGGCCTAACGACACCAATCAATTGTGACAGAAGCGTCTATGAAAACAAGTTGTAACTCGGAAACTAGGCAAAGCAGGAGACAAAATTAAATGCCAGTAGATTGTGAGAACATATAGCTTTCATTTTCCACAACAATTGTCACGATTTCAGGTTTATACAAGCCTGTAAACAAGACAATTTACCCCCCTAAAATGTAGATGAATTCTGCATCGGCCCTCAAAGCTATTCCTCATATGACGTCACAGAGTCGCGCCGCTCTGATTGGTTGAAATTTCGTTCGCGGGTGAGAATTGTGCACTGTTGTCAAAAAGGTCGATTTAAGTCAATTAAAGGTCGAAATGTGTAGTTTTAATGACGGGGTTTCATTTATAACGATGCAAGTTAGTGATTTATGTATTTTTACCCCCTAGGGTTTATGTGACCTTTAACGAAAACCAAGGGCGGGTAATTTGCAATCGCAGGAACCACCGAATTGAGCCAAGGAATAGTGTACACGACGCTCCTCCCTGTAAGTTTTTTAACACATTTCAGTGTTATAACTTATCCCTTTAGTGTTATGTGTTTTGGAGAAGGTTTACCAAAATGCACGCCCTGGGGATGTAGAGGATGAGCAGCCACTGCAAAGTGTGAAACATGCTGATCGATGGCGGCAGGTTGTGGGTTGGATGTTGTGTAACGCCGCACTCAGCAATATTCCAGCTATATGTCGGCGGTCTGTACATTTATCGAGTCTGGACCGGACTATCCAGTGATCAACAGCACGAACATCGATCTACGCAATTGGAATACAATGACATGTGTCAACCAACTCAGCGAGCCTGACCACCCGATCCCGTTAGTCGCCTCTTACGACAAGCATGGGTTACTGAAGACTAATTCTAACCCGGACCTTCACGGGTCTTGTGATGGTAGGTGGTTTACAGGGATGCTTCACATGGTGTACCTTGATACCACATTGATCAATACTGTAGTGTCTGCATCCTCACTAATCTGATAGACGTGTACAAGTCTCTGAAGTAATAATGAATAGCTTAAAAGATAATTTCTAAAAAATAAAAATAACAGACTGGCGTCCCCCCGTATCTGAACTTGCCTTTTTAAAGGATAGAATTACTATACATCCACGGGCTTAGCATTCAGTAGCCTTGGAACAAGGCTAACTGTCTAAGTGCGTGTCTTGATACCCGCTCAACCTATAGGTGTGTATCAGTGTAGACGAGCTGATGCATCTGGAGGTATGATGGACATAATTGATGCTGCGTTTACACCAGGCAACGATTAGGCCACGATGGCCACGATTCTGATTTTTTTTTTTTTAAATCGCAACTCAGGTTAGAAAGCGTGAGAGATCGCAGATCCAAATCGTGGTGATCGCAAGAGATCTCCATGATCGTGAGGCATCTTTATAATCGTGGCAAAATATTAAACATGTTTAATATTTTGCCACGATCATGCCGATTTTTCACCTATCGTTTCAGAACATACTACTGCGTATAGTCCGTTTGACTTCATTTGAGACCGATGAATTGATCACTAACACAAAATCTAATAAATGCAACAAAGTCAAACTTTGCACAGTCACATAAAATCGACTGACCAACTCTGATGATTTGTCTCATAATTTTGGACACCCGAATAAAAACGTCATTATTTTGTTGTCACTTTTCGCTATTTCTCAAGACGGAGGACCACTTGCTGGTAGAACAGTGTGCGAGTTGTTCGTGTGAAATTCGCACACACTTGTTGATTACCTGGCTCCAGAGTAACTCATGCTGTCCGAGAATCGTGTCACAATCGTGTTGAATCGCCCTTCTTTGTCTAAACAGCAGGCAACAAAAGGTAGTAGACCATTATGAACGTCTCAAAACGTAAGAAATCGCAACATATCGTATAACTCAAATCGTGATGATGGTAAAAAGTCGCTACAGATCGTCAAATATTCGTAGCAGATCTTCATTGAAGTATAACTGATCGGATATCCAATCGTAAAATTGCGTATCAGATCCTATCAGAGCGCATGAAACCGTAAAAGAGCGTCAAGAAAGGGAAAAATATACAAAACGTTCCAACGTGGACCATGAAGATCTACTACGATATTTGATTCGCGTCGGATCGGCATAATCGTAGCCTAATCGTGGCCTAGTAGTGTAAACGCAGCATGACGCATGTCAGTTCTTTTCAACACATTGCGTGAAGCAAACCTGTAGTAACAACTTGATACAAGTAAGGTGAGCAGATACGTATACATATAATACGAGATAATGTGGAGCTGTTACAACTTATATCAACTGCTGTCCTGTGACCTAATCTCATATCAAATGCAGTGAACGAGTGACACTGTTGAGGTGTACTGCAGCTATGTCGCGGCTTGTCACCTTCTTTCAGTGTGGATAAAGGCTTAGATGTTTTTCCTGTTTAGAGCAACCCCCGGGTAAACCAAGAAACAGTGAGGGAGAAAGGGAGAAAATTCTATCACTTTCACTATCTGGGAGGAAGTTGACGGCATGGAGACGGCGTGGGTCCTATCATTTTCAAGATCATTGATAACGAAGCTAAGTGGTAATGTGGGAGTGTTTTTAATCATGACAACAACTACGATACTATTTTGTAACAATAAAACATAACCTGGTTTCCCGATATATAGAAATGCCCGTAGTATGTGTGGTATCTATAGCACTTGATGGTCCTGACACCACTTCAAAAATCTGTTACAATTTGTGAACCTTTCTCTAAGTGGCGCTATCCGTGTGCGGAAAGGTGCAGTGATGTGATTCAGAGATTTCTTTGAATAGGCAACCCGGAACAACGGTCAAACGTCTCCCCGTTGTCTCTCAGGGAAGAAGTGACATTACTGTTTCCTGCACGTCAAGCATGAGTAACCAATGTAGCGCTGGCACGAAGAGGAGACTCAGTGTCGAGCAGCACGGAGATGAAGAAGGAGCCAAAATTACTGGTTAACTGTGTTTTTCAAAATGGCAGCCAAATCCGAAAAGAATCACTTAATTACTCTCTTATGGATCTTGAAGAAGAGGCCCCCGTGGATCTAGCTGTGCCCCTCATGGGATATGCTGCCCCTGTGGTCGTCTTCCTGACGCTGGTGTTGAATGCTGTCGTGGTCGTCGTTCTCACTCGACGGCGACTCAGGTCGCCCACAAACGTCATACTCGTCTCCATCGCTGTCTGTGATACATTCACTGCATTGTTCTCATTACCGGGATATATGTATACCTACACGTACGAAGGTTACCGGAATTACCCGAGTATGGAATGGTGTTATGTTTTGATTTACGTATGCCGGTTTATTCCACAAGTTCTCCATACAGTGTCAGTGTGGATGACAGCAGTACTGGCATTTCAACGTTACGTAGGCGTCACTGAAATGATGTGCAGAGCTTGGATCAGCCGTTATAAAGGCGTGGCTCTGTCTATCGTGGTTCTAACTATACTATCGTTCATATCTCACTGTTTTCAGCTTGTTGTAGTTCCAAGACCATTGATTCTGGTCTGTGAAGGTTGTGATGTAATAGTCTCAAACACGTGCTATTTGCACACAGATAACGATATATATGTCACAAGAATAGACACGCTGCTGAGACTGATATTGGCCCAGTTGATGCCGTGTTTCCTTCTCCTGGGCTTCAATATCTGCATCATCAGATCAACGTACAAGAGCCATAGATACATGCAGCGCTTGGTGGCCGGACATAAGCCGTCCGAATACATAGACACAAGCAAAACAATCCGGATCTCGTTCATGCTTCTTCTCGTGACGTGTTGCACGTGGATATTCGAGATGTTTGTCAACTTAAATCTTGTCTTGGATTACACCCAAAATTTAGTGTCGCCGGATACCCTGAGTGGCCTCGTTCTTATATGCAATTTTACAACACTTCTTTCGTTTCCTCTCAATTTCTTCATTTACTTCACCTTCAATTGTAACTTCCGGAGCGTGTTATTGTCCTGTGTGAAAACGAGACTGAAGCGGGAGATCGCTCCTAGAAAAGTAACAGCTGGTTGTGATGGAGTTACGTATACATATGACATCTCTCTTCTCCATCTGCAGAAGAAAAAAAGTGTATCTGATACATGAAAAACTGTGAATAGGATTACCGGAACATTAAAGTGGTATTAGGAAACGGACAAAATGGTATATTCGATTGAGATGAGTTGCGTCCCTTAACCTGCCAGGGTCCGCTGCACGTTGATTCTTAGGTTCGCCTCGATAATCATCCTAGATATGCACTATCACTCAGCTTGCAGGTTTGACCAAACTAGTCAACGACCTGGGACTTGACTTGAGAGTTAGAGTGGGCGAGTGGGTTTATTGTTACGCCGCTTTTTAGCAATATTCCAGTAATATCACGGCGGCGGACATAAAAAAATGTGCTTCATACATAGTACCCATGTGGGGAATCGAACCCGGGCCATCGACGTGACGAGCGAACGTTTTAACCACTAGGCTACCCCACCGCCCCCGAGAGTGAGAAGTTGGGAGTACTAAGGAAGGATATATACGCACTCAGTGTACCCAGCGGGACCCAGTGAACTCTGACCTGACAACAGATATTTAGGTGACGCCCTATATAACTGATGGTTTGTGACAACCGTATTCCTTGATAGCTGAGTCACACACAAACGCGATTTGAGAGAGAGAGAGTTATAGCTAGTTTCAAAAATATTTATTTTTCTTCAGATTCTTTGAAATTATATGTTTTTGACAATTCTGTTGTCATTTATTGAATGTCTGATTCTGTATGTGGTTGTGCTCTGTGTCATTTTACTTTTCGCTCCATGTTGCAAATAAATATTTTGTCCATGTTTTACAATCCGTTTCGCGTTGGAGTTAGGTCCCCAGGAATAATGTTCGTTCGATTATTAAATTAACCTCAGTTACGTCTCCTAGTATCACACTATCTCAATGTCTATGGCATTAGGCTTCCCTCCAGATAATTACTGAATAACTCATGAGACATCCCTAAAAGGGAACCAAACTATCCTTTATTTAAACACGATATATGATATATAACAAATACACCACCGGCGAGTCTGCACGAAGGGCAGACAACTGTATGTTCGATTCCCTACCAACAACCGTTAAAGGGTTGTACGTGACGTAACGTGTCACTGGGTGTGATCGATTATTAAAATGTGAGTGACATTCAGCCGAGGTTACCACATTTGTGGCAACCAGGGTCGACTAGATTCAACCTGAGTGAACCAGTTTTAACCTGGAATCGAAACGGACGCCAGCAGAAGGAGGTTTGTTTTTTTGTTGAGTGTGTTTTCAGTCTGCACTTCACTTGACTTTACGCTAGAAAGTATGACTGTAGACTGTTAGGTATTATTAGTTTGTTGTTTAACGCCGTACTCAGCAATATTTCAGCTATTCTATTCCAAAAAGAAACGCATAACCCAGAAAACTGTTGCGAAAATGTTGTATTTTTAAACATGTATAACTCGTCCACAAAGGGTTTTGTACATGAATTTTTACATCAGTTTAGAAGAGGTAATGTCTATACAACCAAGTGGATAATTTTAGTTAACTGAGACGTTGAGCGTGATGCGACGACGTAGCACGGTCCCGACGTCGGGTCTCCTGGCTCTCAGTCCAATCGCTCTCAACCTGTTCCGTACCGTTTGACCGGATATCCTCCGAAGTCCAGGCACCCTGGCTGCTGTGCTCTCATCCGTGGCAGTACGATCACGTAAAGTGTAGTACCCAGATGTACCGATCTTGGGCTGCAGTTGTGACTCGAGGTCTGTCTGTACGGGGACGGTCATTTCTTATACCCGTTTGGTTGTAACGAGCTGCAAACCGTGATATCGTGCTCAGACTAACATTCAAACGCCTGGCACCAGAAGACTGATAATCTCCAGCGTGCATTCTTTCAATGGCGATGTTGCGTGTCGCAGCGTCAAGACGTGGCGTAGTGATTTAACCTTAAAACTTCATCAAAACGAATGTCGATTTCCGAAAGTAATCTGGATTTTTATTGCCAGACAGTGCATGCTCTTTGCTGCACAATTTCAAGTGGAAGGTGATTTCTGTTGTGTTGTGGCAATGCCTTTTTAATCCTTGTAAGAAATCTCATCTCAATCAACATTTTCAGGTAAAGTCGATTTTTGACTTGTACAATTGTGTAAAATCATGTTATCAACACTTTTGTTACATAATTTGACGATTGTTTGAGCACAATACATATGCGTTTCTTTTTTGGAATAGTATATATGGCGGCGGTCTGTAAATAATAGAGTCTGGTCCAGACAATCCTGTGATCAACATCATGAGCATCGATCTGCGCAAGTGAGATACGATGACATGTATCAACCAAGTCATGAATGAATTTATTTCAGTATTATTCTGTAAGTAGGCCATCGGCCCATGTACAATGAATGAATTTATTTTCATAGGATACAAAAGGATATCATTTTAGACAAGGCAATATACAATGTTACACATTATTTACACACATTTGATCTGATCACGAGGGCATGCTTAATAAACTGCACAGTTTTAAGAAGAATACTGGTATTATTACATAGCATTAATTTTTTAAACTTAATGATAGTTGGACATTGATCAAAATTTGGTAAATATATACTACATAACCTTACATATGCATCACAGACAAAAAGAAAATGTAATTCATCCTCTGGGACATTACTGTTACACATTTTACATATTGTTGAGGCATAACTATCATCTTTTCGTCTTACATTACACAGAAGGGGTAGGTGATGAAGTCTAAGTAAACATAAATATCGTCTATATTCTTTAAAATGTACATTTGAGACATAAAACTCTACATCTAATAAAGATTTAATGGTCTTGTAGTAAGCTAAATGCGATGATTCATTAATTCTACTCAATATGCTTTGCCCCTTTACATCAATAAGCCTCTGTTTGAACATGGATATAAAATGATTAATATTGCCAACATCATGACTAAACCACACAAATCCAAACCCGTTGATGTTTAACAAACTTTTTACATATGATGCCCAAGTATATCTACCAGCTGCGTCGAGATTTTTCATCAAAATATAGCATTGTTTAGGATACCTGTCTTCAGACATATGAAGTAATATACACCAGTAACGTACACATTTAACATAATAATCAACACTTATACAATATCTACCACAATCTGCTAATATAGCATTGCTAGAAACATGTTTACCTACGCCAAGAACATATTTACAGAAATTTGTATGAAATTTGTTAATTAACTGTCGTTCTTGATAACCCCACACTTCTGCACCATAAAGTAAAATTGGCTTCACTTTGGTATCAAAGAGCTTAAAAAGAATATTAACTGGAATATTTGGATATATGTAGATTAACTTCTTTATAGAAAATAATGCCTTGTTTGCTTTGGTCGATAGTGTCTCTGTACATTTAGTCCATGACAGACGTGTAGAGAAGAGAATTCCAAGATAGTTGTAATATGTAGAGGTTTTTTAACTGTGCTCCTTGAAGAAACCATTTTTCATAGTGACGTAATCTACCTCCGTTTCGAAAAACCAATATCTCTGTTTTATCCATGTTAACTTGTATGGGTTACTGAGGACCAATTCTAACCCGGATCTTCACTGGTTAGATATAAGATTAAACGGAGCCAGCAGAAGCAACATGAAAGAAAGGGGGTATTTGTTATAGTGTACAACCATGGAAGGTAAACAGGTGGTACACTGCTTGATAAATCTGCCATTATTATACAGTCCCCGGATTAGACTCAATCTTAAAAATACTACACTCTGTACTTAACTGAGAAAGTGAATCCCAAATATAACATGTTACATTTGACTACTTTCTAACTAACGCCGCCATAACATGAGCAAAGCTGTAATACTGATTATAAAGTATCGACATGTAAATCTAAAATGGGCAGTGAAAGTGCCCTGGCACATATCAGAATGCATGTACACTGTCGATACCTAGTTATTCCGATTAATTAAAATGTTCTAATTCGTGAATGAATAAATACATAGAGAATACTGAACGATGTCCCGTGTAATACTATATTATTGAAACTAGTGAATGGTTTGGTATCTAACGAGCGAAAGCGAGTAGATACCAATACCATTCACGAGTTTAACAAATATGGTATCACACGGGGCATCGTGTAGTATTTTACTTATTACTCACCCAACATTAGCAAAATAATATCTAAGAATTCAACTTACAGAACGAGTGCATTACGCCGTCATAACAGGGGTCACGCGTAGGAATACATTTCAGTAATGATTGTCAATATTAGTCTATTTAATTTAATTTTTTTAAATAAACAAGGACTTTATTTTATTACAAAAAAATATGTAGATGTAGCTATGTACAAAATGTTTTAAATAAAAAACATCTGAAATATCGCGACTTCGATATGTGTTGTGAATGACAGATGACATTTTGTTTGGATCACGTTACTTTGGTCATGTGACCGAGTGCAAGTAGTTCCGGCAGCACGCGATGCTATCACACAATGTGTAATAGCATTGTAGATCTACTAAACAGGGATATCTTCAACGGGTGAGTAATAAATAAACTTAACTACCTTCAACGATGGCGTCACGCGGAGGTTGCAAACCAGAGTACTGCTGCCTTGTGATTCAATTGGTAAGGGCAACCATGACGTGTTAAAACCGACAGGGTATTTTAGTAGACTTGCATTATAGAATCGGTGTGTCTAAAAGCGCACGCACGCGCGTACACACACGTACACGTGCAAGTATGTCGCTACATGGGCCCAATAATCGTGGCGTTTTAACTCATTTGACCTTACAATACATCAAATATAACAAAACTCGTTAATACGTTAAGTGAGCTGCAGTACCTCCTTGGATGATGACAGGTCGTCAGTCATGTACAAACGTATTGGTCACTACAAGGCACTTTGTACGAAATCCTACCCAGCCTTCAGTTTGAAGAGAAACACGATAATCCGTCGTCCACGCCGTGGTGTTATTTAGAGACGTGATCATGAAATCTTTCCCTTCATGCATAGTGGAGCACTGCTACGTCACAGAACCGAGTGGGACGCAATATCAATACAGCTAATTGATGGTTGAAATCGAAACCGACAATGGTGACGCTGGCAAAGGTTGTTGGCGTCGAACAAATCATTAATGTCGGTTGAGGTTTGGGACCTTGCATAACATTCACTGTGTTAGTGAAATGTCACTTCGATCATTTGGAATTATGTTACCCTCGTGGGTGAGGTTATTTCATGGAAGAGTTTCAACACGGAGGATCGAGCTAAGGACAGAACGACACGATATACATACGGGCAGAATTCGTTAGATTTTATATTTTACAAAAATAATTTTCAAATAAGAGCGACAAAATCCTTTCCACTTCAATGAGAAATCTATGCTAAAGTCGATAGTGGGTAGTAATTTCGACTAAACCATGAGCCTGTGTGTATGAATCACTATATCAAAATACTGTTCGCGAAATCATGAACGAATCCTGCAGTTGATCACATACTGAATATCCATCAACAGAGCATAGTTTGAACATGTCTGAATTTGATTTTGTCATTCGTCAAGGGGAAAGATAACATTCCTGGTAATGATCGGATAGGTCGTCACTACTAGAAGAGTAGAACCAACAAATTCTCTAATGAAGTCATGGACTTTAGACTAGCACTTAGCCTCTTAATAGATATAATGTTGATTGTAACAAATAAACCCTTTTAAATAGAAAAGTACTGTGCAGGACAGACTATCGTGGGCTTCTGTGGTCCGAAATTACGGCACCCGTGAAGATCAGGGTTAAAATTGGTCTTCAGCAACCCATGCTTGTCGTAAGAGGCGACTAACGGAATCGGGTGGTCAGGCTCGCTGACTTGGTTGACACATGTAATCGTATTCCAATTGCGTAGATCGATCCTCTTACTCTGGACATTTCAGGCGACTAATTCTCGCAGGCGTAGCATTCCTTAAAATGCTGAAGTATGTATTACAGCACGGCCAGAAGTGGCAGACCCGTGCTTCCTTGGCCTGGCACCTCGTTAAACCCCATGTGCTTGCCTCAGGTTGGAGGGGGAGGAACATGTGTGCCACTGCCCTGAGCCGTGATCGCCAGACGCACAATGCCCACAACGCACTGTTATTGCGCTTGATATATGTATAGGTGTGTGATAACAAGCTAACGTTTCTGGAACATACTGCTGTATATATTCCTACCCGCAATCAAAGGGGTTAAAACTAAATACTTCACACAGAAAAAACATCGCCGGATATATAGTGGACATTCACAGGACTGGGGCGCCGCAACAATTTAAGCTGAGTCACGCCTGACTGTACGGATTCGCCAGTGTTATGATCACTGGTCTATCCGAACCATTTCATGTGAGTTACGTAACTATGACTTTACACCACGAACATTCAGTTGAGACTACCTTCTGAAGCTGAAATCCGCGTTAGTTAGACTAAAATCACCCATGGGGTTATTCACAAGCTTCATAATCACGGTCATATGAAACTGCCACTGAAGCGACGCTGCCGAAGGAATGGAATAAAAGTGCCTCATGGGAATAACCTCTACAAACGATCGCATTAAGAACCTGATCTTCATGACATTTATATCAAATGACGAGCTACTGATCAGCCACATTGTCTCTCAGTATCGTCCTTAACTACAAAAAAGCTTTTTGACATACACGCAAACACAAACACGATAACTACATGCTTAAAAGTGGTTAACAATGATCTGAACGATTCAGTGTATTCAGCAAACAAAATGGATTTTGATCTCATTTAATTTCTTGCAGTCATTCTTGCAACAGGTATACAGTCGATTTGTGCAGCGCTATCAGTAGGGTTCCTGAACAGACATGGTGATCCATCTCGGAAGGAAACGTGCTTGACGAAGTGTCCTTAAAGTGAACATCATTGGCGTTTCATTGCAAATACCGTAAAGTTTCAAAAGGCCAATCCCTCCTTCATTACGGCTGACGGCGTTCTGCACCATCAAACACCGAACATCAGAAAGTACATCCATTAAGTTATTTGCACGATGAGCACGATGTCTGCTACGTTTAAGCCGCCTAAGATTTCAGGTGGAACACATCCTCGGCAATGTGTGCTTGTATGGGGTGGGGTGGTATTTTAATGGATCGGGTGGTCATGCTGGACCACTTAGCCGGTTGCCAGTCATCGTACTTGACTGAGTGTACCGTTCACTGTGATATAAATCACTCAGACTCATTGTCGCCCTGTCTTGATTGATATTTACACGTCTGTCATTTAGTTGTAATATTAGGGGACTCCAGCCTTACACAAAACAAGAAACTGAACGAGATTTAATGATCTGACCGAGAATTTACGGTACTTTATGTGTGTGACGCAGTAACCAACTTTTCAAAGTCAGTGACGTAAATGACACCCCCTTCAATTCCTCTCAAAGTCACAGCTGAATGACATGCACAGAATATTACTTTTGCACTTTATCAAACAATGGGCATGATATATCCATCTTTATATCTATAACGCAGATATTAACCTCTTGTCCTGTTACCTTCTTTAATATCAATCACCAGTAGCATTCTTTGGGAACTATGTATTCTGTCAGAGAGAATGCAAACCTGATTTATGTCAAGGGAAATCCAGGGTAGAATAGATCCTCCCTACAAACAAGAAATACACAAAAATCACATGGAAAAACATCTGCCCATTTTCACCCGTTTGTTCCAGGTAATCCAGAAATGGTTGTCTCCAAATGGAGATTAAGTGACTAAGGCAGGCTTGTCTGAGCAGGACATTTTATGACTGGTTAGAATCTGACATGACAGAATCTCACACTTGTTTCCTAGATGCACGGGAGGCATCTTGCAACAAAGTCAGAATGATGCTTGTGATATCCTCACTTGTTTACTCACAGAATAACAGGGTTATTTGTTTGGATGTCTCTCTTAATTTATTCTTCTTCAATACAGGCTCAAAACGCAACTATGGCGACCCCTGAAACGAGGACAATGTCTCCTGTTTCATTGAGGTGTCTCTCTATAGGCTTCAGGACATAACCCAAGGTATCCAATCTTACATGCAAAAATCAGGTTGTTACAATGCACTCCTTCCTATTTCAATGGACCGCCTCCATGGTGTAGTGGTTAGAGCGTCCGCCCGGAGAGCGGAAGGTCGCGGGTTCGATCCCCGACCGCGTCATACCAAAAGACGTTAAAATATGGTACTAGTACTTGTTGGTCCCTGCCTGGCGCTCGGCATTAATGGGTACAACAAGGACTGGTTGGCTCGGAGTCAGTATACTGTGTCTGAGTGGGGTATTCATGCTTCACTGCGGCATGGTATCTCAGTGGGCTAGCACTATAAAACCAGCTTCAGTCTGGGCTAGTACAAGCAGTCGCACATACACATACACACGCATGCACGTCGTCATATGAGCGAAATATTCACAAGCACGACGTAAAACCCAATTTCACCTCACCTCCTATTTCAATGTTCATTTTTGCTTACGCTATCAATCACAGGTTTGACACATTCATGTGAAAACAACCACACATGTCTTCACCATGGTTACATGTCAATTTAACTGCATCCAAAAACCAACAGAAGAGAGAAATGACAACAAATTCTCCATTCACATATACAATTTAATGAAACACGTCACAATAATGATTTTTATGCCAAGCAATTTTGTTGTACTGGGCATATAACTGAGATAAAAATATGATCAGACCATGTAAACACAGAATTAGTATACTTAACTACAATGTAAATGTCAACAGACAAAGTCAATGAGGAATCACTGTGAAAATACACCAGGCTCACATGAACACATCTTTGATCACTATCTTCAACACAGCTCGAAGTAGATCAAGAAAATAAATAAGAACACTGTAAGCAAAGGAAATTAAGATAATTATAGCATTGTGAGAAATTCTACAAATTTCCTGATTATTTCTTAAATATATAACTGTCTTCACAGGAATTTGTCCTATTTTCCTGTTCTATGTTAATCTTAACAATCTCTACTTATGTTATTAGCTAAAACTCATACAGTTTAAAGTAACAGGGATAAACATTCTACCATGTATATGAATAGGTCACCATGATAAAACTCCTGTAAATGTGTCTTGCCCATCTTTACAAAATCTTCCTTTATGGAAACAGAATTCCATATATCTGCTATCAGAAAACAATATTGATTAATATACCTCTGAAATGTCTTGGAACTTTCACCAGTTTAACCTTGTGAAGATCATTGATTTGTTTGTAGAAATCTTTTCATATCTTTTCAGGTCATTTTAATTTAGCAATTCTAGAAAATTTTCGCACAAAAATACGTTCATATTTCCTGATATCATGAGTTATGAATATACCTAATGAGACAATAAATGCATTTTGAGCAGTTATACTGCTAAAAATAGTATCTAAGTTGACATCGGTGAATGTGTTTTATATACAAATGAAAATATGAGTCCAATACTTGAATCAGTTCTGATATGAGAATGATGAAACTGTGAATGATACTATGCAAGCACTTTTGAAACAGAAATCTTCATCGGACAAATCGCTGGTCCTCTTCTTCGTTTTTGTATGGGTCAGGGTACTCTGTCAGGTCAAGGGTCAGCACGTTACTGATAACACAGTCCCCTTGCTGAAAAACAAAACAGGGTCGACTTTACAATCTGGGCCAAAAGTGTCCGAATCTGCAGGGTCAACTCTCAGAGTGAGTGAGTTTAGTCCTATGTTTTTAGCAATATTCCAGCAATATCATGTCGGTGGACACCAGAAATGGGTTTAACACATTGTAGCCATGTGGGGAATCAAACCTGGGTCTTCAGCATGATGAGCAAATGCTTTAACCACAAGGCTACCCCCGGCCCCAACACTATCAGTAGATTTAAGAGTTATATGGACTATCAACAGCAAAGCTGACTCAACTGAACAGAATGTCACTGTGATGAGTTGAAACAGTTACAACAGCATAAAGCATGACAACTGCTTCACCAAACAGTACAATTGTCAATCTGGTTTCTCACAAGGGTGTGGACGTTCAGTGACTGCAGAGAGTTTAGCTTACCACTGGGTATATGCCGATGAGGGCATCAGCTCGGTTGTAGAACTCTTCCTTTAGGGAGATGACGATGCACTGGAAGTGTGTCTCGGACTGCTCCTGGATGTATGCTGCAACCTGGAAATAGATTCAGATGACAATGGAGTTTGGTGATAACAATGGGAACAGTCAGGTGACAACAGTAGAAACAGAGTCATATGACAACAGAGGGAACAAAGTCAGATGATAACAGTGGGGACAGTCAGATGACAACAGTGGGACAACAGAGTTGTGTGATAACAGTGGGAACGGTCTGGGGATAAAGGTGGGAACAGCGTCAAATGACAACTGAGAGAATAGAATCAGGTGTCAACAGAGGGATCACAGTCATATGACAACAGTGGGAACACAGTCATATGACAACAGTGGGAACAGAGTCATATGACAACAGAGGGAACAAAGTCAGATGATAACAGTGGGGACAGTCAGATGACAACAGTGGGACAATAGAGTTGTGTGATAACAGTGGGAACGGTCTGGGGATAAAGGTGGGAACAGCGTCAAATGACAACTGAAAGAATAGAATCAGGTGTCAACAGAGGGATCACAGTCATATGACAACAGTGGGAACACAGTCATATGAGGGAGAGTGACAACAGTCAGTCATGACAACAGTGGGAACAGTCATATGACAACAGTGGGGACAGTCATATGACAACAGTGGGAACAGTCAGATGACAACAGTGGGAACACAGTCATATGACAACAGTGGGAACAGTCATATGACAACAGTGGGAGCACAGTCAGATGACAACAGTGGGGAACAGTCATATGACAACAGTAGGGAGGAGCACAGTCATGGGACAGTCATGACAACAGTGGGAACACAGTCATATGACAACAGTGGGGAACAGTCATATGACAACAGTGGGAGCACAGTCATATGACAACAGTCAGATGACAACAGTGGACAACAGTCATATGACAACAGTGGGAACACAGTCATATGACAACAGTGGGGACAGTCATATGACAACAGTGGGAGCACAGTCATATGACAACAGTGGGAACACAGTCATATGACAACAGTGGGAACAGAGTCATATGACAACAGTGGGAACACAGTCATATGACAACAGAACAACAGTGACAACAGAACACAGTCATATGACAACAGTGGGAACACAGTCATATGACAACAGTGACAACAGGGGAACACAGTCATATGACAACAGTGGGAGACAACAGTGACACAGTCATATGACAACAGTGGAACACAGTCATATGACAACAGTGGGAGCACATATGACAACAGAGGGAACACAGTCATATGACAACAGAGGGAACACAGTCATATGACAACAGTGGGGACAGTCAGATGACAACAGTGGGGACAGTCATATGACAACAGTGGGAACAGAGTCATATGACAACAGTGGGGACAGTCAGATGACAACAGTGGGACAGTCATATGACAACAGTGGGAACAGTCATATGACAACAGTGGGGACAGTCAGACAACAGTGGGGACAGTCAGATGACAACAGAGGGAACACAGTCAGGTGAGGCACTTGCAACACAGCCTGTGGAAAACACGGAATACACTGGGAATCGTTAACATAGATAGAAGGTGTGATAAATCCATTTTAGCCAACAGAATCAAACACTGCAAAGTAATTTACAACACAACAACTACGCTTGTGCTCATGTGATTGAGAATCGGATTCCGTTCAAAGAGACAGAGTTTTCAAGTGCATTTAATTTGTTTCTGTTATTTACTTCTCAAAAGTCCAGTGCACATTTTGTGCCCTGACCCTCACATTCTTGAAAATCAACTTCATTCAACTAGATGAACCGAGTCCATACCTTGCCAATGTTAGTGTTGTCTAAGGCAGCATCAATCTCATCCAGAACAAAGAATGGGGCAGGCTGGAAGCTGAAACAAGATAAAAAAATATCATCAGCATGTGTTGTTTTCAAAGAGTAAGTGACTTGGTTTTCACACCACATTGAATAGTAACTGACAAGACAGTTATATCAGGCCTTGTCAGCTTGGCAGGATGGTTGGTTGTTTAACGCCACACTCAGCAATATTCCAGGTGTATGGCTGCGGTCTGTAAATAATCCAGTCTGGACCAGACAGTCCACTGATCTACATCACAAGCATCACTCTACGCAATTTGGATACAATGATATGGCGATCCTGACCACCCGATCTCGTTAGTTACCTCTTACGTCAAGCATGGGTTGCTGAAGACCGATTAGAAAACAAAGTGCTGTACATCTCAGATGTACACCTCCGATGTACACCTCCGATGTATACCTCAGATGTACATCTCAGACCTCAGATGTCAGATGTATACCTCAGATGTATACCACTTGCATGAAACTCACGAGCACAGGTATGGTGCTGACAAACAAACAATCACAAATTCGGAAGTCAGGATTAAACCCATGATAGTAGGTTCGAGGTGTGTTCAAAGGGTCACAACTGCACTGTGAAATACATCACCTCAGACAAGTCTGTTCACAAAGAAGATCATGTTTCAGTAGAACAGTTTTCTACCTCTTCAAGGAACACAGGGTTTGAAGACATTCTACATCGAAACTTACCTGTGAATTGCAAAGAGCAGAGCGAGGGCAGCAACAGTTTTCTCTCCACCAGACAGGTTGTCCATGGGTCGGAAACGTTTGCCTGGAGCGACACAGTTGTAGTTGATGCCATCAAGGTAGGGTTCTTCTGGGTTCTCCGGACCAAGGAAAGCCTGGGCACTCTGATTCCGGGGCTAAAGACTGGACACAGACAAGTCACACTCACTTATGCACATCATGAAGAATTATATCGTCAATTCCACAATATAACACTTAGAATTAGATAAGATTCACACTGAGGCATGTTTAAAAGCTAAAATAGCATTTAAATCAAGTCCAGTGAGGCATGTTTAAAAGCTAAAATAGATTTAAAATCAAGTCCAAACTTTTCAGGATACCTGTTACAAGCTGTGCCGGACAATGTTGATTTACAGGGATTTATCTGGGCCTGCTCAGAGGCAGATATTTGGCCTCAGGTCTGCAGTTGAATCCCAAGTTGGAATTCACGTTTTAATTCATACAACTTCATACGTGAAAGAGCACTATTTACTGGAGGCTATACAAGCTGTACGCCATAACATATTAAATGATGAACATGTCCTTACCTTGTAGATTTCATCTATTCTTGTGGCCACATGATCAAAACATGTCATGAATCGGTCGTATCGCTCTTTACGAATTTTTTCAAATACTTGTTTCGCCTTCTTTGCACGTTTTCTAGCATTTTCAAATTCTTCTGACGTTAAAACTAATCTTTCCTTGACACCATCTAACCTGAAACAAATGAGAAACTGATCGTCAGCAAAACTTAGCAATCAATGAAAACAGTGTCACATTATGTTTAAGAGGTTCAAGCACCTGTACATGGGGTCAGTATTCATTCAAGTATTGGTACTGTCAATGATGAAGGGACATTGTTGCCATCTTAGCATTGTAACTCCTTTTCACAAAAGCTATTCATAAAGATTATGGGGGACATTTTACCATGATTATATTGCATATTCATTCTGTTTTCATTACCATGATAGTGTCAGAGTGAGAAAGTGAAGGACTGAGTATGTCATGCAGCTATATCACTGCACCCTTGCTACAGCCCTAGCAAAGCACACCATCTATGAATATTGCATGAGCAATGGTTCATACTGTCTGAGAACAGTTACACATTTTCAACCAGATCACACCCTATGCGGTCAATCTGGGGACAATCATGTTTTTGGCATCTACTGGCCTTGAGTGAGTGAGTTGGGTTTTACGCCGCTTTTAGCAATATTCCAGCAATATCGCAGCTGGGGACAGCAGAAATTAGCTTCACACATTGTACTCATGTGGGGAATCGAACCCGGGTCTTCGGCATGACGAGCGAATGCTTTAACCACTATGCTACCCAATAGCCCTACTGGCCTTGAACCTCTATAGGGTGTTAGACTTATTGGTCACATCACATAACAAATGGAATACTCACTTTTCCATAGCTTTCATATTGGGAGCATTGATTCGCTGTAGCGTTGCATTCATATCTGAACATGCTTTTGTTAACTGCTCTAAGCCTTTTTTGACTTCGTCAGGATGATCAAGCTGAAACAAAATACCATTGACAGTAAGTCTACCATAGGCTTAACAGTAATGTTACATAACATTTTACATTTGTTATCTGTGACAGATCTTCCCAGGTATAATCTTCTTACCAAATATTTCCTACTTTTAACCTTACTCAGAGATTGTCACTTTGTCAAGTGATACATCTACAGCCATAAATAATTCAATAAACTGTACCTGTATATGATGCCAGTAATGAAGAACAAGCAAGTCTGTTAGCTGTTCTTGTGGAAGATCTATTACTGAAGTGATAGCTAATGGTAATAGTTTTAATAATGTCAAAACGATCTTAGCGCTACGGTGATCGTAACTCTTATACCTTGACATAGACTTGCGACAGTCTCAGCACTAAGGTTGCTCTGCCCAACGGCACCCTGGACTTTAAGAGTTATCTTATCTTGGTACAATACTACCAAGGCTTGCAGCAACAAGATTATCTAGAGCAGTTACTTCAACTCCACCCACCTCTTTATGCTCATCATCAAGCTGAGAGTAGTCGATCTCTATTTGAGCCTCTCTCTCGTATATTGCCCTGGCACCCCGACTACTGTTGCTGTCTGTGGCCGTATCCTGGCTTCTGTCGGGCTGACTGGATGGGTCATTCTCCTGGCTGATATCATCCATCGTTCCACGTCGCATTGGAATACGGACTGCATCCATCTACATCAAAATATAACATGTGATGGTAAGAAGTTACAACATGGGATTAATTATCTGGTCTTCAGTGTGACGATTTAACCATTATGCTACCCCTCAACCCCATAAACCATAAGCATTCAGCAGAACCCTTACAGGATTCAATTAACCCAAAGTCACCAACACTATATCTGTGTTTGTCAGTGAAGCTAATTAACTGACTGTGATTACCTTGCAGGACTTGAGAAGACTGTGTCGGTCAGCTCTCTTCTGTTCCAGCTTTGTCTCCATCACAGTGATAGCCTTCTGGACTGTGTTGATCTCCTTGTTTTGGTTGGCCATGCGTTTCTTAATGTCAGAAACAACACCCTCGATGTCATCCACCTCCGACTTCACCGTAAGGCGCTGCTGCTTCAACCGCTCCATGTTCTGCATCTCTTCATCAATAACCTGCATGGACAACACATTTTATTTCATTATCTAGTTTACAGAAAAGTAATGCAATGGGATTCACACACTGATCCTATGTTGGGAATCAAACCCAGATCTTTGGTGGGATGAGGGAACACTTTAACCACAATGCCAGCAATGGGTTTGCAAAGTTAAGTGACACAGACAGACCCATATCACCATAGTGAAAGACAATGTGAATCTTCCTGACTAAGCATAGCATACATAATCATCATCTTGAGTGCAAACTTACAATGAGTTGATCCTAATATGAAAAAGGGATATAACTCCCAGATACAAGCAGGGGACAATACTCTGTACAACATATTGTAACACCTGAGAACAATCAGGCACCCATAAAATCATCCATTCAAATGAACAATAATCTCCAGGCCACATTAGGCAATGATAATATTGAACAATATTATTGAACAATAATCTCCAGGCCACATTAGGCAATGATAATATTAACTTTAATGGTCCCCATTTTATTAAAAACCTAATTGACATGGGTCTCTCCACACACTGTATGCAACTGTGTCATCCTGCTGACAGTTCCAGGCTGTAGCAGGGATGCCTACCTTCATGTGTTTGTTCTCTTCATTCTTGACCTTATCAAGCTCCTTCTCGTCCTGCTGCACCGTCTTCTCCCACTTCAGCACATTCTCTGTTGCAACATCAATATCAATCATCAATATGGCTTCATAGCAAGAACATCATTAAAGATCAGGACAAACTTTATAGATAAACAACTTTAGTCAGGTGATGCGACCTTTCAATACAGATTCTTGCATCGTTGTCAAGCAGGCATGACAACAAAAAGTAATCCAAAATCCACTGCTGAGCATGTCAATGACACACGTAGTTACCAAAAGAAACTTTAACTAACCATTTGTTCTACATACATTAATGTCAAACTGATTTTGCAACTCTGCTAAAAAGTTTTCAAGATGCTATTCAGCAGATGCTATGAGAGTTCCTCGCCCTGTTGGACAACGTCCACTTACCCCATGTGTCTCTGGACCTCTCAAAGTCAATCTGATTGGTCAGCCGGAAACGCTGGTTTTCAAACTCAAGCTTCTTCTTGGCTCGGTCCTGCTGTACTCTCAGTTCGCGCTCCTCGTATTGTCTGCATTACAAACAGTGAAATTAATACTAACATACCAACACAGAAGTTAGAAGTGAGAGGGAGAAGGACATGCACATATAATCACTGAATTTACAATGGCTGTATGAACTGTGTCTTTTACTGCAGCCAGAATATAAATAGGACCAAGCACATCGGTAATTGATAAAATGGGCAACAATTAACATGCCTGTACACTAGTACACAATCACCCAGGTTAATACACTGCAGGCTTTCTGACAATGCAGGAGCTGAGACAGACTCATGAATTGGCCACCAGTTCCATATGTAAGTCAGCTTTTATGATGAGCTCACAGGAGACCAGGTTTAAGTATTTTGTCACGAATCCCAAAATATCTTAACTTTTATTCACTATCCGTGAAAATATCTTTATCACTTACCTGATATTGGCAACTCCAATCTGCTGACAGAAAACAGCAAACACTTCATCCTCCACTCGGTTCATCTTGTCCTTCAGCTGCTTTATGTGATCTCCTCGCTCACTCATCCTGCGATCGATCTCTGACATACGAACCTAAGACAGAAATCTCCAATTAGAAACTACAGCACTTAAATCAGTAATTACAAGGGTAAAAGGTAACTCCATCGCACAAAAACAACACATCAAAGCTTCGAGTGAGTGACAAAGGAGCATAACTAGGGATATCACAATACAACTATTCCTGGGAAGTATTATATGTATCACCATACTGTTTCACAATACAGTAAGTATCATGACATACCTATTCATTACACAGCCAAACAAATCATATACAGTAAGAACTGCAACTATCTCATATGATATTTCCAGATGAGAACACTCTCACATTCTCTATATTGATCACATTCTCATTCCGAGAGAGAGAGCCCAACACTTACATCAAAGCCTTGCAGATTTTGCTGAACTTTTGCCAGATCCTTCTCAATATGTTGCAACAGTTTAGTTTGCTGAAGAACAAACAAAATAGGAATTGATGAAATATGGTTTGAAATACTTATGTTCATTCTCCATTACCAACATTCACTGTCACCAGCAGGGACATACAGAGCAGGTTTAACATAGGCAACTGAAAATGAAATCAGTGAACAATACAACTGTTAGTATTTAGCTAATTAATTTGACTACTTGAGCCATTTAGTCGGCTCTTACAGAAAGCATAGGGAAGTATCTAAACTGAAAACATTCCCCCTGCTACGGCAACACTGCGGTTGCGCTGTGGTTAAACTGACCGTGTTGTCCCTGTCGGTGATGGAGTACTTCAGCCTGGTCTCCAGGCCCTTGATCTGGGACCTGATGGTGTTCAGCTCAGATTCCTTCCTCTTCCTCTTGATGTGCTCCTTCAGCTCCTCAGACAGCTTCTCCTTGCGAGACTTCAGCTGATTCAGCATTTTTTCATCCCATCGCCGAGCCTTGGCTCGCAGGTCACTGTGCAGACAAGTTCAGGTCACAAACAGTAGCAGCTTTGATCATTTCATAAAATGTAACAAAATCATACCCAACAAATCCCTAAAAGAGCAAGCATGCTTCCTAACAATTCCTGAAGAGTAACTCTTAAAAATGACCAAAAGCAGTTTGTCACAGATTCCACTAAGACACTGAACTGTATTTCGTCATTCATCACTAGGCAGGTTATGGGTATATTTGTAGCAAAGTATTTACTATGGTTTAAATAACAACCTGTTATACAAATTACTTTACCTTGCACCACCAGAGATGATACCCGACTTCTGAAACAGTGTTCCATCCAATGCCACAGACTGAAAACAAAGACTAAAATATAGTACCAGCAATGTTTACAAATATGACAAACGACAAAGGTTTGCAATATACGTCTTAAAATATTCTACTAGCTGGAGTCTGCATCAAAGAAGACAGTTCCATGTATGCCATGAGTTGTACCCACCTTGTGTCTCTCCTGTCCTCCGAAGGCCACTCTCCTAGCATCATCTACTGTCTCAGCAACCAGAGCATTTCCACAGGCAAACTGAAGGGCCTTCTTAATAGCCGGGTGGGTCAAACCGGATCACATCGATGATCAGCTTCACATTCTTCGGTTCACGAATATCTCTGGAGAACACATAAACAAACAGTAGTTATCAACACATGTACTGGTTTCATGTTTTGCATCAAGTATGAATACGAAACTAAAATAATCACTTCAATATTAGAATTGCAACTCACTTCACATAAATTTTTATAATACAAGACAGATTTCATTCAAACATAACGTACATTGATTGTCTCAGATGTGTTCCTCGAAATGTATTAACACATTGGGGCTTCTCTTTTGAGTGAGTGAGTTTAGTTTTACGCCGCTTTTAGCAACATTCCAGCCATATCATGGCGGGGGACACCAGAGATTGGCTTCGCACGTTGTACCCCTGTGGGGAATCGAACCCAGGTCTTCGGCGTGACGAGCGAATGCTTTAACCACTAGGCTACCCAATCGCCCCTGCTTCCCTTTTGAAGCCTCACAGGTAGGACTAACCCAGCATCCAAACAAATTTACCTGAGTTTCTCATTGACAGGTTTGACATCCAAATAGTCGAGGGGCAGGAATGTTTCAGGGTCGATACGCTGCTCTTTCATGTACTGGATACAGTCCTTGGCCGTCTTCTCTGTGTCACACACAATGGCGTCCATGTACTTTCCCAGCACCTTAGTGATGGCCACTTGGTACTTCTTGTGACTCGGTTCACAGAGATCAATCAGTCGCCCATGCTGGAGAGAGAACAGTTCAAGTGAGTGAGCATGGTTTTACACAGCTTTAAGCAATATTCCAGCAATATCATAGCAGGGGACACCAGTAATGGGCTTCACTCATTGTAGCCATGTGAAGAATCAAAACCGGGGCTTCAGCGTGGGAACAAAGTGCTTTAACCACAAGGCTAACATTAAACCCCACTTCAGTGGACCTCCATATTGAAACTAAAGGACTCAATGATTCAAACATGAAACTATAGCAAGAATACCTTGTGTTCTTCTGAAACATATGCATGAAACTTTGTGAAAGTGTCTTTCATCAGAGAACAGCCAAAACGGTTCACAAATTTCCGACACCGTCTCTTACACTCTTTAAGACTAACCACTGCAGTTAGTGAAAGGTTTATATTTTCTTACCACTCCCGGAAACAGACGTTTGAGATTCTCCTTCAGCTCTGCCTTCTTGATGGCTCGGGCAGACTCGTGTTTATCCACCTGGGAGGGGAGATAATTCAGGCAATGATACAATGCGAGTAATGGTTTTCCCTACTACATAAAGACATCTATTTTAACAATGCTTCTACTATCAAGAGCTTAATGGATGCATGATATCCTTCTAATGGACATCTTTTGAAGAGACTGCTTTTATCTATGAAAATTGGTCTCTGAGTGAATATGTTGTGTTCAGTCTGTGCAACCTGCTTACCTTCGCCTCTCCCAGTTCCTGCATGATCTGTGCTAAGTCATCATTGATCTCAGCAATACGGATGTTAGCACCATCAACTTCCTCAGACAGCTCCTGCTCCACGCGGCGCTGCTCGGCCACAGCCTGGGTGCTGGTTCTGAGAGACAACAGATCAGGGATTAAGTCTGCCACACCGGGACACTCTTAGATGTGCATTTTTCCTGAGTTCAATTACAGTCTAGCTTTGTCACAGGTATCAGTAGAATTTCAGAAGGAACAGAATCAATGAAAACAGAATTGATTTAGAATTGGCATTTAGAAGTTGGTGCGATGGACAAGGGTTCTATGGATATACAACTTCTTTATAACATAATATTTGACATTTCAGTGTAGGTGTTACTGCTATCAAGCAAGTGACATCACTGGATGATGTGCTAGGAATTTCAGTAGGAACAGAATTGATGAAAACAGAATTGATGAAATACATTGAAAGTATAAATAAGTTGAAATCACTTTGTCAATTTATTGTGTGACTATACATTAATCAAATTTAGAGTGCCATTTAGAAGTTGGTGTGATGGACAAGGGGGGATAGTTCTATGGATATACAACTTCTTTATTACATAATATGTGACATTTTGGTGTAGGTGCTAACACTGTTATCAAACAAGTGACATCACTGGATGATGTGTTAGCACCTACACCAAAATGTCGCATATACTGAAACATAGGAGTTGTATATCCATAGAACTATCCCCCTCGTTAATCACATCCTCCTCATTTCAGTCCTCCTGCAATAAGCAAGGGTAGAGAGGCACACTGAATCCGAATGCTTTACTCAGGCTAGGGTGTTCTGATGGTGACAGTCCCCACCTGATGTATTCGGAGAGCTTGTCCACCCTCTTCCTGTTCTCCTCCATCTCCTGCTCCTTCTGCTTGATCTGGGACTCCATCTCGTTCTTACTCCGGACCTCGTTGTCATACTTGTCCTGGTCCGACTTCTGTTCTCTGTTGATGGACTCCAGCTCTTGCATAGCTCGTGCAGCTCTCTTCCCTGCCTCCTCCTTCAGACGGTGGTACTCACTGACCTGAACAGGATCATCAGATCAAGATGAGGCAATGTCACACATAATTATTAACCAAAGTTGTCAGCGACCAAACAAATTTATTTCAGTCCTACAGAGGAGATGCATTTTTTATGAAATTAAACATAAAAAATTCAAACATAATTCCAAAGATATAAACACCTAATATCAACAAATCAATTGTTCCAAATCTCTTAACACCAATTACGATAATACTATTATTCTTAAAATCTGGTTTTAACATAATGTTAACTGGACACCCTACCATTAAACAACAGACAATAATTAACTCTTTTCTCTATTGTGTACGGAGTGTAGTACTCAAGTAGCTTTTGAGTTTGTATTAATTTGTGTAAAGCAGTTTCTGTTTATTTCACACCTTGGACACAAAAGAGTTATAGTCCCTGAAAAAGATATGACTGTCTCGTGCCTACCTGTGCATCTTCTAGCTGGAGTGATCTCCCTTGAGACTGAGATTCTTCAAGGATTTGATCTTCGAATTCTTGTTTCTTCTTCTCTATATCATTTAGCTCTTCTTCCAGTGCATTGATCTAAAATAGACAAAATAAAGTCTCATCATACCCATTCATAACAATCCAATAATGTGTTTTCAAAACAAACACTGAACAACCTTATTTGTTCTGCAGGAAACTTTCTGAACCATTAAAACCTGAAGACATATTTGAAACATGAATGTCAAGTGAGAAACTCAAATACTTACCTCCTGTTCATGGTTGTCATGAGTCTTTCTAGCAGACTTGAGAGACTTCCTGAAAGACAGAAGATGATTCTTTCAATTTTGACTACAGTACAACTAACTGCAGACTTCCTGATAACTGACTGCCATAATCCTGCTTCAAACAGAGTTGTCACAGCATGTCAGGTTGATGCTGGACGAAAGCTATAACTGCTGTACACTTTGAGACATTCGCCAATAAACGTGGTGAGGTTGTGTCAACAATCCCATAAATGTTGAGAATCTGGAGTGTGAACCTTGATAGGGGTTTCTTGTAGGCCCAAGGGAAGCAACTCTGCAGGACGAATTCTTACATCCTGAATTGCCGAACAATCTACACCACACTACGTGAGAGTGAGTGGGTTTAGTTTTACGCTGCACTCAGCAATATTCCAGCTGTATGGCGGCGGTCGGTAAATAATCGAGTCTGGACCAGACAATCCAGTGATCAACAGCATGAGCACCAATCTGCGCAATTGGGAACCGAGGACACGTGTCAACAAAGTCAGCGAGCCTGACCACCCGATCCTGTTAGTCGCCTCTTACAATAAGCATGGGTTACTGAAGATCAATGTTCTAACCCGGACCTTCACGGGTCACTACCTGATTAAGCCATCTAAAACAAACTATCTATCTATGTAAATACCACTGCATCTATACATAACAAATGAGGAAAGCCATCCAAACATTTGAATACGGTGTAGGATTGAATCAAGGACAGTAAAACATTCTCAAGGTAATCGGAAAAACCATAATAAAGATTCATTCAAATTTACCTAAATCTAGTACACTAACAGTGAATTATCTATAACATTTTTCTTGAAATCTCTTACTTTGCTCCTTCCAGTTTCTTGATCATGTGAGCTGTCTTTTCCTTGGACTTGATATACTGGGGACGTTTCTTGTTCAGCTCAACTTCCTGTAAGCAAGTGAAACACTTGAAATTATATTGCCAAAAGGATTACATTGCATTACAAGTTGCTCACAAAAAACATAATTGTAAAAATAACAAGTGTTTGCCACTGATATGGCAATGTCCCCCACCGCTATAGAATGGAATATCTATATTTACTACTTTTCATTATTTGGTGACATACAAGATTGCGTAATCCCCCAATGTAGGCTGTCACCAAATTTGAAGACATTGGGTACAACAGTGCATGAGATATCACGTTAACAAGAGTTTGAAAAGTGGTCAAAGTGTCGTAGTGACCTTGAAAGTAAGATCAAGGTCACCCGAATTGACTGGTGTCTGGGTAATCCCCCAATGTAGGCTGTAACTAAATTTGAAGACATTGGGTACAACGGTTCATGAGATATCTCGTTAACAAGAATCGGGACGTACGTACATCGCTGAATACATAGTCCCCAAATCCGAGTTGCGGAGGGGAACAAAAACAAATACACAACCAAACTAGGATTGCCTCCTGGGCAATACTGACGGTCTTCAGACTTCCCCATACACTCCCCCGTGGCTGCCTTTACTTGTACTGTTTCTTTGGACGCCAGCTGGAGCGTTCATTTTAACTCTCGGAGTTACGGGTGTTTGAAGTGTATTTAAGGGCTAGAAACCATGCAAAACGCAGACAGAACACGTTTTTGACACGAGAGCAGATCGGTGAAATGCAGCCGGGGAAATAATTCTCTCTTTGACAGGCGGTAGCTCCGCTGTCCTTTGGTCTACGGTCAAAACGATTAGTGTTCTGGAATCGCCATGATCCTAGCTATCTGACACATAGACTTATGTGCATATATTGCACTTGTGAACAACCATAGATTTATGTGTATATAGTGCATTTGTGAAACACCCATTCAAAAATTACTGTGGTGCAGTTAAGATGATTTGAAAGTACTACTGCCATGGCTGCATCTTTGTGTGTGAAGTTTTATTCTGTTTTAAATGTATAAGATATTGTGCGTTTATGTGCTGGATTCCTGCCATCATGATGATGTAGCAGAGAGGGTTCGCACGATCCTGGCACAGTCAAGCTGGTAAACAAATTGCTGGAGTCCCAGTTGTTACCAAAAGCGCATTGCTCTTTGGGCATTGGAAAGCCAGCAATTGGTTTATACCTACATGGGTTGTCAGTCAAGACGTGATGAAGTAATTTTACGACAATGTCGTATTGGCCACAGTCGGTTTACTCATGACTATCTGCTGAAAACGGATGGGGATGGACCTCCCATATGTGTCTCTTGCGATGAAGTGTTCACCATCAAGCATATATTGCTTGACTGTGTGGACTTTTCGACTGCAAGAGATTCACATTATGAAGCGATAAATCTGAAAGATCTGTTTTCCCTCGTGAGTGTGCATCTGATTGTTAGCTACCCGAGGGAAGTTGACCTGTACCATAAGTTACACTTTGTAATGTGAGTCACAGATTGCTTGTTTTTGAGTATGGTGCTGTGTCATTTTTCACTTGTAAATAGTAATGTAATGAATATATATGTTAAAAACAACTCTTTTTTGGACTTTGTATCTAAAATTTGTAAAACTCCAACTTGATCTCGTCACTATATGGCTGGAATAACGCTGATGTGACGTAAAACCAAACTCAACAACAACTTGGGCATTGGAAAACCAGGAAGTGTAGTTTTTTTGCTAGATCTTAACAAACAGGAACGCACAGTCAAACAAAGCAAAGAAATTGAGCAATACATACAGGCATATATAAAAAGAGAGACAACTGGTAAATGTTGCAGACTTTGGTGTGGTCAAAAAGTCAAGTGCATTGTTCTTTGGGCATTGGAAAACCAGAAAGTGGGGATTGTTGCTAGATTTTACAGACGCTTCTATCAGCTATTTCGTGCTTCAGATTTTACTGACACTTCTTTCAGCTATTTCGCTCTTCAGCTATCTGAACACTAACAAAATGCGAAACATCCTAATGTTCGTGTCGTAATTGTGACGCAATTATTGACTTTTACATAACAATAATGAGAAGCAAAAATGTCTCCCATTCAATTATCTACAGTTTGGTACCTTCAAAATTGAAATCCGTTGTTTTTTCACAGAGCTATGACATTTATATGAACCCTATGAAAATGCGTTTTGACAAAATAGAACAACTTCCAAAGGCGATAACTCCCAATTTATTGAAGATATCTGCATGCCTTTAGTAACCTATGTAGTCCTGGGTGCGGGCTTTTCAACGATATATCACACACGATTGTACTATTTGCCATTCAGGAGGAGAAGATTATGAAACACAGGCACCGTCAAAACGTGCGGAAATTGGAAAAATTGTAATGTTTGTGTTTGTGTCGTAATTGTGTTGTAGTTATTTATTATTACATAATAACAATCTGAAGCAAAAATGTGTCCCATTCAATTATCTACAGATTGGTACTTTGGAAAATGAAATCCATTGTGTTTTCGCAGAGTTGTGACACTTTTTAAACCCTATGAAAATGCGTCTTAGAAAAGTTCACCAACTTCCAAGGGCGATAATTCCAAAACCATTCAAGATATCGACATCCCTTGAGCTTTCTATGTAGTCCGGAGTGTGGACTTTACAACGATATATCAAACACGATTGTACTATTTGCCGTTCAGGAAGAGAAGATTTTTAAACACAGGCACCATCAAAACGCAAAAATCGACAAAAAAGTCAGTTTTTTTCAAACTGGCAGAAAATCTATCATGGCGGCCAACTTCTGCTATGCGTTAAATCGATGCAGAATGATGTTGTCTACATTGAGTGAAAATTTGGTCAGTTTATCTCTTATGGTTTTTGAGATATTGAGGTGTAAAGATTTTGACATTTGGGGTTGTCTGCCCTTACCGGAAGCCGGGGGTTTTCAACTATGTATCAATTTCAGCACACAGGCTATAATCCCTGAAAGTTTCATGAAAATCGACCCAGTAGTTAGTTCAGGAGAGCTGTCACAAAATTTGGACAAATAATAATAAGAAGAAAAATATTCGGATAATAACAGTAGGTCTTCCAGACTTTGTCTGAAGACCTAAATATTGTCTGAAATTTGACGACAACTAACAATCTGAACAATTAAAACAAATTCTAATTCAACTTAGTATGTAACACGAGTTCTGATTGGTCAATGCTATAAATTTCCGACCGTATAATCAGCATATACGGTCGCAATTTGAAAACCGATTCACCGAAACCTTTGAATGTATCCCTACACTACTGGGGTAACGCTTGTTTCAAGAGGACATTGTCATTTGCAGCTTCCATTGGTCAATTAACTCCCCTATCCAGCTAAAATGGGTGGAATTTGTGTTAAAAAAGACAAAACAGTATCATAAATTTAATTTTTAAGTTCAAACAACTTACTCAAGAACGGCTGTTGACCCAACACTGTTAGATCATGAAACAAGGTTTATGACGCCATTATGGAGCGCGACGCCACCTGCTATGACGCCATTTGACAACAGAACTGATAATGGCCCGTAGTTGAGGAATCAGCGGGTCAGCTTCATTTCTGTAACTAGAGGGCGTTTCATCATAATACCGCCCATTTAATCTTAATACTATGATCTATTCATCATTGTCAAATTTAGTCTGTGTGCACATAATAAACGGTGTAGTTTGAAAAGGAACTACTTTCTCTGGCAATGGTGTAAGTTGAAGGAGTGATATGATTAACCTTTGACCTAGAGGAACTTTGACCTGGTTTAAATAATGAAGTTCTTTTCACTTAAAACAGCTGAAAACGAAGTTGGATTAGAATGGAATAATTGTAGAGTTTTGATTAATTGGGATGATATCGGTGGAATATATAGCTCAATTTAATCGTTATATCGGTTCTCCGCTTTACGCGCGATATACCTAAATTTGCGGCTATATAACCACCGGTATACATCCCCAATTCATCAAACACAGTACAGTTATCCCCAAAATGATCATCATCACATACAACTGACACAGTCTTTTTCACTGACAAAATAATAAATCCCAGTCATGGATTGTTAAATGACAAATAGGCTCTAAATATAAAACTATTCATCTGAAAGCATGTTACAACATTACCAATAAAAAGATGCTTTATCATGACATGCACAGAGTATACAGAATCACATTGCTATAGTTAGTTTAATGAACTACATTAATGCAGTCTCTGGAAATTACATTGTGAAATAGAAAGCTATGTTATAACCTGCACCAAAGTTCTATTGAAATACAGCTGGATCGTTGGTTTGTTGTTTAACGCTGCCCTCAGCAATATTCCAGCTACATGGCAACAGTCTGGACCAGACAATCCAGTGATCAACAGCATGAGCATCAAGATAGACATGGCATACGATTACATGTGTCAACCAAGTCAGCCAGTGTGACCACCTGATCCCGTTAGTCGCCTCTTACGACAAGCATGGGTTACTGAAGACCAATTATAACCCGGATCTTCACAGGTTGATTTTCAAAAAAGGCTTTACTATCAACATGTACTGTATCATTACAGATCTAATTCAAAGCTTTGCATTTATTTTTGTGGAAGTTTTGACTAAGCAAAGTATTTCTGATAGAATAAATCACCACATGAATTTTCTATGTCCAATATCATTTTAGATCTATTACTAAAATCTATATCTTACTGATTCCTTCATCTGTTGGTCAATCTTGGTGAGCTCTCGGCTGAGTTTCCCCTGTTCTTTCTTCTTTTCCTTGACTTCATCATCGATTCGATCACGCTTCGGTTCTCCTTCTCAAGAGCATGTGTCTTCTTGTTCAACTCATCGGATATTTCATCGATGTCTCTTTCATTATGGTACAACTTGAAGAGCTGAAGTTCCAGCTGTTTCTCAACCTGAACAACAAATGTCAATCACCTTGTCAGTGGAGGGAAGTCTTCTCAACACACATAAAGGCACTTATCGGTACAAAAGTGAGATCTTTAATCAACATCACGCAGGTTCTGACAACTAAGGGAGGCAACTCTTCACAATGGATGGTAATGTCTTCATCAAAGGTTTTAGACAAACAAGGTTTGGGGATAAAGCCTACAACATATGCATAACAGTGACAATTTGTCTTAGTTGCAAGGAATCTGTGATTCGAGCCAACTAAGGGACATAACTCCCAACAAGCCTAAGAATGGGACATCCCTGCCCAATATGACTGACTGAAGTAATGAACTACCAGATACGTTGCTTTCTCAAAGTATACCACTCAAAGGAGTTATGCTGCTTTCCTTGATTACAGACACATAGTACTTATGAACAGAAACATGACTCACCAACTGGTCCTTCAATCTCTGGTATCTTTCAGCTTCATCCTTCTCCATCTTGGCTTCCTTCTTCTCTGCTGCAATCCCCTTCTTCTTGTGGTAGTTGAACTGCGTATCTTCCTCAGCCTTCAACATTTCAGCCTTGGCTCTGTCATAATCCTCCTTTAACTCCCCAGACCTGGCAGACATAAAGAAATAATTCACTCAATTCATCCCTCAATTTCCCATATACTTTTATCTGAGGAAACGATAATTAATGGTGAGAGGTACTGATCTGACGTTCTGTTTGTAGTTATTGCTGCACTGATTCTTCTATTTTAATATGTATCAAAATATATATTGCTTGTATACTTTCAACTGTAATTTGTCTTAAACCTAAATAAATCTGGTACAATGCATCACTTGTTGGGCGCGTTGCTATGGTGAAGATACATGTGTAATGTACACATTGTAAGAAGGAAACTGGGCACAAATAGTTTTGTGTGTTCAATCATAGGAATCAGTTGCTAAATTCTAAATATCATAATATCAGTAAAGTTTGTCATGCTTTTAGAAAACTTCCCAAAACGTGACAACATTTATGATTTTGAAAACACAATATACCAGTATTTTCAAAACATATTTTGATATGTATCTATTATTATTTCAAACCTTGATGTTGGTAATGGTAACAGCACACACCTCTCATAATTAACTTCCCACAAGATTGGTAAAGTAATACATCAACATCTCTAAAGCTAGCCAAAGACATACCTGCTTATTTCCTCAAACATCTGTGTTCTCTCCTTTGCGTTCTTCATGGCAATACTCTCTACAGTTCCCTGGAACACCAGGAAGTTTTTGGACTTTACCAACACGCCAATCTTCCCCAGTGCCGTAGCATACTCTTGGCGGACACCTGGAATGGACACAGTCTGAAAACAGGCAAGGAATGGATCAGCATCATCCATGTACAGTCAAATCCTGATGAGTCTGATGATTCAATGCGAGCGGTCAGTCGAACGGATTGGACCAATGTCTCGAATAAAGTTGACCGGCGCTGCTGACTTGTTTAAATTGTTTAAGTACCTTTGTCGGGTCCCATAAGACCATTCCCTGTTATAGTTGTCATCATTTGAATACCAGTTATTTTTCGCAATGTTATTGACGATCATATTGAATACACTAATAGGTATGACTTCGCGAAGAAAAAATTTGGTCCCATGAGATTCAAACAACAGCAATCTTGTATATCATTGCCGCGGATAGATTGGCGCCTTAGTCAGTCAATGAGAAGTTGATTGGTGTAGCAACCTGATCCAATTGACAAAAAATACCAGCGCAGCTTCACACATCTTCCGCCCTCCATTTATTCATCGGTGAGTTCAAAAGGCAGATTAGTGATTTTGTTACGGAAATCCACTGTATCGTGCTAATCATATTACTGAACTGATAAGGTGCCCTGATTAGTGATAGGGAAATCATTAGGTAAACAAATGCTTAGGGCGGAGGAATTAGAACTTATATCATCTTTTTTATCTACCTCATAGACATACCTATGTCTCGATAGTAAGGAATACATATCGAAGTAGCTCTCTTGGGACCAAGTAATAGTATTACTTGTCCCAGAGTCAGAGATGACTTCGATTTTAACGACTGTACTTGATTCTTACCATAACCATATTAAAATGCATTATGATCTGTCTTTGTTTAACACCTTACAAAGCCATATCCAGCGAAGTGATGCATGCCTGTATAATGATAAAGACAATATCATATCAGTATGAGTGAATGAGTTACATTAATTAGCTCAGTTACATTAAATAGCTTGCCTGTTGGTTGTCTATTGCCTATGTTGGGATAAGTTCTCCCATGTCTAAACAGGAAACAGCAAATTGTTGACAAGTCTATATTTGTTACCTTCCCATTGATTTTGTGATCGGAGGAGTTCCCATGTATAATTCTTGTGAAGCTGGTCTCCTTATCCGATTCTGGGTCATAGTACACTGCCATCACACTAGCACGGTTTGATGCCGGCTGACCAATTGGAGCACCATGGATTAGATCCTGTAATACACAAATAGTTAGAAAATCAACACGCTGACAGAGATGACAATCTAATAGTTACATCCATTTACATAAAATATAAAGCATATTGCAGATATTATAATATAAGTGTTGTATCCATAAACATCATAAACATAAACAAAGTCATGCTTTTCCATCTGAATATCAAGTTCATGTGTCACTCCTTCCTTTGACAGATTGATGATAGGCTGTCACACCTGAAAGTTCTTACTATGACTTACCATCCCTATCAAATATGTAAAATGTAAACATGATGTTCAGACATGTCTAAGGCATTTAAGAAAAAGTTGCTTAATATCAATGTTTAAGCCTTACCCCAAGCCGTTTGACTCTCAGATTGGATGTTTTTTCTCCAAGCACAAAACTGATGGCATCCATCAAGTTGGATTTGCCTGCAAATATAAAACACAAGTCATCACTCATCAGTGAGTGTGTGAGTAAGTGTGTAAATATGGTTTTATGCCGCTTTTAGCAATATTTCAGCAATATCACGGCGGGGGACACCAGTAATGGGCTTCACACATTGTACCCATGTGGGGAATCAAACCCCGGTCTTCAGCGTGACGAGCTGATGCCTTAACCATTAGGCTTCCCCACCGCCCCCATCACTCATCAGCACATATCTGCATGTTTGTGGTGTTAATCATTGAACACAATTACCCAAATATAGTTGACAGTCTTGAAGCAAATTATTCGCAAAATCATAATTGTGCCATGACAGTGCATCAGACAAATGACATTAATACACTTATCACAGGAAATCCCTATCTGTATAATCATTGTGAACATGTAGATCAGACATCCTTTTATCATGTTCATTAGGAAAATATCATCCATGATGATACGCTTGTAACACTGCTGTAATTTCTTTCGATAACATGTTCAAACCAACTGTCATATTATGGCGGCCACAACAAACATTGTGTTTTCGCTAATCATTCCAGCATTCAAACAAATAAATCACTTTTAATATGTCAACAATCATGGGTCGAAATCAGCAACAAATGCATGTAAACATGTAGGAATCAGAGGTTACCACTGACCCATTTCATGAATAGGAGTTTTCAGCTTGGTATCCTTCAAAAAGGTTGTTCTTTCATGAATAGGAGTTTTCAGCTTGGTCTTAATGTGTGTTTGTATGAATACTTAACCATGATAACATCACTCTGTATGACATACACGCTTTAGCTTATAGGGAGACGTGGATAACCAATAATATTTATGAACATGTCAATGTTTAGGGTGTTTTAGATTGCCTTCAAGCAATTTCTAACAATACTTATAAGATACGACTAATGGTAACTAACACGGGGTGATGTAAACCAAAAGTGGGAGGGGTCAACGCACGTGAACTCGAGCACCGTTGGTTGCTCATATTACAGTTCAGTTAATCTAAACATCCAAAACGCAAACTAATGATGATAAATAACAAACAAGTCTATAATTCAAACATGTTCACTTCATTCTAGGTCAACAGATCTCAAATCACAACGGGAATCTCGATCCAAACAATGTTTGTTTACATCATGTCAAAATAATATTTCCATGTAAATGCTCCCGAACTGCGCAAAATTGGGGGATTCAAAGTAAGCGTAAGTTGAGTATAGAAGTGCATTTGTCAATTTGCAATGACAGAAGAATGTAATTAGAAATCAGAAAGCTGAACAACAGGTCGAAGATCGCATACCTGACCCATTTGGTCCAATGATTGCACTAAACCGCTTGAAGGGGCCGATGCGTTGTAACCCCTTATAGGACTTGAAATTATCCGCTTCAATGTATTTGAGGTATCCAGGCATTTTAATTGTAGTGGTAGGAAGCAACCGAATATGAGATTATCTGCAATCGCAGCTAGTATTTTTGCGTAGAAGTCAAAATGTAAACAAAGTCATCCAAGAGTACGCCATTATCATGGACGACAAATTTTAGCGCGAATAGATGGCGCTTCGTGCGAGATAATCGAACGTTCTCGCGAGATCAATTCGATGAATGAGGCTTGTGTTTTGATTCGTTAAAAATATTTTATTTTATAATGTTTAAAGAAGACTAGTAATTTAACCCCAAAGTATAGACAAATGATCTGTGAGTACGGGAACACGTACAATGTATGTCACGATCGCTGTTTTCATATGCCTATAATTATTTATTTTTAGCCAATGAGAAGCGACCCGTGCCTGCCTAACAACACCATAAACTTAGCAACGAGCGAAAAGCATCGTCAGATGTTGTAAATTTCCCTGGAAGAAGGTCGTCGAAATCTTCTTGTAAAATGTACAAACTAGACCTGCCCGTTGATTATAAGGAGGCGTCAGCCATCGAAAGGCGGAGAAATGTCGAAGAGCAGCGTAAATCCAGAATATTCAATGCGCGAGTTAGGACCATTGGGGTAAGAATGCGCCAGTGTATCCAGTAATGTTTACTTTGCGTGTGTCTTTTCCACATCGCATATTTCAAGACAATGTCACACATTTTGGTAACTACAGACGGTATTTTGGAAACTACCACATGTGTTTTACGACTTAGGCAAGTGTTTTGTATAATTGAATTTTCCTATTTTCTTCTCGAACAGACTAAACTAAACTGTTTATATCCGAGTTACCTTGGTAGCTGGAGTAATACTCAGGCCAGTTATTAGACTAAAATTGAATCTCCACGAGTCAAAATACCTTAGCAGTTTGAACATACATCAACATACACAAGACACGTGAGTTGGGTAGAATTCCTTGTCAGTCGTTTGTATATGTACACAAACCTGTGAAAAAAGAGTCTAGTCTGAATCCCGAGTCTAGAAACATATTTTCAGTTCCAGTACGTAGGAAGGCGTTTCCTATTCTCGCGGTACTTACAGATATGGGTTGAAAAAATAACACAAACAATTCTTATCGTATTAATGCATGTTGTTTTTAAATGAAGGGCCTTCTCCTCTAACATCTACATTTATCAGCTGCCAGATCCATCAGGTGAATTACCACTCGTGAGCCTGGTGATAAACAATGCCATCCGCCATTGATGAAACGAGGCTTCTCCCATTCTCGCGGTATTACCAGGAATTAATGTTATTGAGTGTATGTAAGAGCAATCCTGTCGGAAAGGGCGGGAAAAAGTAATAATATGTCAAAGTTGGTATAAACTCCCCAATATTCGTGACACTGCAAGATTTTGATCACGCACAGACTTGGGCCACTTCCTAGTTACCAGTCGGTGATGTAAACAACCGCTAAGGTGATTTCGGCAGAAAACGTGTTTACCGTGAGAATAGGAAACCCGCGAGAATAGGAGACGCACCTATACATGGGTACATCTTATACTGGTCCATATACTAAGGCTAGAATAGACTGAAAATAATGCTCAAATGCTATTGGCACAGACGTACAAATTGATTCAGTTATTGACATTTTTGTTGTTGTGTATTTGACACGTGTTTTAACAGTTTGTGTACAACCTTCTGTGTTTTATTCTTTGATAGATTGACCCTCAGGCTCTTGAGCAACAGGCCCTTGACAAAAAGGAGCAGGAAGAATATGAACATAGAAGGCATCAAGCATTTGGTGAGGCTTATTTCCCATCTTTAGATTCTTTGCAATGCATTAGGCAGGAACTTCTCATCTCTTTACTCACTACTATTATCGTTTGTTTCAGCAGAGACCATATAATAGACCTATTATATGGTCTCTGGTTTCAGTTACCATGGCTACTTAGGGTTGACATCACTATAGGATAAGATGTTAGAAAAAAACGTCTGAAAGGTCTGCCATTGTGCAGACAATGTTCAGTATACAGGAAAACATGTTTGTGGGTCTTCAAAATCCACTCTCTGTTTCGGTCTTAAAATTGACTTTTGGAGGAAAGTGATGTAAAGATGAGAAAGGTTGTATGTTAGCAAACTTTACACCCCACTTTTGTATTCCAGCATTCTCAAGGTGTTCTGAATATATAATAAGACCAATAAACAGAAAGAGGTTTGCACTTAGGTTTTTTGCATACATTTACACAATTTCATAGACATGTGAACTATGGACTTCTTTGTTAAGTCCTTGCATACTGCACAATGTACACACACTTATGCAAACTGTTTTGCTGCTTTCAGCTGCTGATGCTGTCCGCAATGATCTGATAGCACAGCTGCTTGAACAAAGACAGGAACAAGACATCAGGGAGCTCAACAAGGCAGAGAATGATTTTCGAGCACTACACCAACAGCCAGAAAACCGACGAGAGTGGGATTTGTATGCGACCCAGATGGACTGAAGAAAGATAAACCCGCACGTGTGTGCGATGATGACCCCAGGTGTGGCATCTCCAGCATTCAGAAGTTTGATGGTGAGGATCTGAACAGCAAGGCCAGGAACAAATTCCAACAGGAACAGCTTCGAGAATGGCAAACACAGCAGATGAACGAGCGAGAACAAGCCAAGCGTAATCAGGATATGGCAGACAGACTGTATGAGCTGAAGATGCGTGAGCTGGATCAGAGAGCCATGGAGCTGCAGGATGCAGAGGAACAGTGTCGTAGAGCAATCAACCATGCCACAAAGGACTTCAACGCTGCACTCGTAAGTAGGAGTATAACTGTATAGCAAACTATCAATGTATTGCCATTGTTTACCCAATAGTTTTGCTGTATCAGGATGATCTTGAAAACACTGATGGAATTGTCAGTAGTATACAATTCAATAACTGGTTTGAATATTCACCATAAATTGTGAATAAATTAAACAAACATTAGAAAACTTGGTTTTTACAGTTGAGTTTCAAACCTGCACATACGTATTTGGATGATGCTATGGTTATGAGAACTTCAGATTAGAGTTACTTCCCATTGTTTTCAGTAGCGATAAGCATGGACAATGGTTTACCTTGACTCTGACACTTTTTGACAGTAGTTCTTTATTAAATTATATTATAATTATCAAGCCTAAAAGCTGGTTTTATAGTATTACAATATGCAATACTATTGGAATAGGTAACAACTGTTGCCCAAGTGGGAGTACATCAGATTGAGCCTGTGCACAAATGTAGTCAGATCAAAGAATGATGTTGCTGTTAGTGTTATCGAAATCAAATGATAGTTGTTAACTACATTTGCATTTAAGAGTTGCTTCCCTTTGCCTTGAAACTTTTGGTGACTGCGGATGTGATCCTAGTTTCCATTGTGATCCAAACATCCATGTCACTTTGCCAATGAAATACTTGTCATCATATATATTGAATTCTTTATTACATATTATGAGTTTTAAGATGTTTCTGAATATCTAAACTAAGGAGAAGGCATTGTCTCAAGAATTGTCTCCCTTAGTAGTTTTGCCTATTATGAAATATGGAACTTCATGGAGTCCTTTTGATAATATGATTGTGAATTATCATTCTAATGTCCAGGATCGTGACAGAAAAGAGAAGGAGGCACTGTCTCGTCAGCAGCAACTTGATGACAATGCCACAGAGATTGCCAACCACATATATGGTGACATCCTGACAGAGAACCCCTCTGTAGCTCAGAGTGCATTCGGCCCCCATCGCGTGATCCCCGACCGGTGGAAGGGCATGTCCCCTGCACAGGTGGAGGCAGTACGTAAACAACAGGACCTCCAGAGGATGGAGAAAGATGTAAGATGTGCTTCCAACATTTCCATCAACTTGTTACTGTAATGTTAAAAGTCATCACTATGAACAGATTTGTCCTGTGTCCTGAACAATTTTCCCAAATAGTTTTGAAGAATATAACTGAATATAATTGCTCAAAATATCTTTTGTCTACTTGTCCAAAGCTTGATTTTAGTCAAAAGTGAAACATATTTTGCCTAGCAGTCTTTTCCAACCATGTTCCACACATATTGAAAATCTTCTAGGGACAATTTCAGGCCATTAGACTTTGGGGCCATTCTGTAATTGTATAAATATGTTTTTAATGTGTTTGTAGTCCATGATTCCTTCTGGACCAACCTTATACAATCAGGCAGATTACAATTTTTCCATGCTTGTGTAATCAGAATTACTATAAAATAGCACCTGAGATGTGAGAAGTGTCACTCTTAATCTTTGTTTTTTTTCCAGCGGCTTAAGCAGGAAGAGGAACTCAAAGACAAGGAATGGGAACGCCAGCAAGTGGCCAATGCTCGTGCAGCACTGCTGCTAGAACGTGAGATGGCGCGAAAGAAGCAAGAAATGGACAGGCAGATGGCTGATGAGAACAGACGCTTGTCTCAGGAGCAGAAGGCCCACAAGGACTACCTCTACAAGGAAGTGTACACCAACCCTCCCACCGCTGCCTACTTCATGCAGTTCAACACCACCACCCGATAGACAGAAGTGGCATCACATTTCATTATACTCATTTGCTTCTCACATCACCCTTAAGTTAATTTCAATTATATTTTTTTCCTACTTCTTAAATTTCCATGGCCTGTGGTTTGATGACCAAGCTTCTAAGTGTTATGAAATTATTTGATTTTTTGGGGTAAAAAATCTATATGGGAATTTGTGAAATTGCTCTCTTTTTTTAGATGAAGCTGTTCCAGGCAATCTAGGTTTTATTGATATTCAGTATTCAGCTGCATAAAAGTTTGTCTGTCCAAGGCATGCAGGCTTTATTGGTGTCTTCGATTTTAACCATTGATTTGTTGGTTGAAATTGCCATGTGTTAAATCAACATGCAAAATGTGATATTTTTAGCAAATATATTTTACACCGAAATCAAGAACTTTGACAAAGGATGAAAGGAATGGATGCATTTGTTTAATGAGATTGTTTTGAGTGTTTATGCTCATGGTTTGACCTTTTTATACACAAATTTTAAGAATGTAAACAAGCCAGTTTTTTTGGAACCAGTAAACTATAAACCTCAACATCACCTGTTACATTCCAGAAGTCGAAATATGCATCCCAAAGTACTTGTTATAATGTTGTTTGTATTTATCTGTAAATAGATTTAAGTTTGCAAGTGTACAGATTTTGTTTGTGTGACAGTCCGTCCAGAATAATACATCATAAGCAAAAGCTGAAATTCTCTTTTCACAATTATAATACTAATAGTCTCTGACTATATGAATAAATTCACATGACCTATAAGCTCTTTGTGTTTGTTGTTAATGCTGCTACATCCATATGTCCTCTTGGCACTGACTGAAGGAGGTTCCCATGGAATACCTGACTCAATAGGATCAGTGCCCCGTTTCAGAAAACTCTGGAAGTGCTAAGACTGTCTGTCCTAAGTCTTTGTTAAAGTATAGGAGGTATGACAGTCGTAGTGCTACAGGGCCCTGGTTGGCTGGTCAGGAATTTACCTGGATGCTGGAGCAACTGTTATTAAAACCTTGGAATTGAATATTTCCAAATTCATGTCATTATACGGAATTCTTTGCAAAGGTGATGTGATTGTAAACGATAACAAGACCAGTGAAAGGGAATATGTTGTATAGTATGACCAGAAATTATTGAGAATTTTAAGAATATGTTTAACAGGATTTCTAGTATAAACAACCTTGACCAGCAATCAAGTGCTTGGTTTCATTCAAGAGAGACAACTCCGTTAATCCTTTTTCATTAGATTGTGAAGAGTTACCCCCCTTTGTTTACTTGCTAGCAGACGACATTTTCAGTGATCCTCAGTATGGACGATTTAGAGAAGAGGAAGTATTATAACAAGGACATCAGATCAGCTAAACTGATTTCAAGTAGAACAGGCATCCCTTTGTCCACTGTTTATCGTGTTTTTAAAAATATTGCAAAAGGATATGGCATTGAGCACCAGGGAGGCGCATGTAGGCCCAGAAAATTGACTGTCGGTGACAGGAGGTGGCTTGGTATTCTTGTTTCTAAAAACAAACGAAGGAGTTTAGAAAACTTAAGGCTGGATATGATTGATAGAGGAACTGTGGCTGTCTGTAAGGAAACAATTAGAACTGAGCTGCATGCAATGGGTTGGCAGAAAAGTCGAGGAATTCCATCACCGATCATGAAACCTGAATAAAAGGAGCGAAGGTTGAACTGGTGCTTACAGCATAGAAATTTTAACTGGGACAATGTGATTTTCTCAGATGAAAGTTCTGTGTGTCTGTTTCCTAATACACTGACATTCTGGACCAAACAAACTGAAAAACCTTTGTATCAGCGCCCAAAGTACAGTCCAAAATTTAACGTGTGGGGTGGCATACAATCTTTAAATTCTCAATGATGTCTGGTTGTACTGTATTACATAGTTGCTCAGTAGGGCTTTGTTGCTCATCTTCTCAATGACTGTCAAGAATAAGATCATTAATTCCAGGCCAAACAAGTAACACACCTGTGGGCTAATCAGTATGATGGGCGGTGGGGTAGCCCAGTGGTTAAAGCATCTGCTCGTCACGCAGAAAGCCTGCCTTCGATTCCCCACATGGGTACAATGTGTGAAGCCCATTTCTGCTGTCCCCGCTGTGATAAGCTGGAATATTGCTAAAAGCTGCATAAAACCTTACTCACACTCGGGATCGATCATTCCAGGTGGCAGGACCCACTCTCTGGAATCAACTTCCACTGGAGTTAAGGACAATTAACAACCTGAAGATTTTCAAATCTAAACTGAAGACATACCTTTTTAAGAAAACACAGTGTCTAACTTTTCATTCTTGAGTTGTTCGGAGAGCGCTACTGAGCAGCACGTTTGGACTGGAACTGGCGCTATATAAATGTTTTTATGATGGTGATGGTGACTGGAACTGGCGCTATATAAATGTTTTTTTGATGATGATGGGTGACTGGCGCTATATAAATGGTTTTATGATGATGATGGTGACTGGAACTGGCGCTATATAAATGTTTTTGATGGTGATGGTGACTGGAACTGGCGCTGGATATATAAATGTTTTTATGATGGTGATGGTGACTGGAAATGTTTTATATGATGGTGATGGTGACTGGAACTGGCGCTATATAAATGTTTTGATGATGGTGATGGTGACTGGAACTGGCGCTATATAAATGTTTTTATGATGGTGATGGTGACTGGAACTGGCGCTATGATGGTATAAATGATGGTGAAACTGGCGCTTATAAATGTTTTTACTGATGATGGTGATGGTGGAACTGGCTATATATAAATGTTTTTATGATGGTGATGGTGACTGAACTGGCGCTATGATGGTGACTGGAACTGGCGCTATATAAATGTTTTGATGATGGTGATGGTGACTGGAACTGGCGCTATATAAATGTTTTTATGATGGTGATGGTGACTGGAACTGGCGCTATATAAATGTTTTTATGATGATGATGGTGACTGGAACTGGCGCTATATAAATGTTTTTTATGATGGTGATGGTGACTGGAACTGGCGCTATATAAATGTTTTTTGATGATGGTGATGGAACTGACTGGAACTGGCGCTATATAAATGTTTTATGATGGTGATGGTGACTGGAACTGATGATGATGGTGACTGGAACTGGAACGGCGCTATATAAATGTTTTTATGATGGTGATGGTGACTGGAACTGGCGCTATATAAATGTTTTTATGATGGTGATGGTGACTGGAACTGGCGCTATATAAATGTTTTTTATGATGGTGATGGTGACTGGAACTGGCGCTATATAAATGTTTTTTATGATGATGATGGTGACTGGAACTGGCGCTATATAAATGTTTTGGAACTGGCGCTGATGATGATGGTGACTGGAACTGGCGCTATATAAATGTTTTTTATGATGGTGATGGTGACTGGAACTGGCGCTATATAAATGTTTTTATGATGATGATGATGATGATGATGATGATATGATGACAATGATGATACAAATAGGAAACACTCTTTACAACCTGGATAAAGGTAGATCATCCTATGATCTATTGTTGAAGATCAATATCATCCTCTGTTGGACTTAAAGAGGGTCAGGTTTGGCACCTGGAAAAGTCAAAGTAAAATTAAGTCTTGTTCTAGTTAGGAACGTTTGAAGTTGTAATTCAGCAGGGGTTTCCAGGCCAATATTGTCACTAACAATCTTCAACAAATGGATCCGGATGTATTAGATCGTGTGATAATATTCCAGCCAGGTCCCCAAAGGGTCAAATATGGAAGTAGTCGACAACCAATAACTCAAAACACTCAAATCCATTTATCTTGTCTTGAAAACATTCTCCTTGTCGAGGATGTAGTGGAGTAAATATCTGAATCCCTGACACAGCGAAGTTACATGATTGTTTGATATTTAACGCCACATTCAGCAATATTTCAAACACATGACGTTGTCTGAAAATACCAGTCTTGACCAGACAAAATCGGTGTACCCCCAGTTTGCCAGCAGGGGGGTTACCTGGGATTAGAGAACACACATGAATGAGCGTGCAGGACAAGTTGTTCCCTGTGTAATATGGCCCAGGGTATTTAGGCTGCCCATAAAATTGACACTGTGACTTCATTCATTTATTTCAACATACATATTATCATCATCATCAATCTCATCAACAGTATTATGAAATACAACCATTAGGCAATGTTAGCACTACCATCATGATATAAACATACATTATTACAAAATATCACATTATGCAAAATATCACATGCATGCATCATTATTCATAGTCCCACAAGGTGAGACTTGCAGCAGTCTATCCTCGCGGTCTAGCCGTTCTTCAAGCTGGCGATACTTGTTCTTCTTAGGTCTCACACAACCACCACCCTGCAACTGCATCAATGTTATTTATGTGTAGTTCTGTCCTGACTTTATCAGATTGATATGTCAACGAGATAAGTGATGTGTTCAGTTTAAACATAACATCAATCATTAATTTAATCACTCACTCGTATTAGTGTCAGTTCAGGTGAACTGTGTTCACCAGCACAGCTCAGTGGTAAGGTGAACTGTGTTCACCAGCTCAGGGGTAACTAAAATGTGTATCATCTGTTGTTTCAAGAGATTAACACGGTCCAGTGACCTGGAACCTTTAAACAATACCTGCTGGCAAACTGGGGACACCCCGACAAAATCAGAGGTTGATCGTATGAGCCTACACTTGAGCGGGGTCAGATGACACAATCATGAAGCCAGGTTGCCGAGTTTGTCCACCAGAGTTGCAAATTGTAACCCAGATGAGGCAAAATGACATTTGTTATCTGAACACATGTAAATTTTGATAATCACCCCTTTACCGGTCGTCCGATATTGATCTATGACATCATCGCTGGACCTCACCGTTCTCGAGCCGTCATCGCCAATTTGCAGAACAACACCATCGGTGATGGCATCGGAACAGTGCCATGGTCCTCAACTGGCTCAAGGGGCCCCGATATGAACACCATCAAACATCTTTGGTGGAATCATCCTGTTTAAAATCTTCAGGACAATACGTTTTTAAAATAAAAATCTTTTGCAATCGTATATTGTTTTATACGTTATGATAACCCTATATTTCAAATTTGAACGAGATCGGTGAAGAAATTAATTTTTAAGAAAATTCCACCGCTACATTCATTACGTGTGTCATGATTATTCAACAGTTAGGACCATTCAACATCTAAGATCACAACATACGTACATAGAGGATGTTATATGAGTGCCCATGTCATACTATGTTTACGACACGAGTGCCTAAATGTTGGTTCGCGAGAGCGAGGGATATACCGATGTTTAGGCACGAATGTCGTAAAAGTATGGGAGCTACGATGACCTTAGCGCTACAATTGCTTTGTGAAATGGGACCCAGACCTTTACTGGAGTGAGTGAGTGAGAATGGTTTTACGCCGCTTTTAGCAATATTCCAGCAATATCACCGCGGGGGACACCAGAAATGGGCTTCACACATTGTACTCATGTGGAGAATCAAACCCGGGTCTTTGGCTTGACGAGTTAACGCTTTACCCACTAGGCCACCCCACCACCCCGTTACTCTAAGTGGCCGTTGAGCAAATTTACAGTATCTTGAAAGTGAGTGAGTGTGTGAGATGGATTTAATGCCGCTTTTGACATTAATGATGCCATATGTGAGATACTGTAATATGGTTCACCCTTTGCATCAATGCAGGGAGTCGAACGTTTACTTGACCATCCTTTAACCACAAGGCTATCCTACCTACCTACCACACTGTGATGTTGCACTTTGACAAACAAACTCAGAGCCTTGTATATTTCACCCAGGTGGTCGCTTGCATTGTCACGTGATTTTATGGGAACGAGCCAAACCAATCAGGTCTCACTTCCGCTGCACGAGTTTCGCATGCGCGTTAATTTCGGACGCTCTGAATGGAAGCAGACGAGACTGGTTAACAACAACATGTCAAATTGACTGCAACAATCTGTGAGAATAGACTGTTAATTGTCATGAACATAAGCTTAAAGAGTGGACCGATATTTCTACTAATAACACTCTACAAAGACGATTCGGGGAAATTTTATTTGTGATGTTCATTGAAAATTCTACACAGGAAGAAACGATTTTCAACGTGATTTCCCAGCCTGCTCTGGTATTTGAAAAAAATTGTGAAACAATATACTAAGGTAAGTGAATACAAAAAAAACCCTATTTATTCTTATGATAAAATTAAAAAGCGGGGGTTACGGGTGGAAATCTTTCCAAATTATATGCTATTTAAAGTGAGTGAAATTGCGTATGACAACACGACAGGAGGCAAAGGCTACACATGACGGTTCATTGTACTGTCTGTTTTCCAAGACCACTGTTGTATCGGGATGGTATTTTCGACACGAAATAATACGTTCGATACAGTTGGAAAACGAGATGAAGGTGATGAAGTAAACTTATGAGTTTTAAGGAATTATTAGTTTATGTGACTGAATGGAACTTCAAGAAATATAATGTGTATCGTATTTCGAGGTACGGTATTCAGACTGTAGAATACAATAGGGCCAGTGCCCTTGTGTCTGATGTAATTACCTCGAACCAAACAAAGTACGCAATAGTCTTGGTAACTGGCATAGTCTGTCTCACTGTCCCTGTAGGCCTACCGCATAATTTGCCCTTCTGCCAACCCCTCCCTGCAATGCTAAAGCCCTAGATGAAGCAAGTCTAGATTTCCTCAGGTCTACATCTCCCATCTCCCATCTCAATTTAAAAGGAATTGTTTGTTTTTATCACAAATTATATAAGAGACTAAGCGTCAATCGAGTACCTGACAATGCATAGTTGAGCCTTCAGGAAACACCAGTGAGGATATATGTATTGAAGTATTTCCTTTTTGCATCACTAAATTAATATCGACGATGTGGCGGAGTTGCCTAGTGGTTGAAGCGTTCACTCCCATGAAAACCAGGATTTTATTATTATGATTATGTATGTGCAAATGAAGCTCCCCGCAGTGAAATGAGCATTGGTAAAAACGGTGTATCATGGGACTCACTCACAGATGTACAGTCTGTTTGCCAAGTAACATTCTGTAAGAATGTATTCCTTTCGTATGAGATCTCCATTCACACTGGATTTGCACATTAGTTCACCAATCCATATGAAGCGTTATAAAATGCTCCTCCTGGCCTCCGTGAAAGTGTAGAGGACCAGTCAGTCGACTTGATCAGGAGGATGATAGCCGATGCGTTTAGACATTTATGATGTTGTGAATGGACCGGATCTTAAATGTAGCTGTAATTCTATGTTCCATGCTATAAACAACTTTCTACATAACCTAATCCATAATACACAATAATGTTTTTATTGAGTTGGCGGTACAAACTAAACAGGGAAAGTCAAATGCTCTCACTGACGAGTTGTGAGGTTCAAATCTTTATTCGGAACGATATACAGTCTGTAGTAGTTTGTTCGATAGAGTTCCGCGAGAAACGTTTGTTAGAAATGGCTAGAAAGTTTGACAGACACCTTAATACTTCGCGTCGTTAGAGTTAAAAGTAAATACTTTTTGTACCAAAGTGTTTTCTACTCTCAGGCGAAGCTATGAGTGAACCTAATTTCAATTCATATGTTGCATACAATTGAAATTGATTATGACTCCACCATTGAGACGAGTAATAAGTAAATACATCTTAGCATTTATAGATACCGGTAACGTCTTAAGCATAAACAGTAGCTCCCCAAAATAGTACAACATATTGGAAACCTTAAAAAAGAAGTAATAACCAGAGCTATAGGTGCAATTTAGAAAACATTAAACACCAAGGGAAACATCATGCTATTTAAATGATTCCTCATTCTTCCGATCTTCATTAACTTGGGCAATGATTATTCCTTTACGGAACTATTGGTACATTAGTCCCATTAGCCTTGTTCCAAGGCTGTACTGAATGCTAAGCCCATGCATGTATAGTAATTCTAGATAAGCGGACAGTACACCAGTCCGTCAGGGGAATGTGTATATTTTATAGAAATTATCATTTAAACTACATGTATTTATTATTACCTTAGAGACTTGTGCAAGTATATAGTCCTATGTATATTGGTTATTCATGATGATTTGAATACAATGTAGGCACCCTCCTACTCCAGTAAAATATACCTGGACGACCGAGGTGCCTGGACATGGGTAACACACTATAATTGTTCCTGGTCACGTGGACTCCATTCTGAGAAAGCCATGTCATGCTGGACTTTCCCTGTGAAGATTGTGGTCAGTAGGTATAGTGGGTGTATTTTGCTGGTCAAATGTTCCGAGTAGCGGGGAAAGTATAACCTTCCGCATTCATGGTGAAGTGTAAGTATGGGTTGGGGGTGCTGTCCACACCCAATGATACCCCATATTCCGTAGAAAGGCAATTGTAGTGTCAGCTGAGGTCGTCTGGAAGCTTCATCTCTTATCTTGAGTATAGGTCCCCGACGCTGGTCGTACAAGAACACTGTGTTACATATTCTAGGCAGGGATAATCTACGTTATATAGTCTCCCTGTTCTAGGTGTGATATTGCAAACACGATAGCTATAATTTCGTAGGTCTATATTTAGATACTAGGGCACGGACGGGTCCAAATTTTCTACCCGGGTACCCCACCCCCTATTACCCTACCCTGATACCCGTTATGTTAATTCCCGACATCAATTTGTAAGAAATGGCAATATATTCTTCAGCTCGGAAGTTAAAATTTCAAAATTTTCAATATCTTAACCATGTATTATATTCAAAACAGGTGACTGTAAATGTTTAAATCCACAAAGGCAATACATTTTAATCATGAAAGAATAACATACTACTTTGTTTTATCTATACTGACGTACAAAAGAAAGTGCACATCTGGTGTTTTAGGACTATTCCCAAATAAACAAATATTTTGCCAGCAACGTTGTAATTGGGTACGATATCTGGTTTGTGACTTGTAAGTCATAATCAAAACACTTTTCTAATTTCAACGCGGTGTTCAAGAAAATATTTTACCAAAGCATCAGATGTGTACTTTCCTTTGTATGTCAGTTTATAAGGCACATGTTCATAACGGGTCCGGGTTTTGAGGCGGGTGCCCTGGGTCCAACTCATTAGCCACCTGTCCCGGGTATCCCGGTTACCCGTCCCAGCCCTATTAGATACGGATTTCATTACATAAACGGAACGAAAAAAGCGTTAGAAAGTGCATATTTTGCCAAACACAATCACTTGCATAGTATGCACAAGTTTCTGGCGTCTAAAACCAAAACAACTAAAATATAATGGAATCCGTCGACAGTCGCCGCTGACATAACATAATTTATATAGTTTTCGTTCATTTATTACAGCTTCAGAAAATACAATAATTTATGAAACATGTATAAACATTAAAAGCCAGGCGAAGGCAGTCTTCAACAGCAAATTACACCATTATCCCCAGCCACGAAGTGGAACGGGGATATAGAGCTCCGTACGTCCGAGATGATGGGGGCAGATTTTCTCCAAAACCGTTATAAATAGGTAAACCAAATTTGGTATGTGTTTTCAGGACATGAATTCCTTGATACAGTTCGAAAACGGAAATCGTTTTACAATTTGTTACAGAGTTATGGCCCTTGTCATGCGTTTCTTGACTTAGTTCACGTTATCCCCAATGAGAACAGATTTTCTCAGTAACCGTTATAGATAGGGAAACCAAATTTGGTATGTGTTTTCAGGACATGAATGTCGTGGCGTAGTTAAAAAAACAGGGACCATACAGGAACAGAACACTGTGGTGGTGGATATTGATGGCCATGCCTTCTTGTTCTGTATACAATAATAACAGGGTTCTTTTAACAAACATATGAAGCGTACTGTAGATACAAGGCTACATTGAAGGCGCCAATGACAGATTGAGGCGTGTGCATAACAATAAACTTAATCAACAGCAATGTTATTATTCTTGGTTTTCTGAATAATATTCATTAGTTATTACACTTGAAATTCTGACACATTAACTTTCAAGATGGCATTTAAGTCAAACATAAGGTCTTATTATGTAATTCATGTAAGAATGTGTAATATGAATGTCAATGTACCACTGACCGGTCTAGGTGTGTTTATTGAAGTATAGTAATGTTACAATTATGTTAGTTTATGTTTTTCAAAATAATAAAATATACTGTAATAACATTTGTTATTCTATTACAGTAGCATTGTTCAAGACATAAGTTTCATTACAGGTCTTACTGTATTCATAATATGAATCTTATATTTCTCTGTAGTTGAAAGTAGGTCATCTCAGTAAATATATATTCACAACCCAAATATTTGTGTTGCATGACAGACTATGGTGCGGGAACTGTGTCCATTGACCCTTCCCAACTGGTAATGTAATGGTATGCCAGTGAGTTCAAATGAAAGAGATTCACAGATCAGAGGTGGCTCACTTGAAAGTACACTTCATGCCAAGAAAAGTCTTATCATTCCATGAATTTAAGGCAACATTATAAAGTGAGTTCTGTATATGTTCAGTCCATTTATATATTAATATCACTGGAAAACTGTCCCTTGCAATACAGAAGATAATTTAGTGGGCTTGCATATTATGTTTGGACCAGAATAATATCAGTCTGTGATGGATAACACGAGACTGGTTATCTTCCTTTTTCACTATACAACATATATCGTTCAGTTCCTCTTTAAATCAAGTGAATTCAAAAGAAATCTGTGTTCACTTTATCGATGAAATCTAATTTTCTAATCTGACTAAGTGTTAGTTTAACAATAACCCTAATAATAATAACCTTTAACAATAATCAGGTCAGGAGACCGGAAGGGCGGTGGATCGAAATGGAAAGACGTTAAGAAGTAAGTTCCATCCATTGTGTTATCTGGGGTTGAAGTAAATATATAGACCATCCAATATATATCGACAACACTCCACTGATTTCGAGGTATGAGAATAATACTCAGAATATTAAGGTTAGAAACACTAACTTTGATACAGATGTTGATGATTAGTGGGTGAATGGTAATAGAACGCTACACTGAGAAGCCAGTCTAAGTACTTCAGGCGAGAAATCAGTTCATATTTGTCCATTATGTACCTGAACTAATTTCCAGTGTCTAATTTTCAGTTGATATGTTATTTATTCCCCTATTTACTATGCCAAAACGGCAATAGCAAAGAGGAAATTTAGCCTATTTCTTTTGTAACTAGGACACGACTGCTTTGTACTTTTTATGGAATGAAAACATGTGTCTCAAAAGAGTTAGATATATGAAATCTTTCTAAGGAGTAAAGGAGAATTTGAACGCTGTTATAAAATATGTTTTATTTTCTTCTTATGTGAATCAATGCTGTTGAGGAAATGCACAGTTAGACCAGTGACCCCAAACAGTCCGCCCCGTGGCATTCTGGGAAGGGGTAGGTATTAGGGATGATCATCGTCTCGGAACAGAACTCAAAGTTTGTCACACCCGGCCCTGGGAATGTGGCCTGTCAATGATAAACAAAAACTGGAATGACATCTGTCATACACATCGTGCGTCTTGGCCAAGGTAATACTGCTATGTCAAATAGGTAATATGTTGTGTACCAATCAAACAGTATGGTCTGAACCAATAACGGTTCGTTGATAATTTAGGGCTGCAATGACAATGAATGATCTCTGCAGAGTTGTCTTTACTCTGGTTCTCTGTGCCTAGGAACGAATGCTAGATTGACGTCACAACAGGCCTGGTCATTCACAAAAAGAGTGTGGCCCTCGTTTGTTTTTAATCGTATTAACTGCAAGTCACTTTAGATATGGCTCAAACACTGAGCTGACATGCTGTGATATATACAAAATAGTGATCAAACGGCACAGATAAATCTCTTTCACCCAAGTAGTATTATGACTTACTTCCATATAAAAGGCCAGCCAACCTTCAGGGGGATTCTTGAATGTAGCCCGATACACCCACTCACCCTGCAACAGTTGCATAAAATTTCTTGAGGATGTTTGTTTCAACTAAAGCCATTTCACTACTTTAAACACCTAAATACGTCGACTTTTGTATTGCATCTATACTGGACATGTTTGTTGTAAAACAGTGTGTGATGCCTTTTATTATCAGCCCGTAAATGTGTTGGTCTCTTCGTATTCTTCGTTATGCCCATTATGCCAGGGAATTTATACAGGTAGCCAAGGCAACGTACCATGAATTCCACATCATCCTTGATCCACACGACAAGCTGAGGGAGGAATCCATCCGGGTTATTTGGGTCCGCGGTAGCCAACCGGAAGTCGCGTCTGCAGGGAACGAAAACACGGTTACGCTCACAATGACTGACGATTAATGAACTGAACATTAAAATGTATCAAGTGAACGGAAAAATATGTACATTGTCATGCTGTTGTCTTGTGGTCGCAGATGAATTGCAGGACATTTTTAGTTTTTCAACCCAAGAGGTTTAAAATAATAGGTGTTCTTATAACGACAGAAACGCCGGTTGTTTTTAGCGCTGACAACACACATACATTACATTCTAATTACAAAATGTACCAAGTGGATGTGCTGGACACCTACCCGTGAGTTCCGATAGTGTGGATGTGCTGGACACCTACCCGTGAGTTCCGATAGTGTGGATGTGCTGGACACCTACCTGTGAGTTCCGATAGTGTGGATGTGCTGGACACCTACCTGTGAGCTCCGATCGTGCGCGTATGCTGCACACCAATAGTTAAGGGCTTTACATTGGTGTGAAAAGTCAGGATTCCTCCATCGGCGGTCTAAACAAATACAAGCATGATAGATGACATAGTTCTATATTTACATTTTGTAATTTGTTCAAATTGCAGGAAATGGTTTCAAATGACACATACGTCTTGTACATGTCTGTGAGAGTTACATGGCCATTATCGTCAACTTACATAGTTTTTCTCCCAGCGTAACTTAGGCCGTGGTGTACCCTGAAACATTTACGTGAGAGTATTTAAGTATAAATATATACACATCTCTTCAAATTCCCATAACTGGACCAGACAACCCAGTGGTCAACAGCATGAGCATCAATCTACGCAATTGGAGAAAGTATGTGCTATAAAGTATATGTAATAATGTTTAAAAGGAACGCTTCAAAGACGTCTTAATGAGACACTGCATTCGTGACTGAAAGTCTTGGTCAAAGTAACAGTAAATACCAGATAAAGTTACCGACCAGTTTTCTTGTCAGTGGGTTCCTCACCTCGAGCACGCTGAGGAAAAAGCTCTGTATGCCGAGGAAGAGCGAGATACGGTGGAACGTTAGACTATGTTCGGCGTTGGGAATTCTCCTTCAGTGGGGATACAACAAAACATGTTAAACAGGTTGATTAAACAGGCAGTCGTTTACATTTTTATGAGTTTTCGGTCATGACGGCCACTTCCAGCCAAGAAGCAAAACCCATGAATTGTTTGTCAGTTGTATAAGGCCCCACTCAGCAATATTCCAGCCATATGAGGGCGTTCTGTAAATAATCGAGTTTCGGCCAGACAATCCAGTGATAGACATTCTTGGTCATTGATCAAAGCAAACTTGATACGATGACATCCATCAACCAAGTAAGCGATCCTGACCCACGATCCTGATAGCGTCCTCTTCAGACTAACGTGAATACTATTTCAGTAATCTGAAACCGCTCAACATAGATTGACGTATTTGGGATAGGGATGTAGCCAACAGATTAGAGCGTTTGCATTTTACTCCGAAAGGCCCCTACATTGTTAAAGTGTGTTTAGCCCATTTCTGGTTGTCATCGACATGCTTGTTGGAATATTGGTCGAAGTGCCGTAAGACAATACTCGCTCACTATTGAATGATTAAAGGAAGGTGCCAAGAATTATGAGGTGTTCCAGAATCATTTGTGTACCTGAGGTATGTCTCTCCCTTCAGATCGTTGAGGTAGAACTTAGCATCGTCAGGAAGGAAGAATTCGTCTCCTCCCGTGGTAACGATGTACTTGGGCATTGTCAGTCGGTCTATGTATGCTGAAATAAAACTATACGGTCAGTGAGTCATGACGCTTATGAGCACGTAGAGACACGATCGTGAGACACGTACACATACGGCTAACGCTACTCCCTAGCGTTAGCCGCACTGGGCTAGGCGCTACACGAGGAGTGGAAACTTGTCTGTGGGGATTTGATTGGACCATGCCAGGGCCTGTAAAGAAATGTTTGACCAATCGAAGGAACATAACCTTCATTTTTTTCACCTCCGCCTTTTACCCCCGCCTAGTTGTCTTTCTTGGCTGTTTGGACCTTCACAATACACTTTATGTTATACCTGCATGGTCCTTTTCGTATCCGCCCATTACCACCTCTTCATACCTTTCATATTTCTGTGAACATTTAGTATTTTCAAATATACCCTATCATCTTTGGAGAGTATAAAACACAGCAACAGCTGAATAACTGTATCCTACATTACCAGGGAAATACGTTAATCTGAAGAATACATTTCAAACACCACCACCACTTAATGAAAAACAGAAACGTGGTATGTAAGTGGTGGGGGAAGAGAGGATGTCCAGGGTCTTTCGGTTTCACTGTTGAGTCTTACAAATGTCTTTAGGTTTTAAAATTGTAAATCAATACTTCACCAATTCCTAAATCAAGGTTTGTTAAGGGTGAGATTTCCACCAGTCAAAAACAAGGTCTATTTAAATACATGTATATTTCCATAAAAGATTAAGCCTACGCAATTTCCAAAAGACTGGAGACCAAACTCCCTACTAATGTTCTGTATTTAATTTGACCTTCGCAAACAGAATGAAAACGATGCTGCCTACAGTTATTAGTGAAGATCAAAAGAGTGTTATCGCAAATAGACACGGTAAAAGACATCGGTGTATGTACTGGGTTCATTCGTGACACAACGGAATGTACAGAGTACATGGGCATTCCAGGAGTATTACTGATAATTGACTTGGAGAAAGCCTCTAATTCTGTTGATTGCAAGCTCATACAAGGAAGGCTAGACAATTTTAACTTCAGAGAACCATTGTAAAACTGGATTAAAAACGTTTTACTCTCGAATTAGTTAAAGTGCTCCAATGAATGGGTGTGCTTCAGATTTCTTCCAACTGTCAAGAGGGTATGGTCAAGGATAGCACTGTCATCTTCTCCATTTGCGCTAAAAATGCTTGTCTAATGCTTCCAGGTACTCCAACCTATAATGATAATGGCACTTGGCAATACCGGATATCTATTTTCAGATGACAGAACTTTGATGGAATACGGACTTGCTATCGAAGTACATGTACCATACAAACGATAGACAAATATGCATCATTTTCGTTTTTAAAGGTTAGAACTAGCTAAACTTAGTTGGATATGTTCGGAAATACATTATTTACTACTATTTAGATTCCAAAGAACAAAGACTCTTCTACTCTGTTTACCCCAATATTTGTTAAAAAACGGTAATTATTCACATTTTGTATATCATTACTTTGTACGTGCGCACTAGATTTTGTGACTACACATGAAAACGACGAAATGATCTGTTTGTATTCCTGTTTACGTAACAAAAACAATAAAACGAAATATGCAATACTGACCGTTATATGTGATATCACAATAATATTAAGTAAGTCTGTTTATGGATTATTATCTACGTATTTTATGGACATTTAATGTTTTATATATCTCGCGTTAATAGTTTTCTACGTTTGACACCACTCTACCTGTGGACGGTGCTTGTGAGTTTCACCAAGGGCGTAAACATCTGAAACCAGCATTACTTCGGGCTTTCCTCCCACATTAAGCAGACACGGTTCAAAAACCGTTCAAAGTGACGTTAAACGCAACTCCTCTTGGATATGTCTGCTATTAACGTAATTAATCCGGATCGTGTAAGCCCGTGATTGTTTATCCGCGCTGCAGTCAACCCATTTAGCCAAGTATAGTTTTGGGTCCTTTACAGTTTCCAAGAGGGACGCTTTGGTGGACATGTTGATAATCTGGTTCGAAACTCACTATCTCATATGATGTTTTTTCCTTTGGTGAGCTAAGAGTGCACTTACCATTTTGACATCGTATCAGTCAAATCCTTTCCCCAGAGATATTGGTAAAGAGGGATTAAACTAGCTGAACTGATAGAGAAGTAAATGTTCTATATCTCACAATAAGGGTCGACGATGTCGCCCATGCGTTTAGTGTTGGGGTTGTCAAGCTGACTGGTGAAGTTGAGGCTGTAGTAGTCGCTGAATGCAAACGTCCACCCTCCTAGTGACCGGTAGTGATGGTGAAGATTCTGTCAGGAGCAAAGTGAGATGTCTCTTTGTAAATAGAGGGGAAATACAGGACTGATAGAGCAACTGACCAGTGCCACTAGTCAGGAGATTTCTATTTTTGCAGCACTGAAGTGCTGTTTATAAATACATATAAACGTAGCGGTTTACAAATTTAAAGCAAGGCACGACAGGGGTCTTTGAGACTGACCATGAGTACGATGTTTATTTTGATGAGTCCTAGGACCAGTTTAAAAAGTGCGGGTACCAATCTGAGGGTAAGGCGAGAGTAAGAACACTTGTAAGAGGACTGGGCCCGTTCCACAAAGAAAGTCTGAACCGAGCAATCTTTGTGTTAAGACGATCGTAACTTGAACCATGGCTTACGATAGTAGAAGAGCTGAGATCGCTTTGTAGAAGGGTGAAATCTGTGGAGACACGGGTCTTATTGGTATGGATGTGTGCCTATAACTGTGTCAATACAAAGTAAACCAAACTTGCAGGAACGCTAACATGCAGGCTTGAACGGGGATCCCGTGCAGGATGAGGCACCGACGTTACTCACTAGGTTAACCCACCTTCTCTGAGATTACACGACCGTATTATAGCTATGGCGATCGACCATGCGTTGGACTTCAATATTTGTCTTATTTTAAGACAATTCTACAGTCACTAACAGTAATAAGTCTTAAACTGTTAGAAATGGAAATTCTCAGATACTCACCTTTTGTACATTGAGTAAATCCATGACGATGGGAGCTATGGCGACTACTCTGCTGTCTACCGCTGCCGTTGTCCACGTCGTCCAGCCTCGCTGTAACGACATCACACGTTATATCCTTCATACAACCAGCCTAGATGGACCAATCGGTCTGTAAAGACTTCTCTGGTATACAAAATATACAAGGAAGCGGGAATACTCTATATGTTTTTGAGAATTTAAGATTCCTTACTGTTTACAATTACTGAGGCATAAATAACCTACCTTGGATTCCCCGCACACCATAAACCTGTGAATGTTAGACTGGGGGTTGACCTTTTTACCGAAGTCCGTCATTGTGTCCATAGCCCGCACAGCTGACTACATCAAACAGAGAAGACATAAGTATCGGTACACGGACACGAGGTGAGGTGAAATTGGGTTTAACGTCGTGCTTGAGAATATTTCGCTCATATGACGACGTGCATGCGTGTGTGTGTATGTGTGGCTGCTTGTACTAGCCCGGACTGAAGCTGGTTTTATAGTGCTAGCCCACTGAGATACCATGCCGCAGTGAAGCATGAATACCCCACTCAGACACATTATACTGACTCCGAGCCGACCAGTCCTTGTTGTACCCATTAATGCCGAGCGCCAGGCAGGGACCAACAAGTACCATATTTTAACGTCTTTTGGTATGACGCGGTCGGGGATCGAACCCGCGACCTTCCGCTCTCCGGGCGGACGCTCTAACCTACACGGTCACGAAACGTAGCATGTCGTAATGAATACAAACGTATCTTGTGCTTGTGACGAGCGCAAAACTGGGGCAGGATACGTTAACCTTATGGTGAAGTCTTGATGTCTAATACTCAAATGATCTCACTAATGGGTATTGATTCATATTGTAGTCACTTAGACTAAAGTCATTGTGCAGTCATGCAGAGTCGCATCCCCTTGTAGTTCCAGGATCCGCTGATCGTGGGTTCAGATCTTAGAACAATAGCTGTCCATATCATGAACCGTAGCTTAGAAATACAGTACATTAGCTCGTTGGGTTCACCACAAGTATCATCTTAGGCTTTTATCCAGCATTAAGTAGACGCGTGGTGCTCAAATCGGCATTAAACCCAAATACTCTTCACTGAATGTTTACCCGCTGCTTTGATGAAGTCGAACTGTCCGGATTAACGAGGTTGCAGTGCGTACCTTCGTCATTGGCAACCGAAGCAGCCACTCGGGTCTGTCGGGGTGGTCCTCCACAAACACCTTCCACGTCCACGCTATCACGGCGTCCTCGGAGCGACTCATCCGGCTAGGGTCGTTCTAGAACACAACAATCATTGAAAAAAAACGTTGATACGAAGCATTAACATGGCAGCAATACAAAATCACGTCTTCATTAAAACGGCAAATTAAATGTACAACAAAACAATGTATGTCATCAACGTAGGAATGTTTAAATCAATGTGAACAATCCTGCTTTCAATTCATTCCCTTTAAAACACCTACACCTTGTTTGATTACTATGCGATTACACCCTTTACATACAGTAACTGAATTTGGTATAAATACGGTATCTCCACTGACAATGAGCATGATCTCCTCTCTTATTTTTGTAACAAAGTGATGTGTTGGCACCAAAGCTTCTGACAAATGGCACGCATTCCAGCGTTTTATAATGCTAAAACTGAACAGCTAACACTTTACCGGGAAGTAGACCAAATATGTTAAGTTGCTAAGTTTTAGCAATATCACGGCGGTGGACACCAGAAATGGGCTTCACTCATTGTACCCATGTGGGGATTCGAACCCGGGTCTTCGGCGCGACGAGCCAACGCTTTAACCACTAGACTACCCCACCGCCCCGAGCTGTTTTGGAAAGACCAGAAAGGCATGTATTCTGTTGCTAAGAAGTCCCATACTTTTTCATAAATACTGTTAGACCCAAAATGATACTGTGAATTCAAATTTAAATTTTGAAAAATTACTATGGCAAAAACTGTTGTTTAGAATGTTAAATTAACGCAGACACATTCAACAACAAAAATGTTATGCTAACTGAAGTCAGCTGTAGCAGGTGAGGTGCAGGTCAGGCAGGGTTCCGAACGTACTCACTGATCCAGTGAAACATCTGTACCAAGACTGAAGTGTCACAGACAACTGTAGACAAAATTTAGAATGCAAGAATTTTCAGTTCAAGTGCCCATAGACGTTTTACACAACTTTTATACCGAAGAGTCCATGATGTGCACTACAACTTGAATAGTGGTTCAAGCGCTTTGAATTGTAATGATGCATTGCATAAGAGCGTTCATTCCTTATATGTCACTGTTTATTTGGTTTTCAGGATCGATTTGTCCCATAGTTGATAGTGACACGGTTTGATTATTTGATTTGTCATAAACAACGTTAGCGTAAACTGGCCATCCGGACAAATAGAAACGTTCGTAAAATACTCAAAGTGGTAATGTTTGAACGTGTCGGATAATTCAGACGAAGAGTGTCTTCGTCACTTGATCGCGGATTAAAAAAATGTCTTATATAACTGAAGACCAGGTAAGGTAAACCTGCAAATGTAAAAAGATCCAGCTGATTACATACACAGTCAAATTTTACACATTAATTAGAGTAGGGGGTGCTACTGTGCCCATTATCAGCTGGGAAACATTCACGGAATAATTTGCACAGATGTCCCTCCGGCGGTGAGATTTGTTGAACATGGGCACTACCGCACCGACACAGTAAAAACTAGTTAATTCAACTGGCTATATAAGCGCCTTTTCAAATGGTACATTTCATCAACAGCTGTTTAAGATTCAACTGGCGTTTCGATTTTGCGCGCTTTTTCTACAGTCAACTTGTCCGTAAAATCACTCTTTCCCAGTTACATCTCTTAAGCAACTTAAACTGAATGCTTCGTCGTAGGGACACGTTTTATGGGGTACTTTGCGAGAAAAATAGAACCAACCTCAGTAATATCATGCATGATCTGCAAGGACGTCAACTGATTGATAATACCGGAATCTGGGTGTGTTTAACATGTTTAACAGGCTGCCAGATGTAGCGCATATAGTCATTGTGACGGGCATGTGATGTACCTTGAATATAACCGGCTGGTTAGGGACTTGTCTGAGATTGGCGCATATGGTTCCCGTACTGACCGCCATCAGGGTAATGAAGCTGATAAACTCGTCCCCCACGTCGGGAGTGAAACTGGAAACAGAAGAAATAGTCAAACATATTAACTGAAACAATTTGTCAGATTAGAATCTCATCAGCTAGGACCCTGCCATAATTAGAGTGAGTGAGTATAAGCAATATTTCAGCAATATCAAGGCGAGAGACCCGAGCCAGAAATTCGCTTCACACGTAGTACCCATGAAGGGAATCGACCTGGGTTGTCGACGTGATGTGTGAACGCTCTTGCAACTACAACCCAGTCCCCAAAAATTTAAGTCAATGAAGTATATAAACCTGAAATATCCCGATGCAATCAGAAGTAGATTCTATATGTCACGAAAAGTATGACAATTCTTATTTAGAGGACAGAAGCGCCAGTTCGTACGAAAATAAAATATATTACAATATAATGAAGAGTGAGTTTTGTTTTACGCCACACTCAGCAATATTCCAGCTACTAGTATATGGCGGATATAATGATGAAATATCAGAGAATCAATCGATCGCCAGCTTTAGTTGAGATATGCATGATAACGTTCGTTCTGAACCCACACAGGGGCCATTAGGGGCTGGGGGAAGTAAACGTGTGTCGATGGCCGGTAGAAGATACTTATCTACCGGAGAGCTCTTGTTGTCCACTACTCGTTTGTTAGGTCCGAATTCAATCATGTGATACAGCTGCAATACCACGGATGGTGGGGTTAGACCATATCATTTTCAAAATATTTAGTTCCACCTTATACGCAACATCCCACAGGTATTGTGCATCGTTACACATGATTTTGCTAATTTGTGATATTTCTCTGACTCCAATACTTTATTTAACTAACTCTCTAATTAGTGTGAAAAATTATACATCCATGTGTAGAAAATCTAAGATGCTTATATTGGCATCGTTATTGTTGATACATATTTTCTGCATATATCTGTGCGTTATATAAAGTTAAACCAATATACAGTGGGTACTGCTCTCACCTGCCGTAACCGTTGCTGCCGTACGAGATATACAGACAGCCAGCGTCAGGTCGGGTCAGATTATCTGGCACCGCCACGATCATGTAGTGCCACCAGATAGGGTGCTCCACCTCAGCCTCTGAATGGTCAGCAGAATGCATGTTAGACATTAGGTGAAGTGTTTGACATAGTCTGTCTCACAGTCCCTGAACCACATTATTTTCCCTACTGCCTAGCCCTCTCTGCAGTGCTAAACCCCTAAATAAAGCAAGTCTAGATTTCCTCAGGTTCTGAATCTCTGGTCTCCCTAGGACTCCTTTTCAATATAAATGGGCTTGTTTGTTACTATCAAAATTATATATATTCAGAAACTAAGCGTTAGTCTATGTTTGACACTGTTGTTCCAGCTTGGACCACTAAACGAGAACATGTTTAGGAACCAGCTGCGTCACATTTGTCGTTATAAGCGGGACTGTGCTTCGAATTAATTTCAAATTTGAAACGCAAAACTTTAACCTGAAATCAGAACTACATTGTGAAATCAGTACAATTGTATATGATTATCGATAAATATTCAATAACTTATATTTAAACACAAAGACAAGATGGCAATACAGTGGATCAAATAAGAAACAGCAACAACGCGGTATCAAAATGGGCTTCATAACTGTACTAGGGAGGTAAATATGGAATAAATCAAATCCTATAGGCCTTTTCGAAACTGTCCTGTCCGGAAACTTAACGACAGAGAGAGAGAGAGAGAGGGAGAGGGAGAGGAGAAAGAGAGAGGAAATGATGATTTTAAGGCGGGTCACCCATTTTGATCTGGGGAGGTAGGGGGTCATCAATTTTGTACACATGTACACATGTTTCTAGGGGGGTCAGCAATTTTGTACATAAAAATATTTAAAAATTATGCTTTAAAAATAAGGAAAGGGGAAGGGGGGTGTCATCGACTTTGTACATGACATGCAGGGGGGTCACTTACTTTGAACATGCTTCTCCATAAAAATCATCATCAACCCCCCTAGCCATAAATTATGAACGGTCCCTTAGCTCTGATTATGGTTTTGTTTGTCAGCAACGTACTGTGCTCGTGGCTTCTTCAAAGTAGTAAACGTCTTTGACCTGCAACACTTTGGGCTTTCCTCAGACTTTAAGCTGGAGTGTCATGGCATGATTACTCGAACAAAGTCAGTTACACCCAACTCACTCGCTCATTCACTCACTTGCCGCAAACGCCATGATCCAGATTGTCGGTGGCGAACACCGGTCAATATCAACTAACATAATTATAAAAGAGATCACATCTCTATCATTCAACATCATCGCCAAATTCACCATCAATAATTATCATTAAACTGTCGCCGTATCAAACAGCACCAACATCAACTCACTATCACCCATCAGCATTGCTAGCTCCATCATTACTACGGCGTCCAAAAACATTTCCACAATCATAGTCAGAATCATAGTCACAAACGTTCCTCATCATCAACAGAACCATCATCTACGTCACTCTTTTACCAAACACATCATCACCATTTTAGTCACCATGGAATCCTCGTGATGCATGACTTAAAGCATAAACGCAAACCTGATGTAGGTTCACGACATTTTTATTACGATTGTGTACATACACAGACACGGTCACGTACTACCAAACAACAACAATACATGTACATCACAAACCTGTGATCGTGTAACGGTCGGCCAATTACGCTTAGTGTTCTACTGTAACTTGATTAAGTACTTCTTGAGGTGCTTTTATATCTGTAAACCCATTTTCACATATTGTACTTTTTGATTAATGTCATGTTGACTGAATATATAGAGTGAGTGAGTGATTTTGGTTTTACACCGCCTTTATCAATATTCAAGCAATATCACGGCGGGTGTGAATATATAGATAAAGAGCATCACTTAATCTTACTTATCATGGTAGCCTTTGTATTCAGGCCATTGATTTCAGAGATAATACTGCGTGTTGGAACCTATGAAAGATCCCATCTTCACACGCGTTACGTCTTTGGGCGATATCCATCAATCGAAAAACAACATCCCAGATAAAGCCGGACTCTCAAGACAACCTTGATGCTTACATAAGGGTAATAATTTCTTCGATCGCCTCATCCATCAACCTTGTAGCTGTTTTTTACGACCAATTCTTCACCACGGCGTACAGACGATGCATGCTCCATGCCCCATACAGGATCCACGACGTTTTATTAACGCTGTAATCTGCTCATCGAACAATAACGACGTGACTACCACACTCAGGCGGGTATCAGATGTATATGCTGTCGCTGAAGACGGCGGGTTATTCAACGCATTCGTTAACTCCCGTCATACAGATGTATATCAGGATACCTCCAAACACAGATAGGAAGGCGTTGTTCAGGGGAATGGTTTTAGGAGGAAGTTTGTAGGTTTAGGTATTGATGTATATTTTGGGGACCTGATTCCATCTTGACTGAACATTCTTGGAAAATGTATCTTCCGGCTTCCTGGATTTTATGAGTTCATATGTATGTGTTAGAAGTAACAGTCTGTGACGGGAGACGGATGGATAGCTGTACTAACCTTTCTTTCTTTCGCAACATCAGATTAAGTGCATTTGTCACATTGTGTGCTCCTGTGGGAGACAAAACAATCGGGTTGTTTGAGACGTGTCGGCGCTGAATATAGATAGGATAAATAAAACTTCCATTGTGAATATATATGCTGCTATCCATTGATTGCTGTGGGAGAAGGGAGTCGCCTAACATCTAATCACTGAAATGAACACGTTTAACAGAAAAAAACGGTCATGTTCATAAAACATAATAAAAGGAGCCCCGAGACTTTCTTCATTTTCAGAAACTGGTAATCTAGACTTGCCACACATTCTAGACTTGCATGGGCTGCATTGGGTATATTTGTTTCAGGGTCTGTATGACAGATGAGGAGTCACCTTTTACTCGAGCTCACGTCCACACTTACATTTACACTCGGTTCCTAGTTGTACTTTCACTCTCAATCTCACTCACACTCTCGCTCCTGTCTTGAGCTACACTTGCGCTTACCCCCAAGCTCACGTCCACACTTAAATAAACACACGGCACATAGTTGTACTTTCACTCTCAATCTCACTCACAGTCTAATGCCTGTCTAGAGTTACACTTAATATTTAATTGCAACACTTACCCTCACACTCACACCCACACTTACATTTACACTCGTCACATACTTGTACTTTCACTCTCAATCTCACTCACTCTCCTGTCTAGAGTTACACCAGCACTTACCCTCACACTCACATCCACACTTACCCCACACTCACATCCACACTTACACCCACACTTACATTTACACTCGTCACATACTTGTACTTTCACTCTCAATCTCACTCACTCTCCTGTCTAGAGTTACACCAGCACTTACCCCACACTCACATCCACACTTACCCCACACTCACATCCACACTTACATTTACACTCGGCACATACTTGTACTTTCACTCTCAATCTCACTCACAGTCTAATGCCTGTCTAGAGTTACACTTAATCTTTAAATGCAACCCTCACCCACACCCACAACGTCACATACTTGTACTTTCCTCAATCTCACTCACACTTGTCTAGAGTTACACCAGCACTCCCACACTCCACACTTACCCCAGTCCACACTTACATTTACACTCGGCACATACTTGTACTTTCACTCTCAATCTCACTCACAGTCTAATGCCTGTCTAGAGTTACACCTAATCTTTAAATGCAACACTTACCCTCACACCCACACTTACATTTACACTCTGCTCGTAGTTGTACTTTCTTTCTCAATCTCACTCACTCTCCTGTCTAGAGTTACACCAGCACTTACCCCACACTCACATCCACACTTGCATTTACACTCGGCCTGCACACTTACATTTACACTCACATCCACACTTACATTTACACTCGGCCTGCACACTTACATTTACACTCACATCCACACTTACATTTACACTCGGCCTGCACACTTACATTTACACTCACATCCACACTTACATTTATACTCGGCCTGCACACTTACATTTACACTCGGCCTGTACACTTACATTTACACTCACATCCACACTTACATTTACACTCACATCCACACTTACATTTACACTCACATCCACACTTACATTTACACTCGGCCTGTACACTTACTATCAATCGCACTCTCACGATAACACTCACAACCTTTTTTGTTTTGTTATCTGTGTGTTGTTTAAAGCCGCACACGGCAATATTCCAGCAGTCTGTGAATAATCGAGTCTACACAAGAATATCTTGTGACTGACATCATGATTATCGATCTACACAATAGGGACCACACGACCCTCTATTACTACAAGCATGGCTTGTACATATCCTTGGTATATCCTGTCATTTGAGTCTTGTCGCAATAGCAAGGCCCAGTCCATATAAGTCTATTATAACTCGTTTACTTTAACAGTTAACTTTACTAGCTGTAGGTTTGCGGGAAAACAGAACAGTGCATATGTTCGTGATATTGCGTGATGTTTTAGATTCTTTACAGTTTCAGAAAATTCATCGGTGATCAGCGTTGAAAACGGAGCTTCTTGGTGTAGGGAGTAACCTAGCCCATTTTGTGGACTATCATACAATGGTGTTTTGGCGGTCCGCCATATGTGAAGTAGTCCAACTATAGGACAGTTAACACTTGACGGTCGATATATACATCGATCCTGGTATGGCTCCGATAACACCCATATACAGCCAGACTATCACTTGTCGGAGAGTGTCATATCAAGGAAATAACTCTACTCAACGATATAGCCCACACGACCACAATCCTGACATGATGAAGTAGTGCTTGTGGTTGAAGATGTCGTAGTAATAGGGAAGGATTCCTATAGTTGCAGACGGTGTGGCAGCTTAAGCAGGAAGCCATAGCTGTATTGTAGGGTAACCGGTAGCCATTATAGAAGAGTCACAGTGACTGATTCTGGACAACCATAGTACAAATGCTTGCAAAGGTCAAACACTATGTAGCAAAGACATGCATCACTTAATTGCAATTATCTATATGACGCCAATCTCCATGATTAATCATCACTTCCAGCGCTATACATTGACTTGTCAGCCAACCGGTACCAGTCTGTCACTTTATTACTGTGCATGATAGGGGTGGGTATTGCAGTTAATTTTCATATTGCGATATATTGCGATGCGAAATCATATATTGCGATATGTATTGCAATATATTGCATAAAGTCTCTTTTAACAAAAAATGACTCATAATCGCGTTATTGCTTTATAATAAAGCAAATACACAACACATTCACAATGCTTGATTAAGCTTTAATAACAACTTTTAATCATGACAAAATAAAAACCGTGAACTTTTTCAACCCAAATGCTGCCATGCTTAAACCTTTGTCCTAGTATTTGTTCGTTGTTGGGTATCACCATTTTACAACAATCGCATGACTTCCGGTGTGGAAAACGGATATATCCGAAGATTTCCGTGTGTTACAAAGTTTTCCTAACGCATGTCAAAATACCGGTTTTCAATCAGCGTATGGCAATACGTATCGTTTTGATGACTGAACCGGTAAATACCGGTAAACCGGTTATATTGCACAGCCTTAGTGCATGACATATACAGTACAACCAGAAATTATTGAGAATTTAAAGATTGTAATTTTTTATATTTTTTTCACTCATTACTAACGTATTAAATGTGAATATTAGCAGAACATAACTCCAGATTCAAAGACAGGTGAACAGTTGGTATTTTGTCAAGTCACCATAGGCAGCAATGCAGGCTTCAATGCGGCGGGGCATACTACTGATCAAAGAAGTTAGAAAGTCGTGGTCCATGCTGTCCCAATATCGGACCACCTCTTCTTTCATTTCATCAATATTTGTCAGATTTTTCTTATTGACACTTTCCTTCATAAGTCCCCAAACATTTTCTATTGGATTTAGGTCAGGGCTATAGCTTGGCCAATCTAATAATGTCATAATTTGGGTCCGAAACCAGGCCTGTGAATGCTTTGAACGATGTTTTGGGTCGTTGTCCTGCTGGAAAATCCAAAATTTCCATAGAACACGTGAGCAGATGGAAGTAAATGTCCCTCGAGAATATCTGTGTACCGCTCACTGTTCATATTCCCTTCAAATACACAGGTATCTCAGTGGGCTAGCACTATAAAACCAGCTTAAGTCTGGGCTAGTACAAGCAGCCGCACATACACATACACACGCATGCACGTCGTCATATGAGCGAAATATTCACAAGCATGACGTAAAACCCAGTTTCACCTCACCTCAAATACACAGAGGAGCGTTGCCTGTAACACAGATATGCCACACCACACGTTAAATTTCGGACTGTACTTAGGGCGCTGATACAAAGGTTTTTCAGTTTGTTTGGTCCAGAATATCAGTGTATTAGGAAACAGCCACACAGAACTTTCATCTGAGAAAATCACATTGTGCCAGTTAAAATTTCTATGCCGTAAGCACCAGTTCAACCTTCGCTCCGTTTGTTCAGGTTTCATGATCGGTGATGCCATTGCATGCAGCTCAGTTCTAATTGTCTCCTTACAGACAGCCACAGTTCCTCTATAAATCATATCCAGCCTTAAGTTTTCTAAACTCCTTCGTTTGTTTTTAGAAACAAGAATACCAAGCCGCCTCCTGTCACCGACAGTCAATTTTCTGGGCCCACCTGCGCCTCCTTGGTGCTCAATGCCATATCCATTTGCAATATTTTTCAAAACACGATAAACAGTGGACAAAGGGATGCCTGTTCTACTTGAAATCAGTTTAGCTGATCTGATGTCCTTGTTATAATACTCTAAAATCAACGTCCTCTTCTCTGAATCGTCTATACTGAGGATCACTTAAAGTGCCGTCTGCTAGCAAGTAAACAAAGGGGGATAACTCTTCACAAATGAAAAAGGATTAACGGAGTTGCCTCTCTTGAATGAAACCAAGCACTTGATAGCTGGTCAAGGTTGTTTATACTAGATATCCAATTAAACATATTCCTAAAATTCTCAATAATTTCTGGTCATACTATATTCATCTCCTTGGCCGCGTTTGCCATCACGTCAGTAAGTCCAAGACAATGCCAGTGTTGTCTTTTACTATATACATGTTTACATCTATACTGTCAGTCAGTCCAGCTTTCCCACTGCTCGTTGGGGACGACCACGACCGAATTAACGCCGCTCGTTGGAAACGCCCTGAGATGGAGCTGGAACTCCGCTCACCTCATTTATGTCGGCATGAGCCAACAATTCCGCTCATTGCTGTCGTGTGTACTTGCCTATTGTAAAACCATCTAAAGACATATCTCTTCGTCAAGGTATAATTCTGAGCTAGTTCTGCTGTTGACACCAGGCAGAAACATCCCTGTTGCAGCCTCTCTTTCAGAAAAAATCAGATGTTCATATTTGAAGTAAACATTTAAGAGAGCACTGTATGCATTGGATTCCAAAATATCTCATGATTAGCTTCCAAGGACTGTAGACTTGTGTTGTATATCCTGCTGTGCACTGTGACTGGCGTTTACACCGGCTCGCCCCGGAACCGGATTTGACAGAACAGCTGATCGCATGGCGTGAACGAATGACAGTGTATGGTAACCGCAACGAGGAATTTCTTCGCGTGATCCCTTGTCTTCATCAGCTAATGAGCGTCGACAGACACACGTTCAAACCTCAATTGTAAGGTTATCAAGTTGATGCTGTTCTTGCTTCAAGTCGCGATGATTAGACGTTAAGGCATTAGGTGAGTTAGGTTTAATACATATCACGGAGTGCTAGTTCACTGTGGAAGGAAACTGACGCACGTCGTAAATGTTCACCACTTTGATCAGTAACTGCATCTTTGTCGGGGAGTCGAACCCACGGGGAGATAACTCTGCACGACGAATTGCAGCATCTGGAACAGCTGTGCGCCTAAACCTGCCCCATTTTGATGTTCAGTCTGGACATAGACTGTGCTAAGCTTCTCACATCATACTGTATCTAACATTTTATACTGATAAGGCTACGACTATTTCAAGAGCTGGATTGGCGCTTATACCTGAAGACATGAGCGTCATGACACAAGAGTGAACTCGTAAGAGTTTTTCCCTCTCTTTGTCCAGCACTTGTTTAAACCCATGAACAGGAACCAAACCATACAAAAATGATAATCTGAGTGAATATGGCACTCAAACCAAAACCAGCAGATTCTGGCACGCCCAAGGGGCGCAACTGCTCAGCGGTTTGCGGATGTTTATACCACTGGATTAGTAATGCCGCGACATCCTAATGTCCTAACATCTTCTGACGGATCGTTACATCATGTAAGCAACTTTAAATACAGGTATGGTTTCTCACCCGTCAGCCATTGCTGTGACGTCATGTTGATGAGGTAAAGTGTGAACTCCGGGCCCCGGTACGTCCACTCCAACACCGTGTAGTTGTAGTGAGGGTCAGCCTTGTTGACGTAGTCGTCAAGGGGGGTCGCCCTTAGGGTGGGGACGATCACCCCTATCGCTGCCACCAGACATATCACTTTCAACAACATTCTTGTCTCGATGGTTTGTACAAGTCAGTATTCCATGTAAGAGATCGGGTTCTTAGACCGACTTATACCTTCGGGAGGCTGTGTCGTAGATACGGTTAAGACATGTCAATCAGAGCATCAGAACAACTAGGATATGAGTCACTGTGATATCAAGCAGACCATAGACTGTGGTTATTAAAGTTGCACTGTCAAAAGCAGTTATCAATGACTTTAGTTTAACGCTGCTTTTAGCAATATTCCAGCAATATCACGGCGGGGGACACTAGAAATGGGCTTCACACATTGTACCCATGTGGGGAATCGAACCCGGGTTTTAGGAGGGATGAGCGAACATTTTAACCATTAGGCTACCCCACCGCCCCTCACAGTTATATAACTAATTTTATGTGTGTGAGTCACTGACATGCCCATGTATTTCTAATTAAACAATCATGGCTGCTACACCTGATGAGGAACGGTACATTTACTGTCATTCGCTTAAACTACGGAATACGTAAACCGACGGGTGAATTGGGTTTAACGTCGATTTCGCTGACGACGATGCGTTGTATGTGTATGTGTACCGACACTACTCACTGAGATACCATGCCGCAGGAAGCTGAATACCCCACTCAGACACATTATACTGACTCCGAGCCGACCAGTCCTTGTTGTACCCATTAATGCCGAGTGCCAGGCAGGGACCAACAAGTACCATATTTTAACGTCTTTTGGTATGACGCGGTCGGGGATCGAACCCGCGACCTTCCGCTCTCCGGGCGGACGCTCTAACCACTACACCACGGAGGCGGCCACCGACACTACAATTCATGCAGGGCTTCTGAGTATATACTTCACATTAGGCGTTGATGGTGCTATTTGGTGTTTCTGTATATTTTGCTCGCTTGAGCCCAATGTGTTGTGTATTATTAAACCAGTAAGTAGACATTTAGAGAAAATAATCCTGCTTGAAATGCTGTTTCAGGTGTCTTCGAACTTACATCTGTTCACGCGTTGCCTTTCTTGCGTCACGCTGCATCAGCTCATAACAGCGATGTACTAATGTAGGTTATAATAAGCCAAACGCTTATGTATACGTGATGCCTATATTCGACCAGTAAACAAAAGACCTCTTAGTGCTGAGTGAGTTACTTTGGTTTCAGTCACAGTTACATCTTGTCGTGCTAGCTCAGTGTGGGATGCAAGCCCGGAGTGATGCAGGTATCAGACGTTTAACGCTTTGGTTGAACCAGACTGGCACGGTGGTGTAGAAACATAATATCTGACGTACACACGCTGAAAGGGCTACTTTGGCTAATTACGTTAACTGTTTGTTGATATGGTATATTATTCATTGTGTAAAGCCCATTCCTGATGTCCCTCGCCGAAATATTGCAGGAATGTTGCTAAAAGCAGTGTAAAACCATACACATTCATAACAAGTTCTAGGGCGGTGGGGTAGCCAAGTGGATAAAGCGTTAGCCCTTCGCGCCGAAGATCCGTGTTCGTTTCCTACATGGGTACAATGTGTGAAGCCCATTTCCGGTGTCCCCAGCCATGATATTGCTGGAATATTGCTAAAAGCGCCGTAAATATATACTCACTCAAACATAACAATTTCTAAACATTTGCTTTATTATTAAACTATTGTTTCCAAGTTTGGTCTTTCTACCTTTAATGTGCCCATTATATATTGTTAGTGTTATGACCTATATTTAATATCGTTATCTCGGTCAGTAGCAAAACTTGAACTCCTTCTGACCATGTCGCGATATATAACGGACGAGGAACACGTGTTATGTCGCATGATTCGTTTATATTATGGAACCTCAACATCCGGACGATTCACTCACCGTCAAAGTCAAAACTGATGGATGCATAATACGAACACAATAACTGTCACCGGAGAACGGCGTCTGGGACAGCGATATCAAGAATAGCTATATCAGTAAAGTAGATATGATTTATATACACACGCCTAAGAATATTCTGTCCCCAGTATCTTCCGCAACAGGTTTCATCGGGGTTTAAAGCCCCCAAAAAGTGATGAAACAGTGGGTGACACCAGGTGTTCGCGACACTTGGCACTTGACAATTCTGATACCAGCTGCTTGACGTATGTTGCTTCCTTGAATGGATTTGCGGAGCAGAATAAGCCTGAAGTAGTCCGTAATAGACTAACAAATAGTCTCTGAAATGAACATATTTTACAGAAAAAACAGTTCATAATAAAAATTAAAAAAAACTGTAGAAATCTAGACTTGCATTGGATTTCTTGGATATGTTTATTTCTGGGTCTGTATAACAGGCTTTAATACATGTGGCCGTGATATGACTGACTGCGCTGGAAAATACAATTCAGCCAATCACTAACTACAAAATGAATGGTTCAACAACTTGTCATAGAACTAACAGTCACTTATGCTTTTGTTCGCTCTTTGTGTACTTTAACATTCATGTTTGAAGTTACTCAGTTTGCAGTGGACGTTACAGATGCCGGAGACAGCCAAACCGTACATATACCTGATGCTATACCTATTTGTGATGAATCTGGGCATTACATTGTTTTTTTAAAGTATGTTACATCAGAGAATAACAAAGATATAATATTCAACTAAAGCATTGACATAATCTTATGACATAAAAACATGTATGTCATACCCCACTGCTATTAATATGCAAATTAGATAAACGGTATGGGAACTTTTTTCGCCTGTGCACTTTAGAGTGAAATTCTACCAAAGATGTAAACAAATGATACAGAATCGCTATTGTTACCGTTATCAAAGGTTCAATTATTCTGCAAAAATTTACGTATGTTTCTAAATAATCCAAAGGACCTTCTTACCAAATGAAAATACCCAAAAGACGTTAACAAGTCGTTATTTCTTTTCACACAGCAATCGTAAGTCTCTTCCCACAGAGTACACTGCAAACAAAAAGGCTTGGATGACATCAAGCATTTTCCAAGATTGGCTAGTTAAGTTGGATGAAAAAATGCACCGGAAGCGGCGACGAATTGTTCTTATTGTTGACAACTGTCCAGCCCATCCTGATGTAGACAATCTGAAGGCCATCAGACTTGTGTTTTTGCCTCCGAACACAACATCCAAGACTCAGCCGATGGACCAAGGCATCATCAACAACTTAAAGGTCCACTACAGAAAGCAGCTGATGACCAAGTTCATCAATGCCATTGACAAGAAGGAGTCTGTAAGCATAACAGTCCTTGATGCCATGCAACATCTACGACAGGCTTGGGACTGCGTCCAACCCCAGACAATCAACAAGTGCTACTTGCATGCAGGCTTCAAGATCTCTGACCAGACCAACAACCAAGTTGATGATGACAGCGACCCTGAGGATGATGTGCCCATTGCCACCCTAGTTGTTAACAACATCACTCTTGCGCAGTATGCCAGTGTGGATCATGACTTGGTAACCAGCTGCCCTGCCAGTGAGCAAGACATCGTCCAGAACATTATCGATTCCAGGACCAGGACCCAGCTTCTCAGTGACGACGAAGATGAAGACGAAATGCCCTCTCCTCTACCACCTACTCTTGATGCCACAACAGCAGCCCTAGAAATCGTCAGGCGTTATGTGATATCACAAGACGACGGACACAGTGTAATGACAGGCTACGACATGGTGGCCAACTATGTTGCAGAGAAGGAAATGAAGAAATGTTTTACAAAGAGACAATCCCTCACGACAGCTTTTGTGGAGTAATAAGTTAGACTGTTAGGCTAAAATATTTTGTTTCATTATGTTTGATTTTTTATTACTTTGTATTATAAATGTATTACTTAACTCAATGAAATTTTATGGAATAAAACATGTCATATTACTTACAAATGTTGTCTGTTGTTCTGCTGTATACATATACATGTACATTGTACATGCATATGGTTGTCATTCCCGGGTTTTGATAAGTTTGGATAAGTAAAATACCTGATAAGTAAACAATTTTGGCGCGTCCCTTGAAATTTTACTTATCAGGTTTATACTGTATCGGGTGGTCAGGCTCGCTTACTTGGTTGACACATGTCATCGTTTCCCAATTGCGCAGATCGATGCTCATACTGTTGATCACTGTATTGTTTGGTCCAGACTCGATTATTTACAGACCGCCGCCATATAGCTGAAATATTGCCGAGTGTGGCGTGGAACTAAACTCACTCACTCACTCATATACTGGGACGCCGAGGTCAGGAAACGATTGTCCACAACGATGACCTGATTGTTCAGATCTGTGGTAATCTGGAGTCCTATTTGGTCCGATAACTCAGATGTCCAATATCGACAAATAAGAGCTAACCAGTACAAAGACACGGCTGGTACATGATAAGACATATACGGTATTATTAATATAGAATCATTTCGCTGGGTCCGGCCGTAGCTTGAGGTAACACACGCCGTGACGTGTGGTCATTTGATAACAACGGAGTAATTAATGCGTGCATTGCGAAGCAAAATTCAGTCGAGTGACCCATGCATACAATAATAGTTTCTTTTGTGCAACATGTAAAAGAGAAGGAAACGTTTCTTGTTAGATGGTTCCGTAACCAAAGACGGTTTGACAAGAAAGCTAAGAGGTCTCAGGAGATGTGGTCTCAAGATGGCAAGACACGGTAGATATATAACACGCATACTTTATGTACATAACAGGGAAAAACTATTTCCATAAACCTGGGGAATATCTGCTCAAAGCAGCGTCGATCGTACGATTCCGACTGTATCGTGAACATATGCTTATGAATAACTATCAAACAGTGATATTACCAGGTGTTCGCAGAAGATGAAGGCAACACCTGCAGCTGCAGAACATTCCAAAGGAACAGGTGGGAATAAATCTTTCAGAAATGTGTTATGGTGTTCACCCGATCTACACAGATAGGCAAACACAAGACCGTCTTCATACCAGAACGAAACTACTTCAAAATGTCAGTGGCTTCGTTTCCGGAACAGAACTCAACAATATTCCAGATATCCTCTTGGAACTGGTTGTTTTTATGTAACATATATCTATAGTGGTGCCATTTGTTATTTATAGTTTCGTGGTTGTTGGTTTCAATTTCTGCAAAACTGGCTGACATTCAAGACATTCCTATATCGTGTGCATGAGGCGTTAACACTAGTGGTGCCG